GTCGTCACCGACATTGGCCGCTGCGGCGCGGCTGTCGAGCGCGCAGGCGCACGCATAAGCCCGGGCGATGCGCGGGAGGAGTGTTTCGAGAAGTAGCTCGTCGCTACAGCCGGCCAAGCGCCCAAGCCCACGGGTGCGCACGCCGCTCGTCTGCGCGGACGGCAGACCAAGTGCGTTGCCGAGCGGGCGCACGTGCGGCATCGCGCTGCTGCTGCTGCTGCTGTCGCTACCGCCATCGCTGTTGTCGCCGCCGGCGTGGGCTGCTTCGGTCAGGGGAGGGTGGACATGGTGCAGCTTGATGCGCTTTTGAGCGGGTGGTGCAGCGGGGTGGTCCTGCTTGTGCGTCATGGTGGAGTGCTGCGGCCCGCGCTTGCTCTCTCTCTCTCTCTGGGTGGGGTCTGCGGTGAGGGGGGGTGGTGCCGAGCGAGCCTCTTTCCTTTGCGCGCGATGCTGCTGCTGATGGTCGTTGCGCTGATTGCAACTAATGGAAAAGTAAAAATATCAATACACACGAGGAAAGGACGAGGGGCTTCTTCTCGGCCGATAGAAGGATGGCCAGCCCAATCACCGCGCATGAAACGAAAGAAAAGAATAAATGAATGACAGCCAGTTGTCGCATTTATTTATTTTTCCAAATAAAGTTTGACGAACAAAGGATGCATAATATTAGTCTTTCCATCGACTTGTGACAGCACCGTCCACGCGTCTGAGGGCACTAAGTACGTTGAGAATTCTGACATTGGAAGCCCAGGGGTTCGGGACCCTAGTCCTATCATAATGTGCAGACCGCTAGATACTGCCGCACTGCCTGCTTGCATGAACCTGGGTGTCAGCGTTGTACGTAGAGCACACGTTCGGATCGGATGGGATTCGATTTCACTGTTCCTCGACACGTGCGACACGCCTAACCTGCATCGCTACAACAAAGGAGCCGACAAACATGTACATATATGTATACTATATGAACAAATAGTGTGTATGTACCCGTCCACTGAGCACGGCGCCACGTATAGAAGAACACGCGCAGGCCCCAAGCGAGCCTGTCAAGGTACCGCAGCGGCACTCTCTGCGTGATCATAACCTTCTCTTATCCAGCCACAAACATAACCCACAAGCTCTAAATAAAATGACTGATGGAGAAGCAGGTGTACCTCAAGCTCCAACACACTCAGGCTAACCCTCACCCATATATCCTTTGTCATTATTCGGGACAGAAAAGAAACTCGCCGTTGCATATATAATATACAGCACATGCTCCACGAACACCGGTGCGTCAAAGCAGGCAACGGGCACGGCCGACGGCCCAGCGCTCACCCACACTAGGAGCCGCCTCTGACACTTTATTATACACAGGTACCACATCCCACTCCCCACCCCCCTCCCTCTCAATCTCCTCACGCGTCTGACAGACACATCCACTCGACACGGATTCCGCGCGGCTCCGTCTACCCCGGTTTCACATCCCATCGACCTCCCACGGCAGCAATCACGCTCGGCTTGGCCCACGCATGAACAACGCACGGACCACGGCCTGGTCGTTGGGCGGGCGCGCACGAACAGCATAGGACCAGAGCAGGCGAGACGCACGGTGCGTGCCCAGAACGAACGGACGCCAGAGAGGATGATGTGACCGTGGAGGAAGCACACACACACACGGTGAGTTGGCCATACCCCCCTTTTTTTTCTTCTTGCACGCAGCCCGTCGGCGCCCTGACAGATCGCATCGCCGTGCCTGCTCCTAGTCAAAACCGCACACAGTTGCTCCCCATCCAGCTCCTACCATCTCCGGAAGCGAGCACAAGACTGCTTGACGTGCCATACGCATCCGAAAGCATCCAGCACCGTCAAGCAATTCTCAAAACAAACCTGAGCTCCCCGACCAGCGCCGCGCATTCATCTCCACCTTTTTGCATCGACTCGCATCATGCATCTAACTACGCAGCCGCAAGGCGCCGTCGGAGCGACCCGTGCCAATGGGCCCTCGGCGCAGGACGGCCCCGGCTCTCCGCTGCCCTGCTGGCGCTGCACCGCGCGCATGTCGTGCGCCTTCGAAGAGCAGCAGCAGCAGCAGCAGCAGCAGTGCGACAACACCTTCTCGCATCTTGCCAGGCCCATTGCGGTGCATGGCACGCGCACAGCCAGCGAGGACCTCAATCTGACTTGCAGCAATGACCCATGCCCGAGCACAAGCACAGGTGCCAGTACGCGGAGAAGAATCGCCAGCAACAACAACAGCAGCAGCAGCACGAGCACCAAGATCCGCCCAGGCACGGCATCGACCGCAATGATAGCATACAGCTACTCGACCGGGACTGCATGCCGTGGAGCAGCGCTGCCCGGGCACACAAGCTGGGAGCATGAACGCGATTCGGCGTCCAGTGGTGCGACGCCGCAAACAAGTTTCACGAGCGCCTCGCCCGTCTCGGACTTCGGTCCCCGCCTCGGTCTTGGTCTTGGTCTTGGCCTCGGTATTGGTCTCGGCCTCGATGCGCCTATCGAGCTGGAGCGGTACGCAGCCGCAGCCGTCAACGGCGACCGCAACGGTGAGGAACGCGATCATGGGGCAGGGCCTGAACACGGCGTCGTGTACCCTTCGATGCTGGAGCACGCGTCCTCGCACGCCCACCTCCATCACCACCACGACCGTGGCATGGACATAGAGCGGCGTGCTGCTGCTGTTGCACAGGCGATAGAGCCGCAGCGTCGAGCGTTCGGCACGCACTTCAGCAGGGACCTCGGCCGACGCATCGAGGAACGCCGGCTCATGACGGGCCCTGGCAACCTTGCGGCCGCGCTCGGCTTTGCGTCCGTACCCGCGGGGTTGAGGGCAGCAGGAGAAGAACATCAAGAAGAAGAAATGGAGGAGGAGGAGGGTGCGCCAGCGGCACCAGGCAGTCGGAGCCTCTGCCGCGCGGAAAGGCCGCTAACGCGCGCGTCATCATCGCCACCGTTCTCGTCGGCCACGCACGAGTGCCTCGGGGCACGCTCGTCCGTCGCGTCTCTGCCTGATCGCACACTGTCGTCGTCATCGCCGTCATCGTCTTCGCTGTTGTCGTTCACTGCTGTCTTGCACAGAGGGGAGCATTTCAGCGAAACACAAGGAGCAAACGCTCAGACCTTAACCCATACTCGAGCGTCGGCCCTTCTCGGATCGCCGATACGGCTCACACGGCCTAGAAGATCCAGATGCGTAGCGGAGCGCCACCCGCCGAGCTCAGCTTCCGCTGGCGCCCCCGCGCTCACTGTCGTTCCCAGCGGCGTCGCTGCCCCCGCAACACCCCTGACGCGCTCAACACCGTCACCGCCACCGTCGTCGCGGGCACGCCCGCACGAACCGCCTGCGAGGTCGAGACGGTCCGACCGTCGGCGCGGCGCGTTCGCGCGCCGCTCTCCGGACACCGCTGCTGCTACCGACGCTCGCCCGCGGCTGGGCAGCTACGAAGACAGCGACAGCGGTGGCGATGGCGATAGCGAGACGCATGTGAGCGAGCAAGCACGCGTGCGCTCCGCCCCGCGCAGCCCGACGGCCGGCATCACAAGCCGGTGCCAGCGCTGGCTGCACAAGCACAGGAAGCTGCTCGCGCTTAGCATCGGCCAGTATGCGGAGAGTGTCGCACCCGGGCAGGATGCTCTTGCTTTGGGTGGCGCTACATATGAGAAGCTCCATCTCACCGCCGTTGCCTCTGCTGGTGGTGGTGTGTTGGTCAGTCCTTGTATCAGCTCGCTCGGCAAGGACGTCAGCCATCCTCGGAGCCGTAGCAACTCGCTCTCCTGTTCCTTCTCCGACAAGCGGCGCAAGCGCCAATTTATCCCTCCCTCGCTCGACCTCGGGCCTTCACTTTTCGCTGCATCATGCGCCACGCAGAATGCGGCTTCGTCCGATGACGCCACGCCTCCCCCGACGGATGCTACTGGTTGCCCCTCGCCGTCTACGGGAGGCATCGTGCACAGTCAGGGCGCCGCTGCGCTGTCGAGCAGCCCCGTAGCCCAGCATAGGGCTGCGCAAGCTGCAGCAGCACAGGATGTGCATATTTTCTCCGCTGGGAGCCCGCTTTCGCATCGCGCGGTCATCGAGCCGAGCTCCGGCTGGCGATCGCCTGATCCCACCGCTCCTGCCACCCTCTTGCTTGCGCCTGGACCTCAGGCAGCGATGCCGCCAGTAGGCTCTGACTCTGCAGCATGCCGCAACAACCACTCCCTGGATCAGCCGCAAGCCGTACCAAGTAGCGCCAGGAGCGTGCAGGCCATCGTGCGGATGCAGCGCGATGCGTTGCAGCTCTTCAGCGAGGCGGTGCTCGAGCCGTCGTTATCAGCACCCTCCTCCTTAGACGTTTTGGCTCCTCCCGTCGCACCGCATTCGGCTCCCGCATCAGCTCATCCGCGGCGGCAGCAGCAGGTTTTGCAGGGGCAGCGCGAGGCTAGAAAGTGCGCAAATGGCGGCTTGTCTGGCTACGGCCAACTCGGCCTTTGGCCTGCACCATCGCCTGCGCCTTCCCTTTCGCCTTCGCCCGGGCCACATGAACGTGTCTCGCGTGCGTGGTTGCAAAGCGTACAGCAAGCTACGACTGCATGCGAAGTTTCATCGCGAGAAGCTTCGCGCGTCGACCGCTTGCCTCCCAAGCAGCCCGTCTTCTTGCAGCCGCGGGGCCGCTCGGCTGCCGCGGCCTGCGTGCGTGCACCGAACCCTGGGCGGATGGTGGGCATTGCCAGCAGCAGGAGCCAGGACTTTTCCCTTGCCGGCCTGTCCGCATCGGCGTCGCGGAGGCTGCTGAAGAAAGGCCTCTCCTTACGCCACCACGCTTCGTCGCCGCGAATCGCAGACCCGAGCGATGGCGAGTTCAGCAGCATCTCCACCACTACAACGAGCTCGGCGGCGATCGAGGCGCTCATCCAACAGCTCAAGTTCCCCACACAGCAAGAGGACGGTGCGGCGATGTTCGTCAATGATCTGCGCGATCGTCATCTGCATGCGCACGCGCTCCTATCCAACTAAGGAATGGGATCTGTGCCCACTTTTTCATCGTCCAACTAGTTGCTTCGCTTTGCACGCTGCCATCTTTTCCCGTTTTCGGTTCACCGCATTCGTCATCCGCCATTCGTCACTGCATTCTGGACCGCCGCATCCCGCAACGACTGATCGTCCTTGTGGCCACGTTTCAACCACCTGGCTCATTCACTACATACATCAACGATCAAATACAGCACCCAGCTATGCCATCTCTTCTCAATTCGCCTTTTGCATTCCTCGCCCACAAGCCCATGCTCTCGTGACCTCCATGCTCTTCGCCGTCACCACGTTTTTTTTCCGCAACGCAGTTGCCATCGATAGTCGTCAGTCATCCACAATTATAAAGCTAAGCTCTCCGTCGTCTCGCTCATGCCGTCCTAGCCGTCTGCGCATCGCATCGGACGGTGTTGTATTCCTCTTCTGGGTTTGCAAATGTACTACACTAATGCTACGGGCAAATGGGGACGATTTCAAACAGTGCGTTGGAGTGAACGAATCAGGAACCATGGCTGTGAATACATATAGGTGGGTTCGCTTTACGCCGCCGTCGCAACAGGCGCAGAGTCCATGGGCTGGAACTGCGACGGATCGTTGTTGTCTGCGACAAAACGATGAGAAAGCCTCAGCACAATGGTCCTCTTTCTTGTTCCTGCACATGGCATCGACAACTCACAGGCCATCTCATCGAGCGCGACAACACAGCTTTCTCGGACGACGCGCGGCGCAGTTGCGTCGTTGGCCCATCGCTTGAGCGCGTGCATGACGCTCTTCAGCTCGTCCTCTCCTGGCTCTGCAGATGCCGCCTCGCCGTCCTCGTCCTCGCCTACTTCCTCGGCGATGCCACCGAGCGCCTCGGCCGCCTCGTGCCGGACCATTTCATGCTCCTCGCTGTCGTTGAGTACTTGCAGCATTGACTTGATGCTTGCGCGGTGGCACAGCTCGCCGAAGACGAAGCAAATCTCGTGCCTGAATAGCGCGGACTTCTCGCCCTTCTCGAGGCCCGCGGCGAGCGCGAGCACGGCCTGCTCAGCCTTTTGTCGAAGCAGGCGCGACTCAGCGCGCGCCTGCTGCGGCGGGATCTCGCGCACGTGTGTCTGCTCGGAGGCACGTAGGCACGCGTGCACGGCGTTGCGCAGGGAGAACATAGCGCGGTAGCGTTCAAAGAGCGGCAGGTCGCGATTGGTCAGTATGCTTCGCAAGGAGACAATGTCGTACACTGCTGGATCGAGGGAGGAAAGTGATGAGGCTGCGGCATCCTTTTGCCCTGATGATAGAGATGCCTTGGCGGCCAGCGGTGGGGCAGGGTCTATAGGCGCAAATGCCCTGCCACGCAGAAAGGGGGGGTGAGGATGTCAGTACATTGCAGATCCCACATAAACGTAGCGCATCTGTTCAGCGCACTCATGCCCTCCAGCGCCGGCCTCGGTAGCCTGCTTCTTCCTTTCGGCTTCTTCTGCTCGCTGCTTCTTGCCTTCGTCGGAATGGTCCCATTCGATCTTGTGAATCGCTAGCTCGCACGTCTCAACAACGCTGATGTCTTCTCCTGGGCGCTGAGCGTACTCCTTGAGTAGTGGAAGACTCTGCCAGCTCGAGATGGCGCCAAGTGCCTCGGCCGCCTCGTGCCGGACCATAATATCCTGTTTGTCATCGCGCACGACGCTCTCGAGCGTGGAAACGGCGCGTAGGTCGGCGATCTGGCCGAGGCAGTAGGCAAGCTCGTGCTTGAGCAACGCCGAGTCATCCGCGAAGCCCTTGCCGATGATCTCTATAACTGCCCCTACAAGTGAACTTTGAGCAGAGGCTAAGCCTTTGAGCGTAAAGAGAGCTCGAAAGCGGGCGTCGAGAGGCGTTGAGGAGGTAAGCAAGGCAAACGAAAGCGAATCGAGCTGCGAGCTCGCTGCTCCACTGCTGCTCCCTCTTGAGCTTGCAGCATCCATTGTGTCTTGCGTCATTTCTCTCGCCTCTTCTCTATGATCCAGCGTTTCTTGGTGAAGGGTGGTCCTGCTTCGAACTCCGATCTGAATGTCAAAGCTTTCCAACACATTGATGCGATTGAAGTGATGTCCATCATCGATGTAATCATCCATCATCATCGTAGCATACCTTTTTTGCGGTGTGCTCGGCGTCTTCTTTTCCACTTAACACCGACGCCTGTTGACTGCCGTGGAAAGTCGCCGATCAAAAAGTCGCCGACAAGAACGCGCAGATGAGAGAGAGAGAAAAAATTGACGGAAGCCGGAAGGCAGATAGATGAGATTGCTATTGCCGTGGCTATCCTAGAGCATTTTTTTTGGAGAGGCAAGGGTTCTTGCCTTTCGTCCATACAGCATGTCAGCATTTTAATCTGACTTCGAAGAGCAGCCAAAACGCAAGACAACTAGCGGTCTGTATTTGAGAGCGTAAGACGAAGCGGAGCAAGGCGGGCCATACTCTAGCCTCCCCCACGTTCGGACTCACACGGAACCTCGAGCAACATGCCTCGCGCCAGGCGTAATAAGGTGGTCACCTTGACCAAGACTGCCAAGAAGACGAGAGCAGACAAGGAATCGCTTATCGACAAGGTCCGGGATGCCGCGCAGCAGTACAGCTTCGTCTGGCTTTTCGGCATCGGGAACATGCGCAATGCATATCTCAAGGAGGTCAGGCAGCTCTGGGAGGGCAGCAGACTGTTCTTTGGAAAGCTGGGAATCATGCGCAAGGCGCTTGGCACAGAGGAGGGGGATGAGATTCGGACGGGTATCTCAGCGCTTTCGAATGTACGTTGCGTTGCAGGGGTGTTTCAGAAACTGCAGAGGAACACTCACACTGTCGTGCTCTTCCTCGTATTTGATTCCGCAGAAGCTCGCGGGCTCAGTAGGTCTACTGTTTACCGATTCACCTCCTGCAGAAGTACAAGAGTGGTTCAAGACATACTCGCGGGAGGACTTCGCACGGGCGGGGAACAAGGCGTCAGAGACGGTCGTGCTACCGGAAGGACCGGTGATGATGCACGTCGGACCAGTGCCTGAGGCGCTACCGCATTCCATCGAGCCGCAGCTGCGGCAGTTGGGCATGCCTACCGAGCTTAAGAGGGGAGTTCCGACACTCTTGCGGGAGTTCACAGTATGCAAGAAAGGCAGCAGGCTGACCAAAGAAGCTGTACGTAGCTGATACTTTCGCAATCTGGGAGCGTATTGCTGCTCCGAGAAGTAACATTTGACTGACATTTTTGTCACACCATTGCTGCCTTCTGCAGGCACAGATTCTGAAGCACCTACTGATCATGCAGGCCGAGTTCCGCATCATCCCCCTGGCATATTGGTCCTCGATCGCAACGGAAGGGAAAGCAGAAGGCACAGTGCACGAGCTCGAGCTGACCCCCGAGCAAAAGGAGCTGATCGAACAGGCGCAAAACGATTCTAGTGCGGAGCTAGCTGGCGTCGGCGGTAAGAAGACGAAGAAGGGAAGCGCTCGCAACGGGCGCTCTCCCAAGAAGGCAGCAGAGGATGCGGAGATGGACGCCGAAGAGGATGAGGAAGACGATGACGATGTCAGTTTGGATGACGGGGACAAGGTTGAAGAGAGCATGATGCTGCCCGCAGAGCTCAGATGAGCCCTGTCTTCCTCTACTTTTGACATCTTTGTTAGTCTTGTCGTTGATAGATTTCCATGTGTACCATATCGTCAGCAAGCATTCCTCAGCCAATTCAGGAATCATTAGAGCCCTTCTACCTGACATTCTAATGACTCTCAGCTGTGTCTGGCGCAGGACGAAAAGCAGAGCAGCCGCTTCCAGTAGAGACCACTTTGCTTGAAGTTGTTGAGTGGAATAAAATGCTGTCACAACATAATGGTGGTGTAACTAATAAGCGACGATGAGCATTCGATTTCGACTAGCGAGATCAACATTTGCTGATGTCGCCGGGGTCATCGTCGTGGCGTGGAGGCTGCCGAACACGGGCACAGTGCCGCGCCGCACCCATAGACGGTCAAAGCGCGGGAAGAACACGCCCAACTACTACGATGCGCTGTTGAATCAACCTCAAAATTGCTGCCCCTCACCACATCTTGGTGAAATCAAGCAGCAAACGTCGATGTCCGGGCTGTAGCACTGTTCACGCGTCGCACAGGCTCACTCTGGCCAAGATGGGGCTTGCATACAAGCTCCCGGACATGTCCATCGAGGCGACGCGCAACGTCGCCTCGTTGCTTCGCCTGGTCATCATTTTCCTCATCGCCGGTGCCGCCATCAGCTCGCGTCTGTTTGCGGTCGTACGGCACGAGTCGATCATTCACGAATTCGACCCATGGTTCAACTTCCGAGCGACCAAGGTGCTCGCGAAGGATGGCTACTACCGCTTCTGGAACTGGTTCGACCCTACCGCGTGGTATCCGCTTGGCAGAGCCGCAGGAGGCACTGTCTACCCCGGCTTGATGGTCACCAGTGGACTCATTCATGACTTCCTCAAGTCGATCCATATCCCCGTCGATATTCGCAATATCTGCGTGCTCCTGGCGCCTGCATTCAGCGGCATGACGGCGTGGGCAACATACATGTTCACCGCAACGATGAAGGACGACGCAGCTGGCCTGCTCGCCGCTGCGTTCATCGGCATTGCGCCTGGTGAGTGAGCATTGGGCGAAACTCTTCTTACGCTTGCACATGCTCATGTTTCTTTTGAATCACATTGAGAAAGGCTATATCTCGCGGTCCGTGGCGGGCTCTTACGACAACGAGGCCATCGCCATCTTCCTGTTGATGATGACTTTCTACCTCTGGATCAAGGCAATGAAAGAAGGTAGCGCCATGTGGGGCACAGCATGCGCTCTTTTCTACTTTTACATGGTCGCAGCATGGGGTGGATACGTCTTCATCACCAACATGATCCCTCTGCATGTCTTTGTCCTCATTTTGATGGGCAGGTACAATGCCAAGCTCTATGTTGCGTACAGCAGCTGGTACGCCGTTGGAACGCTCGCGAGCATGCAAGTGCCCTTCGTCGGGTTCTTGCCCGTTCGCACAAGTGAGCACATGGCAGCACTGGGCGTATTTGGTCTGCTTCAACTCGTGGCCTTTGTCGAGCTGGTCCGGTCGCATGTCCCGTCGCAACAGTTCAAGCTGCTGCTACGCGGGTTCATCGTCGTCATCTTCGCTAGTGCCTTCGGTGCTCTCGTCGCACTCACCTATGGCGGCTACGTTGCGCCGTGGGCAGGGCGCTTCTACTCGCTTTGGGACACTGGTTATGCCAAGAAGCACATTCCCATCATCGCTTCCGTCTCCGAGCACCAGCCTCCCGCCTGGCCGGCATTCTTCTTTGACTTGGAGATGCTCATCTTCCTCTTCCCCGCCGGTGTCTACCTGCTCTTCCGTGAGCTCCGCGATGAGCACGTTTTCGTGATCATCTACTCTGTCATGGCATCATACTTTGCCAGCGTGATGGTGCGTCTGATGCTCACGCTTACGCCCGTCGTGTGCGTTACCGCCGCCATCACGATTAGCTCGCTCTTGGAGACATATCTTGACCCAAAGGAGCCCGACACGAGCGAGGCGAGTGTACAAGAGCTCACTGAGGACTCGATCCGCTTGCGACCGTCCAAGAACAAGAAGAGTGGCGGCAAGAGCCAACAACAGCTGGGCGTCCCGGCTAATAGCCCAGCCCCTTCGAACGTCCACAACTTCAAGGGGGTTTCCGAGTCTGCAGGAGTCTTCGGCCTGGACACAAGGCTGCTCGTATCGCTCTACACGCTCATCCTCCTGCTCGTCTTTGTCCTCCATTGCACATTCGTCACCTCGACAGCCTACTCGTCTCCTTCGGTTGTGCTCGCTTCGCGGAATCCGGATGGCAGCCAGCACATCATCGACGACTTCAGAGAGGCATACTACTGGTTGCGCCAGAACACGCCTGTCGATTCCAAGGTCATGAGCTGGTGGGATTATGGATACCAGATCGCTGGAATGGCCGACCGTCCAACGCTCGTCGACAACAATACGTGGAATAACACTCACATTGGTTGAGCAGCGGATCGGAGCACTCCCGTGCAATGTTGTGGATACTGACATGATTTTTTGCCTCTTCTCTGTTCGCACAAACAGCGACGGTCGGCAAAGCCATGTCCTCACCGGAAGATAAGGCATATCCGATCTTGAAGAAGCATGATGTCGACTATGTGCTTATCATCTTTGGAGGGCTTCTTGGTTTCTCGGGCGACGATATCAACAAATATCTGTGGATGATCCGTATCGCGCAAGGCGTCTGGCCCAACGAGATCCGCGAAGCCGACTTCTTCACGCCTCAGGGACAGTATAAGATCGATGATGGTGCGACGCCGACGATGAAGAACAGTCTCATGTTTAAGATGAGCTACTATCGTTTCCACGAGCTATTCGGCGGGCGTCCAGGAATGGACAGAGTTAGAGGCAGTCCAACCGTTTCCACGCCGCCTACCCTCGACATCCTCGATGAGGCTTTCACGAGCGAGAACTGGATTGTAAGTCTGGATCGACGTCGCCTTTGCGGTCTCTTTACCCTGAAGCGAGGAGAAGCTGACCATCAGCATGGCTTCATCCTCTGCACCAGGTCCGCATCTACCAAGTCAAGAAAGACGACCCACTGGGAAGAGACATTCCGTGGGCGAATTCCTTCAATGCAGGAAAGCGACGGAAGAAACTGCCGCCTGCAACGGCACCCAAAGGCAAAAAGACAAGTAAAAAAGCATAGAATCCGCAAGGATGCCTAAATAAAATGTGTATTGCACGTGCACATGAATCCTTGCGCCAACTGCTGGCAATACGCACGGTTGATAATCACGGAGGATCGGATATGGCGGTAGATACAGATACCCAAACGTGCTTGTACGCTTTGGTGGGGTCGCACGGAATCAGCGAGATGTATCTTTCGTGAACCGTCATGGCAGCGATCGAAGCCTGACTGACAGGCATGTGACGCTGCATCGAGTCAGAGTTGTCAGTACATCGCCGTTGGAATGGGACAGCCAAAGTCTTTGCACTCACCATCCCTCCAGGAGCTCAAATTGCGAAACACCCACCGCGTGTACCTTCAAGCCTCTTGACTCTAAGAGCGCTCGAGTTTGAGGCGCATCGGAAGACATGACGACTTCATGGTCCCCAAGGACGACGACAGCGACGCCATGCTCTTCTGGGATGGCGAGAAAGTTGGCGAAAAGTGAAGGATCGTCGACTATGGGCGGCCAGCCGATCACCGTACCGTCCGGTAATGCCGTTACGGCCGATTTGAGGTGCAGGGCCTTCGTCACGGGCACTTCATTGACCGTGTAGCCGCGGGGCTCAAGCAATGCTCTGAGCTGTCGTCTACCGTCGGAGTTCGTGCGCGCGCTTTGACCGATGTAAACGAGCTTAGACTGCCCGAGCTTCAGCAGGTCTCCTCCGTCCAACGTTCCTGGCGCCGCAATGGTGGCTAGCTCGAGTCCGTATTTTTGAGCGAGATTGAAAGCGGTAGCTTGAGCGCCTGGGACCTCTGCTATGCGACTCGACGCGCCTGGACTGCACTGCAAGAGCAGCGGTCGGTGGCCTGCAGCAGCAAAGTAGACGAGTTGGTCTTCAATGAAGACGCCATCAGGACTCTTGTCGCTCGGAGTTACTTTCTCGATCTCCCAACCGAGCGATTGGAAAGTGCGAATGTAGCTTTCCCACTGTGCGCGCGCTTCCACTGCATCTACTGCATCGCGTTGGTCAGCGATGTGCGACACTTGACCTTCGGCCAGTCGAGAGGACGGCTCTCGGACAAGTAGGACTTGCTTCATCTTAGGCTACCGAGCGGCCTGCTTCCTGTGAGTTGGTACCCCATTCAGCAAGCCTTGGCATCAAACCGGCACGGGCTGATCAGTGCCGATGTAACAGGCAAAACAGGCACCCGTACGAAGTATATCCACCGCTAATTCACGCAGCGCTTCGGCCTGCGCGAGGCCTTGCACTCGGGAGTCAAGACTTTTGCACCTGGTCAGAGGCAAGTAGTCGGTTCTATTTCTCGGGTGGAGACAAGGAGACCGCCACAACCGACCATTGTCTATGATCTAGGCATGGCACTGCAATGCATCCCTCACGGTGGCTTCCACGAAAGTTGAGTATACTCATAATTGAGTACAAGATGCATATATGATACAAATGCCTAATCATACAACAGAGTGCGTGGCGAGAGCGACTGCTTCAGAGGACCATCGCATCCGAACGGCTAGGGCTATCCGCATCACCGAGCGCATTAGATCTCTTCAGAGTAGCACTGCTGAGATCGAGCCTCGGAAAGTCCACATCGCCTGGGCCCTCAGTGCCGAGCATGTGCTCACCAAAAGTGAGGATCCTGAGCAGCTGCAGAAGCTTCGGGTCCTTCCCCTGGCTCTGACTCGCCAGAATGGCAGCATTCAGTTCGCCCGCCGTCTTCAAGCGCTGCGTTGGGGTGAGCAAGTCCGAAATGTACGTGGGCAGAGAGTGTGAGCCGCTCTTGCCGCCTACTGATGCTATGCCAGGCGTATCAAAAACAAGGAGCGCCATGGTACGCTCGAGCTCTGGCAACAGCTCCGGATGCTCCTCGCCCCTTGGAGCGAGCTCCTCGGCGGCGAATGCAAGAGCTTCGGCGACCTTACCTGTGCGGATCAGCTCGATCAGACGCTGCTGCTGCAGGCGGAAGAAGAGCACGGGATTGGTGTCCAGTATCTAATTGGTAGAACATTAAGACAGTCAATCAGCACACTTGAACTTTCATGTAACGTAGATGTGTCAGATTGTTTGGTTGGTGATAAGCTTTCCGCAACCAAGTAGGCACCATTTAGGATACTCGACTATGTCTCGCATCCCAATTGGCCCCACTTGCTCGGCGTGGTGCATGAAGTTTATCATCCTCAAAGGCAAGAGCGTTCGTCGGCCGTGCAAGCTCACCTCGGGATCAAGTTCATTGACTCTGCCGATTGCCTCTTCGATGTCGCCACGCTGTATTGCGCTTCGAACGGTCATTCTGTTAGCGATGCTTTCAAGATCGACCTGAGGGCTGATCCCTGTCTCAGTGGCGTAAGACTCGGCAGCATCCTTGTAACCTTCGATGACGAGGTAGTCCATGACCAGGCGGTTCAAATCCCTAGGCCGCAATCAAACAGGCGTGTCAGTCTTACAAAGAACCAGTTGAGCAAATGTCTTGCACCTCTCTCCTCCAAGCCCTTGCAAAGATTCAGTTGGCAAAAGTAAAATGTTATCCTCAATAGAAATTAGGAGAGATTCCCACTTTGCATTTATCTCATCATTCGAGGCGACTCCGTTTTCCCCTTCGACTTCCTGCAATCATCCTGCCACTCGAGGTATCGACGACTCACGCTTTACTTATCTGCACATCGTTCAGGCTCTTCTCCCATTCGGAGCGCCGGATTTGCCGTCTTGGGCTCTGCCACGGGTGGCCAAACGTCAGCTGGAAATGACAGGGAAAGCGACGCGCGTCCAAGGAGCTCACCATGGTGTATTACTTGCCTTTGACCTGCTTGAGCAGTGGCTACGTGGAGCCGGATAGCCAACATGCGGTTCCAGATCCACCAGCAGCCTAAAAGGAAGATTGAGAACGCATGTCACTCGGGTGAGTATCGATCTCAAATATGATGGAGAAGAAAACGCAAAGAGAAGGAAATGCGTCAGCCGAAGTCTTGTTTGTCTCTGCGGTGGAGTGTGGAAGGAACACTGCTTCACAAGCCGACAAACGTGAACGTCGACGAAGCGCGAACAAAAGCGGAAAGAGAGTAAAAATGACATCACGTGATGAAGGTTTGAGTTCTGATAGGTGTGCGTGAAGGTAAGGGACTCGTGTCCTTATAGTCTTTACCACCACCATCACGTCGGCATCGACGAGTCTAGAGCCACACAGCTTCTCGTGTCCAGCATCCGCAAGATCAACTAAGTCGAAGCGCAAGCTCCGCGACGTGCAACACTGAACACGCAGATACCTTTGATTTGTCGCCTGTTAGGAGTGCTTGTATTCGGTCGCGTGCCGTGATTCAACTGTCTTTGTACATCCATCTTTTCTTCCTCTGTGAATCAACAACGGCATTTTGTTGTTTTGCTTTACTTCCATCACGGGCAGAATCGTTAAGAGTCTGCAGAACGTCAGACATTGCTCGACGGATGACACCTGGTAACAGCATCACCATCTCGACGACTTTTTGCTCTTCACAGCGCCTGCTGAGCCGGTATCTCTGATCCTCAAACGCTCTTCATCCAAGATGGCGTCCGCTACGGTCTACTACAAGTTCAAGTCCCAGAGGGATCCCTCCAAGATCACTTTCGATGGGACAGGGATCAGTGTGTGGGACATCAAGAAAGAAATCATCATGCAGAACAAGATGAATAAAGACCTTAATTTCCATCTCAGCATTTTCGACGAGTCCGGGTCAAGAGGTAGGCACCTTGAACGGTAATGTTCTGAAGCAAAGAGCTGCTTTCTGATTTCAAAATGCTTACCGTTTATAGAGTACAAGAGTGACGACCAAATTGTGCCGCGATCGTCCCTTGTCATTGTCAAGCGTCTCCCTGCGCAGCCCGGCAAAGGCACCGCGTACAAGTACGTAACTGATGACTCCGGTCCTACTGGCGTTGAAGCGCGCTTCAGTGGCGTACCCAATGCTTCCGGGATACGCTCAGCGCCAGGAGGCACTTACAGAGGTACCATGTCAATGCGCTTCGATGGTCGAGATGCGCAGCAGGCAACGTCATCAGCTTCTGCATCCAACTCCGCACAGCAAAGCTTTGATGCCCCAGCGGGAGGTCAAGACAATGCGGACGAGGCCAGCAAGATCGCCGCCATGTTCCAAGCTTCCAACGAGCAGTGGAGTCATACACAAGAGCAGATGTCGCATGCGACATACAGAGAGCGAGGCGGGGCTCCCAGGAGAGGAGGACCACCTCGTCCTCAAGCCCCACACCTACAGCAGCGACGGCACGAGCCGCCTGGGCCAGGCTATATCTGCCATCGCTGTGGCAAGAAGGGTCATTGGATTCAGGATTGTCCCACGAACGATATGCCGGACTGGGATGGCAAGCCGAAACTCAAGAGGACGACCGGTATCCCAAGAAGCATGCTCAAGACTGTTGAGCAACCCACTGACGAGCAAAGAGCGGCAGGTATGATGATTACCGCGGATGGAGATTTCGTCATTGCCCAAGCAGACACGTGAGCTTGCGAAGGGTGGAGCTAAACACCGACTTCCATTGCTTAAACTTTTGGTCTCCTCTGCAGGGCTACCTGGCAAAAGCAACGCGGGCGCGCAAAGATTCTGACTAAGAGTGATGTCTACGAGCTTCGTCCTTCCGATAGCTCTCTCACGTGTGCCCTATGCTCGCGCCTTCTCCGAGACGCTGTCAAAACACCATGCTGTGGAACTCGTTTTTGTGAGGAGTGCATTCAGAATCATCTCCTCGAGCACGACTTTATGTGTCCCGAGTGCGAAAAGAGTGTTCAGGATTTGGACCGACTGGAGCGTGATCAGGAGACACGGGACAAAGTTGAAGAGTTCATCAATAGCGCTATCCGCAAGAGCGAAGAAGAACAAGAAGCAGCGACGACGGCACAGCAGCAGCAGCAGGCGGATGAGGCAAGCTTGAGCAACGCTGCTGTTGACGAAGATGGCCGTGTGGGGAAGCAAGGCGATGAGGGCAAAGAAGAGACAAATGGAGACCTGCGTGATCCGCAAAGTGGACACGGAAATCAGCGCAACGGAGGCGGCAGTTCCTACCAAGACATGGTTCAGCAATTCGCATCGTTGCCCAACAACCCAATGGCGACGATGATGATGGTCTCGCAAATCAACGCGCGTCTGCAGGATCCGCGCCTCACTCTGGGTGAGCGGCAGCGGCTCACGGGCCAGCTGCAATATTTGCAGACACTGTACATGAACCAAATGCAGGCGATGATGACGGGCGGGTCGTACACGCAGCAAGGTATCACGTGGGGTCAACAGCAAGCTATGCAAGCCACTAATCCATTCTCACATCGCGCGCCTAACGCGGACAGTGACTCGCCTTACATGCGTACTGCCATCGGAAACAGGTATGTTGTACTTATCAGTTCAAGTTGCTTGGCTTCTCATTCTGAACCCTGCATTTCCTTTCCTCTAAATAGGGGTACTGGACGGCAAAAGCGTGATAGGCCGATGGACTCCTTTGAGGTCAATAGTGGCGGTGGAGGAGGCAAGCGCGCACGTGGAGATTGGTGAACGGAGGTGAATTACGTGTACCTGCAGACAGCAGCGTCGCCGAATGCGCAGTCTCCCTTGGTTGTATATATCCTCTGGCCATTAGCATTAATTGTATATGCCAGTATCACCATATCTCCCGAGTCACAGCACTACAGCATGTTAGCGCTTTGCGTCAAGCAGACCACGGAAGTGCGCAGGCATCTCGGACAAGACCCAACATTCCCCGCTCCTCGGGTTACTTCGAACGACGGGAGCTCGTTCGCTCGTCACCCAGTGCCGGTGAGCCCCTGCGATTGTAACGAACTAGTTCAACTCCAGATGACAGGGTGACTTGTGGAGACTTCTTCTACCGTGTTCTGAACCATCTTCAACTTCATTATGAGTCGTCGTGATCATGAATGGATGAGTCGTGCACCAAAACCTAAACGCGCAGCCGCTGCGATGATGGTCACTAGTGAAGACGTAATGAGGCTTGAGATGGCCCAGGAGAGCCGCGCAGTGCCATGTGCCGGTCGCCGCCGCACACACGGCGGCCTCAAGGAGAGTTTGAGGGTTCGCGCTTCCGTTACACATAATATTTGAGTTGGGTTGTGCCCGGCGACCACCCGCCAACTCGGCACTGCTGCATGGCCAAGAGGTCGAATCTTGTTTGCTGCTCACTTGTGCAGATGTGCGTGTGTCTTGAAGTCACCTTGGCACCTCTCAATCCTGTCTTATCAGGCCTATGAACCACACATTAGCGTTGGGCTGCACGTCTAGAAACGAAGCAACGGATCTAGTTGAGCAAAGGTGACAAGCTGGGGCCTGTTCTGAGAGGGGCTCTAACCAGCAACCAGCAAGCCTTGACGCTGTCGTAGACGACACCTACCTCCTAAGTTGCAGATCAACATGAAGGGTATGCGACTGGATATTTCTTTCGCGGCTGTTGCACTGCTCGGCCTCTGGACCACCTCAGGTGTCTACGCTCAAGCAGGGAAATCGTGCAGCATCACCAGAAACCGCCTGGCCCAGGACACCAACCAGTGAGCATTAATTAGTAAAATCCGAGCAGCAGCGGAGCTCATTCTGACCGAATCTACCCCCATCAGATTCATCAGTGACTGCGGATATACCGCATATTGCGGGACCGACAATGTCTGTCATCCTAATGGATGCAGACGCGACGAGTACCCTTTCGGGTACAAGAGCAAATCAGTGAGTGGTTCCCGGCTTACCCCATACTTCAGATGGAACTCCTCCTGTTCACCGATAGTACTTCATTTGTTCAGGAGTGGCCGCCTATGTGTGATGAAAAAACTCAGGTGAGCTGGTCTCCTATCTCATTTCGAACTTCAAGTCTCATTGGAGATGCTAAGTACGCTATGCGGACAGTTTTGCCCAGACGAATTAGATGGCTGCCAAACGAAGTTGGCCCTTGGCTCGGCTTGCCAGCTTAACAGAGATGGTGCGCTTTATTGCTCATGATACCGCTGCCTATTCCGAAACTAACTTTGAATGGGCATGCTGGGGCTGGTAGATGAATGCGCAGACCCGCCGGATGATCTGAAGGCGCAAGGTGTCGAGTCCATCTGCCTCAAGTACACCTGCCAGTACAAAAACGTAACCATAGGGCAGGCATGCATAAACGAGAACATTGTGTATACAGTGTACAAAAGTCCGGTTCTCAACTACGGAGACATTATCAGCAGGTGAGTCACAGAGGCGGTATGTGCCGCGTTGAAAGATGCTCATGACTTCATACTCTCTGCAGGGACAATTGTCATCCCAGTGCATACTGCAATGCCGCAACAGCTGTCTGCAGGGACAAGAAGGACATTGGCAAGGCTTGTGCGGCGGACAAGGAGTGCAACTCATTCCACTGTTCCGACAACAGTGGCGAAGCACCGGACCAGCTCTACGATGACGAACAGACTGGCGTATGTGCGGCTCCGCCCAGCATTCCCACACAGCCAAGCCCGTGGGTCTATGTCGTTGTTGCGCTCGGCCTCGTCATTGGCGGCCTTGGGCTATGTGTGGGCCTGTTTGCGTTGCACGCTCAGGGTCGCAGAAGGCGCAACGTCGGGGTGCGTCAGTACCACGAGACGCAAGCGCTGCTGCGCGACGACATCCTTGAGACGTACGAAGCTGCGAAGGACACGATCAGCGGGCCTCCGAGCCGGCCCGCGAGTAGACCTGCAAGCCGGAATGGAGGTGCCTGGTCAAAGTCTCACAGCCCGCTGGTGACGGGTGATGCAAAGCTGCCTCATGTCTCAAGCCACCCCTCGGTCTCGTCTAGCGTGCATGGCAGGTCTCCCCTCTACCCCATCGACTCGAAGGATGTCTCGGCGGCAGGCGAGGGCGATTACGCACCGCGGTAGACCACATTGAGCGACACATGGTAAGAAAGGACAGGCTCCAGCTGCATCTTGCTTCCAAAAATGTGCAGCTGCCACATGCAGATTCCGAGCCTGAAGGCACGCTGGAACTTGGGGCAGTGACAATTTTGCTTGTATTTGTATTTGTAAAGGTTTATCTTTTTCGCGACAGTGTATACATGGACATTGATTCTCACGCGCTTTCAACGAACACCATTCACTGCCATCACCTGTCTGCTCCTGGGCCGATTACTTTCCTTCGGCCCGGCCGACAGACCTGATCGCGGCGGACTTGCGCCTCCTGCTGACTGCTATGGCCGATTTGGCGCCGCGTGTGTGTGACTTTTCAACTCTTTGTGACGACGCAATCGCCATGAATATGCATGTTTCTATCTGCTCATTGTGCCTTCGCATTCGCAATGCATTCGCGCCCACCTGCTGTTCCAGCATAAGTTAAAAACTCACAACCTGCAAGCGCAAAAGCCGGGCTTGGCCCGGGGGTGTCCCGGCTGGCTAAGCGATGAACTCATCATCTCCCTGCGTCTATGACTCTGTGTGATTCAGAGTGGCTGACTATGGATATGTAAATGTAGCCAAGCCTCAAGACAGGTCAATGCACTGTCAACTGTTAATGCTACTGATCAACTTGAAGCAGATGCTGATGCCTTCCAATCGTCGCACAGGTTCAGGTCACCGAATGCAACATAAGTGTTTTAATGGAACTGTGGATACAGTGTGTGAATCCGGACGCATGAAACTGCAAACGCTAGAACGTATGAAGCTGGTAGTTGCTGGAACCAAAAGACGGCCTGCGTTCGAAGGTTAGACCCCGATCTTGTGACATGCCATGTAACTCTTCTCACATTCTTTCAAACTCCAGAAGAGAATATGGACGTCCGTCGTGTGTTTCGATGGCTCGACACTCCACAGAGAAGGCCCGAAACTTTATGTAAATGACAGGGAGTCCTCAGTGTTACAGACTCTGACACAGCTGTGAGCAGCAAAAGGATGATCTTCCGGGCACAAACACCTATGTAACGTGCGCAGAGACGAAAAGCTGGGCTTCCCTTTGCTTTTGATGGAGAAGCACTATGCATTATTACTGACGTATTTTTCTTTCAAGTATTTGCGAATTAGTGCCCACGTCGGCAGCGACACCTGCACGAGCTGCGGCCTTGGAGGTTCCGACGATTGTAACGAAACTCAGCTAGGCAGGCAGGACATTCGACCATATTGATCGTCTCTCATCGCATGAGCGTTGGATTCACTGCAGAATTGGGAACCTTTCTTTGGGGGTGGGGGTGGGGGTAATATTGCCCTTGTACATATCGAGTGTAGCAAGTGAAATGGTGGGGGGGGGCAGGACGCATCATGCAGCACTGCGCGGCAGCAGGGTGCTGACGGGGACGATGCTAATCATAGTAACCCTCACCAATCGCCTTCCGCCCTTTGTCGGGCCCCTGTCGGACCTTCCGACGCTGACACGATACGTGGGGGTTTGAAAAATGTGTGTTCTATTTGTTTCGACCCGAAACTCTCTTTTCTCCCTCGAACCACGCTGTGTGCTCATACGCTGTACGACTGAATCTATGTTGCAGACCTCGGAGCTCGGGACTTTGACAACGCAGGAGGGCACACTGTCGTAAGCACATCTGGAGCGCTCGGGCCGTGTCCTCCTTTCTGACATTTTGCATGTCCTCTATAGGATCGGTTTAATAATTTTGGTTGGCTTCTCCAACCCCGCCTGGAAGACAAGAGTTGTCAAATGTCAAATAGTCGAAATTTCACAAAAATTTATACTAAGAAGTCTTTGGGTCTCGGGTGTCCCTCGGACTTTAGATTGCTATGTATCAGACGCAGCCACTTACCAGTCCATCACAAACGTCACATGCATCCGGCCACCTCTGGGCTAGCAACTTTTGGCTGAGGCACTACGACTCTATGTAGGACACTCGCAAGTCGCAGATGAAAATATCACAGTCACCATCTACTGTATCTGGTTTCTAGCGAGATGTGGCTGGTGCTGCCCTGACTCGTGAATCGTGAATACATACGCATCTCCGTCACCGGCTGCGGGCAGAAGCTGGCTGAGGCTTGCATGGACTGTGGATCCTCCACGCCCCGCTTTACCACAAACCACTATTGGCCTGTTGACCTACTTGTACGAAATCAGTGAACACGATAATAATATAATAGCCTCCTTTGCTTTACTTCCTCCGTTGCATCCCATGTATATAATGGTATCAGCTATGATCTGGTGCACAGTGCACGAGACTCGACATCTCTGGATCACCCTTTTCTGCGCTGGAACGTGCTTACAACCCTTCTATTCCTCGCCCTAGAGTTTCGCGGCCTTGTCGTCCCGACTCTCGGCATTTCGATTCAACCCTCTGGCGTTAGGCGTTCCGCTAGGCGGCTGAGAGGACGTCTCTGGCACCTTTGCCACGCCTTTCTCTCCTGTTGCTCGTGCAAGGTGGAGTGAGGCCAGAGATCGTTCGAAGGGTCACCAGGAGGGGTTGATCCCGCGCTGCTTGGGGTTCGCTCTACAGTTCCACTGCGTGTGGCCCAGTGTGCGCAGTATATCGATACGGGTATCGACGGCTCTCGTCCTTCCATGTTTCGGGACGGAAGGGAATCTGTGAAAACCCGCAAGAATTCGGGGAATATCGGCTGCTAGTCGGAAAGCGAGAGCCTGGAACTGGAATAGTGTAAGCCCGCAGGGCAGGAAAAGACTGCTGTGTGCCATCTGTCGGCCCAACCGTGTGGCATCCATTCAGGGTGCAGCGCAGCACAGTGCAGCGATTGCCATCCGCACCACCATATCCATCCTATCCATGCGAGCTAGCCCACCCATCCCAGATAACCCAGCCAGCCAGCCAGCAAGCATGTCCACCGCCGTGCTTAACTACCCGCCCCGAGCACGCAGCACAGGCGCAAGCAGCAGCAGCACCACCACCAGCTTGCCCCGCTACCCTTGCCCGTCCAAGGTGCAGCACACATCCCCCACCGCTGCTGCCGGCTACGATCATCGCTCGAGGCCAAGGCGCGCTTCATCGGACGCTCGAGCCGCTCGTCCAACCCTCGACACCCCGGCGCATCGTCGCGATAGCACCACCCGCTCGCGCTCCGAGTCCATCTCCAGCGGCGGCAGCGAGTACCACGATACATCCGAAGTCTCGACCGCTTCGACAACTCCATCGCTTCCCTTTACGCCACAGTTCCCGCCGCTGCCACCACCGCTGCCCACCCCTGGCCGCAGCAGCATCAATTACTCGCGTCCGCGTGCAGGCTCCGTCGGCCGCGAACCTTATCCAACCTATTCTTCCCTTACCGCCGACGACCGGCCGATTGTGCGGCGCAAGCACTACTCTTTGTCGGCCTCTTCCTCGAGAGACTCCTTGAAGAGGCTTGCTTCACCACCTGCATCCGCCGCATCCTCAACCCCTTTTCCGCATTCTCGACGCGAAGCAGAGGACGGGTTCAGCAAGCTGGAAGGCTTCGACGCCAGCCAGCAAGCGGCGATCGCGTACTCCCTGTCGTTCCCTGCGCAGGAAGAATATTCTCAGCTTTCTAGCCGCCTCCCACTCTCGTCGCCACCGAGGGACGAAAGCGAAGCCACCATGATGAACATCACAGGAACCGACTACGTCGTGCTCACGCATCCACCCCCGAGGGGGGCCGATGGCACGGATGGCCCAGCTGGGTACTATGGCGGTGGAGAGGAGATCTTAAACGATGACGACGACGTGGACTATTTGTTGAATGGGCCGCCCAAGCAGCGTAGGAAAAGAGGCGGATCAGGCGGGCGGCCACAGGCACGAGACGACATGGAGAGGACCGATACATCAGACGTGAGTCGCTGCATCTGCTGGATGGTGTGTACATGCGGGACGCTGGCTTATCTCCTTTCTCTTGCATGTGCAGCTGGCCGCATTCCTGCGCAACTCTGAGCCACAGGTGAAACCTGACTCTGCCACTTCCTTGCAGCGCAGCGGGAGCCTTCATGATGGCCTTGAGTTCCTCAAGGACGAACCCAAGCGCAAAGGCTTCTTCTCCAAAGCCAGAGACGCGATGACGGGCAGCTTGTCCAAGAAAACAAGTTATGCTTCGCTCAAGGAACGTGCAGACAAGGACATGTCTGTAACCCCTGTCGTGCCTCAGCCGCTCAAGTCGCGGGACGACAAGGAGATCGAGTTCGATGCACAGCTGAGGAACGAGGAACTCACAAAGGTCATCCTGCCGAATGGCAGCTCTTACTATTCGAATGGACAGCAAAGCGTTCACAGCACGCCGCGATCCACGACGGGCCATCGCATCTCCATGCGCTCTCCCAGCTCGGTAAACAAAAACAGCACAGCGTCTGCTGTCCTGCCCTCGAGTGCTTCCATCAGCTCTCAGACCGGGGGCACGTGCAATGGCCGAAGTGTCCACTCTGTGCAGCTCGAGGCGGTATCGAATACCCGTCGTTCCACGCAGTGCCAAAGCGGCAACGCTGTCTTCAACGATCCCTCTAACCGCGGACAGGATGTTGCCATGCCGCAGAATGGCGGTTACGACTGCTCTTCTGTCCTGCCTCTCAGCGGCAGCGTTACCAGCATGGGCTCCGTATCCATCAGCGACCCCCGCAAGCAGGCGGGCGGATCGATGAGTTCCTGTTGCTCCTCGGTCTCCAGTGGCGTCGCGCAGCACCTGACGGCGCGCGCCCCCGAGCCGCTGAGCACGCCAAGCTCACCAGCGCAGCACTACTCCCATATAGTCAACTCGGCTCGGGGCGGCAGCGCGCCGACGGTCGCCACGACACCCCTTACCTCTCGCTCGTCGGCCGGGCAAGAGAAGACGACTAACGAGCTCATCCGCGAGATGGAGAATCATCAGCTGCCCGTGAGGTCGCCGCGCGTCTCCACACGCGCGCCGCTCCCCGCATCCACGGAGCAGATGCCCGTGTCAAAACTGCTCTCGCTCCCTGCCGGACAGCCGTCTGCACTGTCGCAGAGAACGAGCGTCACATCCGCCTCCTCGATGAAGACGACCGCCGCAGCGCAGAGAGATGCGCTGCAGCATTCGCTTCCTTCGTCCTCGGCGGCGACAGGGCCAGCTGCATCGCCACGCAATGGCTCGCCAGCGCAGCCGGCAAGTTTGCCTGCCGATGCGGCCACAGCGTCGCTGCAACGTCCACCGCGAGAGCCATCGCCTTACGGCAGCAGCGGGGGCGGCAAGGCGGCACCAGAGCAGTTCAGTGACCCTTCTCCTGGCACGATGATCCTGTCAATCTCATCGGCCGTGACGAACAGCCCCAAAGCAGCTCCCTCCGCACTTCCGCTGAAAGCCATTAACATCCCTGTCGCAACCGCTGCAGCCGCAATTGAGCTCTCTGGTCCGCCATCCAGTACCTCTTCCAACATCGTCGACGCAGAGAGATCGCTCACTCCTCTGAGCACCACGAGCCGGCACTCGCCTAAGCCTCCTGAGCCAGCACACTTTGTCCGCCCAGACTCACCTAAGGAAGACCTGCTGGCCGCGATCGCGCACGCACCAAAGAACTACTCACACCTTTCTATGTACTCGACGCGCACCGAGCTCTGGCGCGCGCTAGAGGCAACGCGCGCAGCGGCAATCCTGGCGGAGAACCGGCACAATTCCCGCATGGTCCGCCAGCAGCGGCTGACACGCAAGACGATCGCGCTGCTCGAAGCCTCCTTGTCCGCCCCGCACACCGTCGGCCGCCGGCCATCGCACGGGAGCATCCGCAGCAACCGCACCGGTGGGCCTGCCACCGCTGCGGACGATGCGCGCGTGCGCAAGCACGTCGCGGAGCTCAAGCAATCGCTCAAGGGCAAAGGCACCACGGAGCACCAGAAGGACCCCGAGTACACTCCGAAGCGCGAGGTGAAAGACGAAGACTCGGAGCTGGTCAGCGACGATTTCACTGCTGTCAGCTCGGATAATGCTGCCGGCCCTTCTGAGCAGCAACAGGAACAGCCCGTCAATAGCAGCATGACAGAAAACGTCGCCCCCGTTGCTGACGCTAATGATGCTGGGAAAAGAGGCGATGGAGCAGGCCAGGAAGGCGGATATGGTGGCACTCGTGAAAACAAGGGTTCCTTTAGCCACGCGCAGAGGGTTGTTCCGGGCATCGTCAATGGGGCCCAAGCTACCACGTCCTCTGCAGCTGCAGCGGCGATCGCAACCCGGACAGCGCGCAGCTCGAGCCTATCTTCCTCGCGCCGACTTGAATCTCTAGCTCCTCTGCCGACATCCCATCAGAGCGGCTCTGCTTCCATCATTCCTCGATGCGGTTCGGCTTCAGGTCGCAACGCTTCCAGGGACGGTTCAGTCGATGATGCTTCGCGTGTCGCAGCGCCTCTCGTTGCGGTCGCACTGGCAGAACAGCCTCCGGTACCTGCAGGACTTGCTGGTGCAATCGTAGGTCCTGCGCCAGCTGCCGTGCCAACTGCAACCGCGGCTGTGCCGCCTCCGCTGGCTCCTTTCGTATCCACTCATGCTTCCAAGGCAAGCATCGCTTCGATCTCGGAGAATCCTTACACGTCCAAGGCCAGCTTGCAGATCAGCGAGCAAGATGCAGCGATCTTTGCGCGCTTCGCTGCGTCTGCCGCCCTTTGATACGATCTGGGTTGGTTCGTTCCTGCCCACGTTTCCATGCACGTCTTCGAACTCCGTGGCGCACCAATTCCGGCCTTTTCACATTTTATTAACTTTTATTCATGATCTTTTGCAAGGTCCTGGTACTTGGAATGGTCGACACGACAAGGGATACCTGTACTGCAATACCCAAGCGCATTTGTTGTTTTTCTGATCGGACACCTGACAATTGACTTTGCTACATTCGCTGCATTAACAAGTGCTCTATCAGAATTGATGGGCGTTATCCCTGCCAAAAATGCTTCAGAAATTGAGGTGAAACACAGTGCTTCAGACTGTGGTTAGGGTGAAGATACGCGCGTGGAGATGCCATTTCTCGGCCATCCTACAAATAAAGGTCTTTGCCCCTGTCTTCTGAGCTTCGCGTCATCGCTGCTTCGGGCGAACGCTTTCCAATGGCCTCCCAGTCGCAGCTGCACACTTTGTTTTACGCATGTTATGATATGATACATACACAAGTGAATTGTCAAACGCACCTATAGGGTGCAAGGTGTAAGTTTGCTTCAGAAGCTGCACGCGGCCGCGAAGCAGACCCTATTAAAAAGCCATCGCACGTAGCCAGCACGAAGAGGCGCATTTGGAGACGTGCGATAAAAGGCTGCTCGAGAATTGCTTTGGGGCAGAGCCGCGAAGGACGTGTTACATGAACGCTCGGAGTTCGGTTGCTCTCAAGCTTCTCGTGTCAGGCGTCTGGTTTGTACTTGCTCCTGCTTAGCCAGTACCGTGCAGTTTCCGTCGCAAGCTTGCACCTTGCGCGTTTGGGACGGTATAATGAGGGCTCATGAGCCGTTGGCTGTTGGCATTTTGGTAGGGAATCTGTGCAGTTCCATAGCATCTTTGCCTGGTTACTCCGGAGCGTCAGGATGCGTACGGCACAGGCCAAGACCATGGACTTTGCTCGTATCTGGCATTGGCTTGAGCAAGGGCATCCGGTCCCCATCTGTACACGCGGCGGCAGGCTGTGGCCAGCTCACGTTTTTGCTCCAAGCACTCAAGCAGCGCCTCCTCCTCTGGCCTCAGTGCTGCCCACCAAATCTACTGTAACAGCCCTGGCCCGTCCGAATGAATGGCAATTATCTGCGACTCCGCGTCGCATTTCCTTTCTAAAGGATGATGTACTGAGAGTATCCACGCGCAGCGAAATTATGCGAGTCGCTTACTGGAGACTCCAAATCACCGCAAGCCGATATACATTGGCACTTAAGGATGGCATGGATGGTAAGTACTCGTACATATGTTCACTTGGACGGGAGTGTTTACATACCTACACGCGGTATGTGATGCGCAACTGTGCATCGTTGTTCAAGCCAACGCGTATTTTATGCAAGTATGTATGTACGAACCGATATATCAGTATGTATGTATGTCCAACCACTCTGATTCTACCATCGATATCCATGACCCGATTATCCATATTCCAACTTCCACGGCATCAGTCTGCTTAGTGGAGCGCCGTGGATCTGAATGCGGACTGCGCTAGTTTTTAGGCTGATTAGTGGGAAATGGCGTGAAATATTTAAACGAGGAGAATTCCCAACTGAACTTAGCGCTGGCTCATTCTTGAAGGCTGTGGCGGGCAACAGGCCACAAGCCAACAGCTCATAGCTCAAAGATCAGTGGCTCTTGGCGAGGGGTTTTCCTTCCTGCCTGCATTCCGCGCTTTTCTGATATTTCCCGCTTCCATTCTTTCCGTGCGGAGTGTGGAAATATGTACGTACATACCGAGTAGTTCCAAGAGAAATTGCGATATAGACTCCTTTTTGGCCCCTCTCTTCCTCAGTGAATCTGTGTGATCCACCCTCGCTGGACTTCCTCAGGAGGGTTCGGCTGCTTGGCTAAACCTGGCAGTTGGCTGAACACGGTGAAATGCTAGAGCTTCTCAGCCTCGCATAAAACGGCCGGCCGGGCAACAGGCACTGGGCAAAAATCCGCTAGTGTCTCTGCTTCAGAGTCGGTCGCCATCATCACGCAACTGGAATCCATCGCAAATCCCCGAAGTCGAAGTCGACATGCCGCGTGACCCATCCATGGACCATGCTCCCCCTATGAGTGCCGCTCGGAACAAAGTCGATGCCACCTTTTGTGGCGCCGTATCACTGCCGATCAGCACCAGAGAAAACTAGTAGCTGCCGAACCATATGATGATATGATGTAGAGCTCCCGATTTCCGAGGACCGAAGTTACAAGATAAAATAAAAAAAGAAATAAAAAATGTCACGATTCCATTTTCTGACGCCGCAACGGCCCAGCTGCCCGTACAAGAAAACAACCTTCAAATACAGAGTCGCAGAAGGCAGACCGCCGAAAAAACAAACATGTCGAAGCTAGAAAGGACTTGGCTCTAACTATCTTATTCATATTCATCAGCGCCTTGCGCACGGTAGCGCTGCGAAAATGGATGTCAGCAAGCCATCATCAGTGCTGTGGTCCTCTGACTGTAGTGTGTGATCTTGGGAGTGGGATGGGGCATACGAGTTGAGTCGAAATGAAATGGTACCTTGTCCACCAGATCCTCCCTCCCACCAGGCTACATCGTCCTCGGCAGGTTCGTTGCAAATCGCTGCATTACCTCGACGGAGGTTTGATGTTCAAGCAGGTCAAACGGGTGCTCAGCGCCTTTTCAACAAGTAGGCCTTATCTAGCAACTTGATACCTGCTTAGGAGGCGAGGTCCGCGTATTTTAGCCACTATGGTGCGCCTCTTTTCGACCCGTTCGCGCCATGGGACGTTTCAAGGTGATCCATTCGCGCACTTCTTGCAGCCCCCGGCCAATGAGTCGCCTGAACAACAGGCTGCTCGAATAGCGGCAGAAGCTCACGCCAAGAGCTTGTCTGATGCAATTGACCAGGCGCTTCAACGAGAGGCGGCTGCGAAAAGACCACCCAAAAATATGGCCGACCTTCAGATCATCTTGCTCGGACAGTCGAATGCAGGCAAAACTACTGTACTCAAGCAGGTGCGCGAGCGGAGAACACGGCTAGATTATTCTCGCCGTCGACGCTGATCCGTACGCACCTGCTCTTTTACCTGATTCTTTTCCGGCCAGATGCGTCTCATGTACGACCCGCGAGCGCATGAACGCGAGCGAAATTGCTGGAAGGTGATCATTTATCTCAACATCATCATCGCGGTCCGCTCCCTGCTTGACACCCTCGAAACGTTTGTCCAGTACCACACCTCTGCTGCCACGTCGCGGTCGCCTAATCTAGGTGGTGGGAACCGATCTTTGCCAGCAATTCTGGCACAGCGCAAAGGCCCACAAGCTCTCCTGCTTTTGCGGATGCGCTTTGCACCGTTGTTAACGCTCGAGCTCCCACTGCGTCGGCGCCTGGGTGCCCTGGAAGACCCAGAGCCGCTCCAATGTAGCAAGGCCACGCGGTCGCCGGCTGCATTTCCAGGAGACGGGCTCAACTGGCAACCTAGCCCCGACGCATCACCGTCTTCCACACCGGACTCGGGGCGTAACCCGCAACAGCAGTATCGCTTTGTGAGCCACCTTGGGCTCAGATCCTCTCCAAGAAAGCCCCCCAAATCCGCCCAACATCCGCCTCATGTAGGACGCAAATCATTCTTTGTTTCCGCTGCGACGGCGCAAGAGCAGGGTAGCGACGTCAACGGGAGCAGCGAGGGTGCGTCGGCCGTCGGAATGGGAGCGCATGCCATGTCGCAGTCCAACGCGCAGACTCAACGCCCATTTTATGCGCATAGCGCTCCAGGCAGCGACACCAGCATCACCAGCGGCTCTCAGCAGCCACGCGTGCCCGCATGGAGAGCGAGTCCACGTGGCAACGCGCAGAGTGCGTTGACCAATGCTGCATTGGAGGCTGAGGCTAGCTTCGATACATACAGTTCTCACGGAGAGTTCAAGTATGTGCACAATGATGTGGATGCAGATTCTGACTCCGGTGTTTCCCTGCCCACATCGATGCACAAGCACCGCGGCGTTGGCGGCGGGGATGCACGCGCGCGTACAAGAGCATCAGCAGGCGTTGGTGCGGCTGTGGAGCCTTTGCCGCCGAAGGGAAGGCCCGGCCAGATCGGTGATGAACTTGTGCTTCGTGCAGGCTGGCAGGCGCGCATTAGCGGCCGGCAGCCGGTCAAGGCTGCACCGCGTTTCACGACGCTGGTACGGAACGCACTCAAGGTGCCACAGAAGGCGGCGTCGATCCGCAGCACAGCGCCGACGGTGGCGGCAATAGCAGTAGATGTTGGTGTGGAGAGCTTGGAGGGCGACGAATGGGGTGCGCTGGCAAAGAATGACGAAGGGGAGGCGGCGTCGATGCTCCGGATGTTGTGCACGGACATTCTCAACCTCTGGCACGGAACTGATGGCGAAAGCGAGACGGCAGACTTGCTGGCGAGCGTCCACAGCCTTGGGCTTTTGGATCACCTCGGCCCTACGACCTAGTGAGTTCCCTGCGTGCATCGTGCGACTTGACTTGCATGGCGGCGACGCAGGACAGCAATGCTAACGGCTCGCTCTGGCGCTTAGCTTCCTCGACCACCTGACGCGCGTCGTCCAGCCGGAGTACGTACCCACGGACCAGGACATCCTGCGCGCCCGAGCCCGCACAGTTGGCGTGACGGAAGAGACGGTGACGATTAGCCACCTTCGATGCCACATCTTCGACGTCGGCGGCCATCGCAGTCAGCGCGCAGCATGGGCGCAGTTCTTCGACGACTCGCAGGCGATCATCTTTGTCGCTCCCCTCGGTTCTTTCGACCAGGTCAGTCCTGCGCTACTAGCCTCCCGCCTCTTGGGGAATAGCCACTGTATGCACATTGATGTTGACGAGATACTTGTCCTTTTCTGCGGCTTCCCTTGCCTTGTACAGTGCCTCGTCGAAGACCCATCAGTGAACTGCCTGAGAGATACGCTGCAGTTGTTCCAGGATGTCTGCCGGAATCGTCTGCTGGTACGCTCGGCGCTGATCGTATTCATGAACAAGATGGACGTGCTGGAGGAGAAGCTGCAGGCTGGCGTGTCCTTCTCGCGCTTTCATCCGAAGTACGAGGGTCACCCGCTCGACAGCAAAGAAGTCTGCCATTGGTTCCACCGCCGGCTGGTCAAGACGCACGATGAGTGCTCGCCGCCAGGTGCAGCGAAGAGAGAGCTTTACATCCACAGATCCATCGCTACGGTCAGTCAATCGCTCCTGCTCCCAGCCCTAGCAGCCCCAGCGCCGATGGGCAGAAAGTGTGAAGGGCAATCTAGTGGCGGACTGTGTCTGACATTACACCTCTGCCCTATTTGTGTCCACTTTCTCGCAGGACACGCAACGCATTCGGACTATTATGGAAAGCCTGTGGAACGTTTTGCTCACCGACTCGCTCTCCTGGGGCGGTTTGCTGTGAATTGCAGCCACACGCTGACTACAAATGCCAACAAGGATACTTTGACACGAATTGTAATCCACCTGCTATACTTTGCTCACCTTGAAGATCGACCCAAATTGCGTTAAGCTATAACTGACCAAACCTGCGGAACCTACTTGTACTATTTTATTCATTAACACTCGTGGCGTTTAATTGCACCAAGCTATTGGGCCACTCTGGAGCACATTATCCTTTTGTGGCCATGCAAAATATGAACGGATACCTCTCCTTGTTGGCGCGGCCATCCTCCTGCGCGGTCATTTTCTCTAGCGCAAAACTCTCAAACACCCTGACGTCCTTGAGCCCGGACCGCTGCGCTTCGTCGCCCAGCAGCTGCAGCATTTCGGCGCGCAGCAGCCCGTGCCTCTCGACACCGCCGTGCTTGTCCTTCGGGTGGAAGCGCCGAGCGTGCGGGCCGTCATCCTCAAAGTCGGAAATGATCAGCATCCCCCCCGGTGCGAGGGCGCGCGCCATGACGGCGATGGTGTCCTTCATGCGTGGGATGTGGTGGAAGACGAGGTGAGAGATGACGAGCTGGAATCTCTTTCCCTGCAGCACGGGGTCATCGGCGTCCTCAAGGAGGACCTTGATCGCTGTAACTTTGCCGCTCTGTGCGAGTCCGTCGCGCAGCGCTTTGGCGGTGAGCATGTCGATCATGCCTTGCGACGTATCGACGCCCACCAGCTCGTTTACGTGTGGTGCGATTTGTAGCGAGAGCAGGCCCGTACCGCAGCCAATTTCAAGGACAGACCAGCTGGACGCTTCGCTTGGATCCGAAAGTGGGGGCACGTGCTTGAGCAGAGCTTGGTACGCTGCTTGTGAGGACTCGATCGTCTCGGGCTGGCGTCGAGGCGTCAGCAACAGGAGAAACAAGCAAATGAGGGGACTGTCTAGATAGAGGGGCTCACCTTGCTGTCCCAGGCAGCCGCCTGCTTGTCGAATCGCGCATTTCCGGCGGACCAGTTCGCCGTACCCGTCGGCGCTGCGGCCGCCATGCTGTATGTTGGACCGTCCCCGGAAAGGGGGGGAGCGTGTCTGCTTTGCGACCCGGATGCGCGTGCACCTTCTTTCGCGTACCATATCCGCGGTATGGGGAGTGCCTTATACTTGGAGACGAGGATTGGAGGGTTATTTTGGTGTGGTCTGTGTCAGCATCAGCCAGCCGAGCATCATGACTCGCGAGGTTCGAGGGCCGAAAGGTGTCAGTCCGCTCTCACTTCCCTCCGTCACTGCCGGTCATGTCGATGTGGGATAAGTTGTTTTCGTTGAGTAGGGTTGCATACCGGCGCTTGCCAAGCCACCTGTGGGCCTGTGGGCTAGTGGGCCGGCTGGCGGCGGTGCTGTCACTCTGACATGATGACTTGCACTGGCAGTTGGCTTGCTATGCCCACGCGCGAGGGATGCAAGTCCCCAGACCACGTCTCGACTCCATCCATAGCAACCGCACCATATGATCACATCGTATTGGCATCGTCCCCAGAGGCATCCTCGACTATCTCGACTCATCGTCAGTGCCGGAGGATCAAACAGTCTCAAGCAAGAAGACCACATCCTGGCAGGCGCACAAGCGTGGCACCGCAGTCGGCATCTCAGCGCGTACCCGCACTCTCACATCTGCTCTTGGCCGTCAACCACAGTCTGTCGAATTGTGGACAAATCCAACAAGGAAAGGAGCAGACAGACGAGACAGAGACAAAAGCCCGGAGGGAGCACTAGGAATCTCGCCCAAATATATCGGTCCTTCTGTGCTCGCCCTTCTAGCACAGATCGAAAAGAAACGGAGCCTTGGAAGCACCTATCTCAAGCGTTCATTGCCGTCTCATCGACAACTCACCCTTCATCGAGCTTGATCCTCAGCAAGTATCCCTGACACTACAGCTCGGCAGCCAGCACCATCATCCGCAAGGGCCATTCACATCTTCATTGCTCGCCATGTCGTCTCTTCAGAACATGTCCAAGTCCGCCATGCGGGTCGGCAAGAACTACATCAAGGGCTACACAGATGTCCAAGTCAAAGTCCGTGACGCCACATCCAACGATCCGTGGGGACCCTCGGGCCAACAGATGAACGAGCTTGCACAGCTCAGTTACAACCAAAATGATTTTATCGAGATCATGGAGATCCTTGATAAGAGGCTGAACGACAAAGGCAAGAACTGGAGGCATGTATTCAAGTCGTTGACCCTGCTTGATTACCGTGAGTGGTATGCTGTCCGGCTGCGCTTCTCGCGCAGGTGACTGATACAATGAAATGCACCCTCTGGCTACCAGTACTGCATGCCGGCAGCGAGAATTGCGTCATCTATTTCCGGGACAACATCTACGTTGTTAAGACACTGAAGGAATTCCAGTACGTCGATGAGTACGGCAAAGACCAGGGTGCCAATGTCCGACAGAAGGCCAAGGACATCACCAACCTACTGCAGGACGAGGCACGCCTGCGCGAAGAGCGGAGGAGCCGGGCGCACATGCGCGAGCGTATGACAGGCGGCTCGAACGATGGCCTGCCCGAGGACGGGGATGCCGAGGGCAGGCGACGACGTCAGCAGGATACGAACCGGAGGCGCGCCAGAGAGGACGAAGAACTGTCCAAAGCGATTGAGGAGAGCAAGCGGATGGCCCGGGAGAACGAGGAAAGGATCAGGAGGGAGGCAAAGGACGAGGAGGAGCTGGAACAAGCACTGAAGCTCTCACGAGAAGAAGAGGACAAACGCATCAAGGAGCTGGAGGAGAAGAACAAGAATGCACTTTTTGACGATTCGATCAACATCGAAGGGCCCAACGCGTACACCAACGGCAGCCAGCAGGTGGATATGTGGGGAAACCCACTGGTAAATCTCAACGACGGCTTTGCCAATGCCGCCTTGCAGCCGCAGTATACATCGTTCAATCCGTACATGCAGCAGCCGCAGCAGACGGGGTATAACCCGTTCCTGCAGCAGCAAATGCAGCAGCAGGCCGCGATGCAGCAGCAATGGGAGCTGCAGCAGGCCGCGCAACAGTACCAACAGCTGATGATGCAGCAGACCGCCCAGCCACAACAACAGCATCCGCAGCAGATCAGGCCGCAGCCGACGGCGTTCGGGAGCAACAACCCTTTCGCCAACTTTGGTGGTACATCTCAACAGCAGCAGTCACAGCACAATGTACCGGTAGGCGACCTGTTCTCGTCTGAGCCACAGCAGCCTCCACAGCAACAGCAGGAGCAGCAGCAGCCTCAAGCGGCACCGGCACAGCAACCTGCGTCGCCGATCGGCCCGCCGAAAGTCAAGACGGACCAGAGCGATAGATTCTCGGAGCTCAACCGGCTGCTGGCGTCCGGCGATGGGATCGACACGTTTGGTAACACGGGTGACTTGCGATGTGAGTCTCCCTGGGGCTTCATGAGCATTGAATAGTGCATGTGGGAAAGGTTTACTGATTATCATCGTCTCTCTTCCTTCCTTGCGATGCGCACTCGCGCCCTCTTGCCCTCTCCTCCATATCTGACCTTTCCTGCTGACCTCAACAGTCGGGCACAGCGGCAACCGCGGTCAGCTCTTGACGCAGCAGCAGACGGGCGCAGCCGCAATGGGCCAGCAGGCGTTCGGCGGTGCTGGCGGCGCGGGAGATGGAGCAGAAGCAGGAGCAGGAGCAGCGCAAAATGGTTCCCAGCAGCAGCAGCAGCCATTCTTCCAGCTTTGAGGAAATGACTCTGATGTTCTTCTGCCTTTCCGCAACAAAGCGACAAGGTCTACCCTAACCCCCTTTTCACCTCATCTTCTTGACCTCCTGCCCCTCATCGTCTGGCTCTCTAGCGGGGTATACCAGCATTCGTCAACGATCCGTGGTTTTCCGCGCTTTCAATTCAACACATCCACTCGAGAACATTTGACATTTCCATCGTGTACCGTTTTTAGATGATCGTCACCCGTTTTGCCATGAGATGCGCACAGACTACCCAACCATCCATCAATCCCCTCATTCTCTTTCTCTTCGATCTGTAGCTGTCAGTGCGACGGGTCGAGGCAATGTATTGCTTTGCATCGTGCGTGCACCTGGTGCTTCCCTCCATGACCCCAACCGAACGAATGATGGCCATGAGCGCAACGTTCGTCAGCGTCACAGAGAGAGCTCGCGCGCAACGCACGCCACCGTATCCATCCTGCTCTCCAGCATAAGCAACGATGAGGGGGACCGAGCGCACAAAGCAAAAAGGACATTGCACATCACACCGCCATTGAATTCAAAAAAGATATCAGAGGGAAAATAAGAAAGGAATAGAGAAAGTGAGTGAGAGAGAGGCGGCGTGCCCGCGTCGTCACTTGTAATCTTTAACCGATCCGGCGCCGCATTTCGGTTCTCCTTCATTCCTTCCCCTTCCATACACCCCAACCCACATTTCCGTGCAAACGAGGGGCGTGTGATGAGCGAACAACAAACGCCGACCCATTTGGTCCCAGGTCCCACCGAGGTTGGGGTGTAGTGTGCAAGAAGGGACGCGCGAGCCGTGCGCGCTGTGCTTTAGTTCCTCAGCGAGAAGCCCTTCTTCTTTGTCTGGCTCGCTTTTTCCGGCGTGAGCGGCCTGCCGGACTCAAGCCTCCGCTTCTTGTCCTCCAAGTCGAGGCGCTGCTTCTCGAGCGCCTCCCGCATTTCCCGGTGTCGGCTGTATAGCTCCTCCTCTGACTGCTTCAGCTTGGCCTCCTTTTCCGCGACTTTCTGCTGGAAGACGAGCTTCATCTCGTTCTGTGCGTATGTGTGAGCGCAGGAATGGATTGGGTGAGCAGAATATCTTAAAGGATGGGAACAAGCAATGCTGCGAAGGAGCAGCAGCAACAGCGATACGGACTCACCTCCATCTTGGCAAGCTTGGCCTCATGCAGGGCCCTCTCCTCGGCCATCTTGGCAGCCGGGTTGACCTCCTTGAAAACCGAGTGGTCCTGTGTGACGCCCATCGCAACGAGCTTCTCGCTGCGGTACTTTTCGTAGAGGACGGTGTGTGTGTGTTCCTTGAGCTCCTCCATGTGCGTACGGATGAGCATCTGGCGCAGCTTGACAAAGTCGCAGTGCTCCTCGTTGTCCACCTCGATCACGCCCCACGGGTAGCCGCGCCCACGCACGCGACGGCCGTCTGGCGTGTCGATTTCAGAGTTGGCGCCGACGATGGCGAAGGGGATCTTGCGCTGGATAGACGGAATGGTGGGAGCGACGAGGGACAGGAACGGCGTCAGCATGATCTAGCGCTCTTAATCGAGTGACGAGCACCCATTCCCGCAGCAGTGAAGGACTCACAGCAATCTCCTCGTTCTCCGCGATGGTTTCCTCATCCTCGTTGTCGTAAACCGGAGCGTGGTAGATATCAATCTGGTGGTGCGCAATGTCGTTGAGGATCCTCTGCTTGAATGAGAGGATCTCCTCGTCGGTGAGCGTGTCGCTCTTGGCGATGACGGGAATAAGGTTGACCTTCTGGTGGAGGCGGCGCATGAACTCGATATCAATCGGCCGCAGCGCGTGGCCGGTCGGCTGGACAAAGTAGATGCATGCGTGCACGCGGTTGTCGACCAGCTTGCTGCGGTTGACGCGGTTCTCCTGCTCAAGGTAGGCGTCGAAGCGCGACTCAATGTTCTCAACGATCGGCTTCCAACTGTTGTCGTTGTTAACAAAGTCGCCAAAGCCAGGTGTGTCGACGACGTTCAAGCGCAGGCGGACACCGTTCTCCTCAATGTCTGCACAAGAGTGCATTGAGCGTCAGCATAAGCTCCGAAAAGTGTGCCGCACCCTGTCGCACATACTCACCAGCGCTAATGCTCTCGATCGCGACAGTCCGATGCCGCTCAGCCTGCGGCGGAGGGACCTCTTTGCGAGGGTAGAGGGTGGTGTTGAAGAGGGTGTTGATGAGAGTTGACTTTCCGAGACCAGATTCACCTATGCAAGAGGGGGAGGGGATTGATCAGCGCCTGCTGCCTTCTGGCCAAAGGACCTGATGCAGGCTTCTGCTGAATGGAGATGTCATTGATGTTCTCGTTCCATCTCCGTCTACATGAAAACATCCAAAAATTGCAACGGATGAAGGCAGTCTAGAAGCTGTGTGTGTGCGTGCCCTAGACCCCAAGCACCTTTCTCTCCCCCATTCTCGCGTCCGCCAAGATACGAGCCATCTCATCGACGCAGCGTTGCATTGCGAAGGCGCAGTTCCCACGTTGCATCTCTCGACAGTAGTCCAGTAGGAAGTAGAGCATCAGCAGGCATGGAGCACTCACCAACAACCATGCAGGTGAAATTGAACCCCTTCCTCACGCTCTTCCTGTGCACCTGGTTGGGCAGGTTTGCGAATCCGACGTAACCAGTCAGCTTCTTGCGGGAGAGCTGCGGCGCGCCGTTGGCGTGTGGTTGTGCAACTTGGGCCATCTTTGCTGCTAATGCTGCTGCTGCAGCTATGGAGGAACGAGGGAGTAAAAAGAAGAGGGGATCTAGCAGGGATGATCGACTCGGTCTGAGCGAGCGAGTCCTTTGCAGAGAGAGAGAGCGCGCGCAAAAAGACAAGGACTAGGACGGAAGGCGAGGCGCGCGAGACGACGGCTGCAAGGGCGGCTCCAGGAGCAAAGCGTCGGCGCTCTTGCTTCTTTCTTCCTCGTGTGCGGGATGAATGAAGAGAGGGCCAGGCGTGAAGTTGTGTGTCACGCAGACTGGTCTCTCTTTAGCCGTGAGTGTACTGGATGGGAATGGAGATAGGATGGGGATGGATGCGACTTGCCTCGCCACCGTAGTGGATCTGTCCATCCACAATATACCTACCACTCCTACTGGTGAATGGTAGTGGTGCGTCAGAAGAAACGAGAGCGCGCGCGCACGCTGCACGGCGCGGCTGTTGAGCGGTATTGCTGGCACTGCAGGACACTCGCTTGTGAGGACTGATAGGGCTCTCGAGGGTCGCACCGCGCTCTCTTTGAGTGTTCCCACTAGAGTGGTGCACCAGCCAGCCGTGCAGCCATAGTGCTGTAAATCCCGCCTCGCCCCATAGAACCATCCATATCCCATCGATCAACCCTCTCATCTCTGCAGCAGCTCTCTCCATTCTGCACTTCTCGTTTCTCGGATGGAAGCGTGACACGTCAGTCCAGCTGCATCGTGCCCTTCACGAGGTGACAGCAAAAGGCTCCCACTCGCATATCAGACCTGCGGAACTACCCGCCTGCTTGCCTGCCTGCTTGTGTGCTCACTCGCCGGCCTCTCGTGCAGCCCTCCCCCCCTTTTCCCCGCAGGCGCAGGCGAGGTCGGACACTAAAGATGCAGTCCCTCGACGCAGTCACCGAGTCGTTTCTCAGCGGCATTGCCAACGAGATGCCCATATCATCCTCCTCCCACTCAAATGCGCACGCACCAGTCTCTGCCTCTGCCTACCCGTATCCGCCTCCGAGTCCCAGCAACGGGCACAGCCACGATCACCACAGACGCTCCAGCGGCAGGTACGACGATCGCGGTGGGTGTCCTTCCTTCCGTCTTGGTCTTTTTCTCCTTGCCCCTGTAAGCTGTGAACCTTCGCTGATCACAAAATACATTCCTGCGAACAGAAAGAAGCGCAAGGCATGATGATCGCTATGATGATGAGGGAGGTCGGTCCAGAAAGCGTGATGACGACGATTCTGAGTCGGACCGCAGGAAAAGGTGATTGTCATTTATATGGTGCAGAATGCTCTTATTATGAGCACGTACTCATTACACCCCCTCCTTTCGGTCTCTATCGTGTTAAAGGCGCCACTATGATGACCGCGACGATCGAGGAGACCACTATCGATTACCCTCGCGCCGAGAGGACCGAGATTACGATCGTTCAGACCGTCGATCGAGCAGGCGCTACGACGATCCGCCACATGACCGCGAGAAGGATCGTTACTCTTCAGATCGCCATCGTGATCGCGAGCCCAGTAACCGCTACAGCGGGCGTGGGTATGAAGACGACCGCGACAGGCGCGGTGGCTACACGGGGTCGTACCACCGCGGCAGCGGCGGTTACCCCCCAGACGACTATCCGTCGAGCTACCCCTCGCCACATCCCCGCGGCGGCGGCAGTCGCGACGACCGCGACCGACCACGCAGCGGTGGAGGAAGAGGAGACTGGAGGAACGAAGCAAGGGAGCAGAGCCCACTGGTCAAGCGCAGCCCTACTCCGGAAGGCACTGTGCCGATCAGCCAGAGGCCGAGGAGGGATACGAAATGGGACAGGAAACCTCAAGGCTTTGAGAACATCAGTGCACAGGAGGCCAAGGTGTCAGGTGAGTAATTTGGCACCGCTTTCCCATCGAGCAGACGTACTGATGGCAGACCGTCTGCACGCCATGCACCCTTCCAGGCATCTTTGGCGTCCCTGGACAAGCACGCTCTCTCGATGGAGCACCGCCCGTCGGCATGCACTCTGCAGGTGCGAGCGGTGGTCGTACAGCGCTGCCGCCCATCCATCTCGGCCAAGGCGGTGGTGTACCCGGCGCTGCTGGAGCGGGAGTGGGCGGCATCAGCCAGATGAACCGGCAAGCGCGCCGGCTATACGTCGGCAATGTCGGCTGGGACGCGACCGAGCCGCTCGTCACCGGCTTCTTCAACGCCAAGATGCGCGAGCTCAACTTGGTCAACAGGAACCTCGCCGGCGACGAGCCGTGCATCTCGGCGCAGATCAATCCCGAGAAGGGGTACGCGTTCGTTGAGTTCAGGAGCCCGGAGGAGGCGACAAACGCAATGGCGTTCGATGGGATCGTCTTCCAGCAGCAGGGGCTCAAGATTCGCCGCCCGAAGGACTACGTCGGCCCTGACGTTGCGGCACCCACGAACGTGCACGTACCCGGCGTCGTCAGCACGAACGTGCCTGACTCGCCCAACAAGATATTCATCGGCGGCCTCCCTACGTATCTCAACGACGAGCAGGTCATGGAGCTGCTCAAGGCATTCGGCGAACTGCGCGCGTTCAACCTCGTGCGCGAACAGGGCAACGGCCCGTCGAAGGGCTTTGCCTTCTGCGAGTACGTCGATCCCTCCATTACGGACCTTGCGTGCCAGGGCCTGAATGACATGGAACTCGGCGACCGCCGTTTGGTCGTGCAGCGCGCTAGCCTCGGCAGCGGCAAGGGCAACGCGGGCGGTACGCCCGTCGCGGCGCCGCCGCGCGGCATCGCCGCTGCCGCTGCAGCGCTTGGTGGCAGCTTTGTCGGCGGCGTCGGCGGCGCTGCGGCTGAAGAAGCTGGCGAACCGACGCGGTGCATGCAAATGCTCAACATGGTCACGCAGGACGAACTCACCGATGACCAAGAGTACAGTGAGATCGTCGAGGACATCCGCGACGAGTGCGCGCGCTACGGCGACGTTCTCGACGTCAGGATCCCGCGCCCCGAGAAGGAGAGCAAAGGCAGGGCCGCGCAGATGTACAGGAAGGCCGTCAATTCGGGCGAGCAGCCAGCGCCGTCAGCGGACGCGGCAGAAGGAGGAGATACGGGCAAAGGATCGGCGCCAGACAACAACAACAGCAGCAGCAGCAAGGAGCGCGAGGGCGTCGGACGCGTGTACGTCAAGTTTTCCGAGAAGGAGCAGTGCGCGGCAGCGCTGAAGGCGATCGCCGGCCGCCAGTTCGGTGGGCGCGTTGTTATCGCTGCGTACCTCGCCGAGGAGCAGTGGCCCGGCGACGAGGATGGCGGCGAGAATGCCGAGGAAACGAACAAGATGGCTACCGGGCCTAAAGTCCAGGGCGAAGAGCACGCCGCTGGTAAGGACGCGGACGAGGGCGCTGTGGATGTGCCGGCTCAGAGCCAATGGCAAGACGAGGGAGAAGGCGAGGGAAAGCGCCAGCCCGAGGCCGATGTGGATGTACAAGATGCAGAGTAACGATCGTGAAGATGCTTGCCGTCTATTAGAATGTACTCGTATCTACCGGTCACCACTGAAAAAGAAAGCAGCTTCTGCAGCAGCTCCCCATACATACTCTGGTTCTCCTTGGTGCTTGTGGCACGCCTAGAAGTAGCTGACGAAAAGACGCATCGGGTTGCACCGAAAAAGGCAACTACTGGAGTGATGCGCTGTGTCTTCAGCAAGCACCAGTTCAGTTGAGTTTCACGACAGACTCGAGCACATACCTCTCCGCCAAGGACACTCACAGCTGCAAGTATCGCCATCCTTTCCTGCACCGTAGAGACGAGGTGGGGATGTTCCTTTCCTGCGGCGGAGAGGTGAATTTGAAAGGCGCAGACGCCTGAACACCCGCACGGCATCATGGCCGCTGCTACCAGCGCCGGCGCGGCAGGGCCGACACCGACCCTCTATGAGCAGATGTCCATACAATTCAAGGCGCCCGAATTCACCCAGTACTATGGGCCCCTGACCGAGCGCACCGTTCTCGACTACTTTGCGCAGTCGCCTTTCTACGACAAGACGTGCACGAACCAGATGCTGCGCATGCAGAACATCGCCAGCTTTAACACGCTCGTCGGGCGCTGGACAGCCAAAGAGGAGGAGGAGCAACTAAGGAAGTTTACCGGGACAGAGTACGTCGTCGCAATCGCCATGCCGCCATCACTGTTTATCATACAGCGGAGGGAGCGCACAAGTGACGTCGAGACGGAGGACACGGCGACGTACTATATCATCAACGATGCGGTCATGCAAGGGCCAGATCTATACACCGTGCTTGGTAACCGCATGGTGAGTTTTAGGTTCTTGTTCCTATTGGCATCTCTTGCCGTCTGCTGATGCGCAACGTTCTTGCCGCGTCACGCAGACAATGGCTTTCAATGCAATCAGCAACTCTCTAGCTATGGCCAGAGAAGCACAGCCACCCCTCGACCTGCGCTCATCGACGTCTGGCGGCAGAGCCTGGAAGGTGTATCAAGAGGCCGAGGAGGAGGAGGATGAGGAAGGCACTGCGACTGCGTCAAACGCAGAAGTTGCTCTGGTGGATGGCCCGGCAGCTACAATGTCAGCTGCTGCGGACGGCAACGATGCGATCGGCAATGATGACCTCACAGGAGAAACGCCTCTAAACACGGCGAGGGTTGCTGGATCCGATGCGTCGCTCAAGCGCGGCAGCACGGAGAGAGATAATTCAATCCGCAATGGGATGGACAAGCGCGTTCGCGTCGCAAACTAACCAGACTAGGCCGCGTCATGCACGGCGCTCTTGACCTCTTCACCAGCACCCGCGATGGCTGTCCGCGCGTCTTACCGAGGATGAACCTTATCTAGCGGCGATCAGTCGCGACGGAGATGATGCCATGCTCCGGGCATGGCATCCGCTACCCAAAATATGGTTTGCGTGGCCCTGGTCGCCTTTCGGCTGCTTCTTGAACAGGGACGCGTGAAGTTTTCAAGCCTTGCAATCTTTTCTCAGCAGCTCGCGCACCCTCAAAGCACAATCAGCTAGCACTGCAAGCTCCCCAAGAGCGTGAAGCTTACAGAGCCCCATGTGCCATTCCATCTGCTGAGAGATGGCAGCGCATGAGGCCTGCGACAAGAAGAACAGCGCTCACGCGAGGCGCAAGAGCACGCCGCGTATGGACGGTGCCGGGTGCCCACCTCATATCTTTGTCCCCACCATCGGCATGCCACATGCATTTACACGCGCATGCGGGAGAGCTTTGCTCCTATATTACTGCTCCCCATACGCCTACTCCGAATAGCCACCAGCAACATAAATCACAACTGGCCAGGGGGAGAGTGAGAGCTCGCCGTCGAGGGTTGTTGATCATGTATCCCACGTGCAAGCCTTCGCTGTGGTAGGTTCATTATGTACGGTTGCATGTACGATGCGCCAGGGTTTTAGTCCTGTATATACAACACATATGTAGTGCATGGGCTTGTACTATGCTTTGGATTCCGAGTGCCTTTGGAGGTTTGCAGCTACGAGGGAGGATGGCGCTGGGTTGAACCAGCTGGTAAATGTGAAGGACCCGCTCAAAGTGAGCCAGTCAAGTGAGCGTTGTGGTGCGGACTTCCCTTGAGAGCCAAAGTGCTGACGCACCCCACAGCCGCCACCGCTGCCGCTGCGCACGCACCACTGCTTGTCCACCACATCCACGTCCAGTCAATCCTCCCTCATCGCCTCGCCGATCACATTGGAGACAAACGCCGACAGCTTGTTACATCAGCAGCGAAAAAAGGCAGACAGGCTCGGGATTGGATCCGCGCGCCGCCAAAATGTCACTGCAGGTCAACCTCTCCGCGCCGGGCATCCGTCAGGCGTACGAATCCGTCCTGTCCGGCGCGCAGGACTACCTCGTGCTGACCTACGAAAAGGGGTCTAACGACCTGCGGGTGCAGTCTCAAGGCAAGGGCGACCTGGACGATGTGTCAGAGGAATTCTCTGACGGGCGTATCCAGTATGCATTCGTACGCGTGCAAGATCCGAACACCCAGTTGCCCAAACTCGTCGTCATCAACTGGTGCGGCGAGGGTGTGCCTGAGAACAGAAAGGGGCTCTTCGGCTCGCACAGCGCGGCCGTGGGCCAATTTTTCAAAGGTTACCATGTCAGCGTGCAGGCAAGGACGGATTCGGACGTCAACCCCAAGCTGATCATGAAGAAAGTCACCGACAGCTCAGGCGCAAAGTACGCTGCGGCCGGCGGTGCAGCGAACACTGCTAAAGTGGTGCCAATCACCCCAGTCGGCTCGTCGTACAAGCCCATCGGCACGCCGGACATTAAAGGCATACAGCTGGCCGGGGCGACCAAGAAAGATGTTATTCAGCCTGTCGGCTCGAGCTACCAAAGCAAGCGCAACGAGCTGCAGGATATTCGTGCAGCTAATGCTGGCACCGCAGCAGTGCCTACAGACTCTGCAGCCCCTCCACCGCCTTCTCCGCAGGCTGTGAGACAGACTAACCCGACGCCACTTACCGCTTTCTCTACCACCGCTAGAGGATTCGGCGGATCCGCGCCCGTGGTACGAGGTCCGAGCATTGGGGGAACTGCTTCGTCAACGATCAAGACCACACACAGCCCGTCAGCTGGAGACTTTGACGATGATGGCTTTGGTCCATCATATAAAGCGTCTGCCGCACCGACCGCCGCTCCTGTTCCACCCGCTGTACCCGCTGCAGCGCTGTCTAAGCCTGCAGCTGAGGATAGGATCGGGCCTGTCGGCACAGCGTACGAACCCGTGAAACTCGCCAAGCCGGGCAAGCTCTCGGCGAACCGCTTTCCCTTTGGACAGTCAGTCGATGCTCCTTCGGCCCCGCCTGCCGCGTTACGTGCCCCTCTGGGCGGTGCGCCGGGAAAGCTCACTTGGAGCCAGAGGCAAGAGGCGGCAAAGCTGGAGCAGGAACGCGAAGAGAAAGCGTCGGTGGCCAGCATCCTGGCGAGCAAACAGAGCATCGTGTCAGCTGTTGGTGCAGGCGCGGCGGCTGGAGGTGCTGCTGCCGCCACGCCTGAAGAAGACCTCGCGGTGAGTTTGATAGTCGGTTCTGCGATCTCTGCTCAATGCTAACACTTCATGCACCGTTGCATGGTTATCGTTTTTGAAGCCTCCTCCTCCCGTAAGTTCGAATTGGACTTCAATTGGAAGCATAGCTCCATTGCAAGTATGTATTGACGAGTATTTCTGATCAATTCTTTTATGCAGCCTCCATCTGCACCCTCAGCCCCTAGCGCAGCCGATGATGTAGCACAACAGCTCTCACAGACCAAGCTCGAATTGGCTACCACTCCTCCCGTCGCATCGACAGTCGCTTCACACGACACAAGTGGACGCCTCACCTCCCAAGGTATCATTGCTGTCGCAATCTATGATTACACAGCTGATGACGGTGGGTGAAGTGATGGGAGGGCTTTATCCCTCCGTTCAAGTGCCGGAAATGCACAAGCTGACATGAACCATGTGCCCAACTGTTTTGCCTTCGGGCTGCTGGCAGCTAACGAACTGACCCTTGTCGAAGGGCAAGTGATCAATGGCATCGAGATGATCGACGAAGGATGGTGGTCAGGCTATGCGCCTGATGGCACCCACGGCCTCTTTCCCGCTACATACGTCGAGGTCCAGCCTGAGACCACGGAGCATGCAGGTGCCGTTCCTCCAGAGGCAGAAGAAGCTCTCTCCCCTCCACCACCTCCCCCACCACCCCCACCACCCGCGCTTGAGCCTGCACCGGTAGAGCCTGAACAGGAGCACGAGGGTACTCCACCCGCTCCACCGCCGCCTCCACCGCCACCTCCACCACCTCCCGCGATGGAAGCCGATCCCACGCCTCCTCCTGTGCCAGCTGGTTCGGAGGTGGATTCTAAGCCGGCGGCCGTCGAGGGCGGTGCGACAGCGACAGCGCTCTATGATTATGAACCGGGCGACACGAACGAAGTCGGATTCACCGAGGACGATCGTATCGTCGACATCTCGTTTCCGAGCGAAGACTGGTGGATGGGCACGGTCGAGAGGACCGGGGAGAGCGGATTTTTCCCTCGCGTGAGTGCTGGCTCTTTGACTGAGTCCCGCTCGTTTCGCTGCGGCAAACTGACCGTGCGGTGGACTCTCCTTCGCAGAACTACGTCGAGTTGCAAGGATGAAACTCATGTAGGAAGAGCGTTAAAGATTTTAACATAAGACAGTGGATGCGTAAAAGTACACAGATGCTTAAACACTATGTTGAGAGCGGGGATCGGGGTCATTTGAGATTGCGCGCGGCAGCGTGCGCCTCGCGTACCGCATCCCTGACACGCAGAGTCTGTTGCCATCTCTGACTCATAAGTCTGTGACGAGAAGGGAACACGAGGCGCGTCAGCAAAGGGCGAGGCTGAATGCGCCTCCTGCGGAGTGCACTCACTTCATTCGAGAAACAGCACGCACGGCCAGGGCTACCTGCCTGAACCTCGACGCGCCATACTTAGCGGCAGGTGGAATATTCCTGCTGATCCCAATATCGGAGATGAACTTGAGAGTCGCCGCTTCGTTGCGTTCCAATCCCCCCACGAGCTTTGTTAGATACGCCTTCTGGTGGATCATGTCCGCTCGCAAGTCAGATTCACGCATGAACTTGGTTTTGAGATATCGGATCTGGACCATCAGACCCTTAGCCTCCCTGGAGTGCTTGGAGTGCAAGTCCTCCAGACCGACAATGCTGCGAGTACATTACATCCGTCAGCTTGGAATGACCTGTAAATGGGGGCGGCCATCTTTTGACTCACCTTGGGCATTTGTGTTCGGTCATCTCCTCTTCCAGAGACGCCAGCTTACTCTCCATCGTAGCCAGCTCCCGGACCTTGCGCTGCAACGCCAACTCGGCATCGGTTCGGATGGACTCTAGCCAGCGCTTCTCTCCTTCCTGTATTTTCCGCTCGCCTTCCCTTTGGGCCTTCAGCTTGGCAAGCTCCTCACCATATTGCACAGACTGCTCCTTGGCCTTCTGTAGATCCTCATCAAGCGATGCGATACTTGCCAAGACGCCAGCTCGGATCTCTTTCAAGCGGTCGCGGTCGCCGGCGAGGCTTTGGATCTGCTGGTCCTTCTCGATCAGCTTGCTCATCATTGAATCGATCCGTTCGGTTTGTTCGTCAATTTCGGCTTGATGTGCTTTTAATGCTTCCTCGGATGCTTGTAACTGAGCACTGAGATTCCGGCAACGCTATGCGGTTCAATGAAGGATGATGTCAGGCGCGCCAATATTCGCTTTAAACTGTCACTGCGGTGGCATACGCACGTCTTCGTACACTTGATACTCCGCGAACAGAGTGTCCCGGTCTTGACAGATGAGCCTGCGTTCGTGCTCCAGCTTCCGCATGTGGTCTTGCGCAAGCTCAGCGTCACGCGTAAGTCTCTCCACCCGTGGTGTCGATCCGCTCCTTCTTTGCTCGCCCTGCAGCTCGGCTTGAAGGCGTTCGACATCGGCCGCCTTGATCGCTAGCTCGCCCCTCACTGCGCTCAGCTCTCGCTCTGTTTGCGAAAGTTTGATTTCTATACCGGCACGATCTCTGCTTGATTCTTGCGACAACTGGGCGAGTCCGCTGATGCGACGCCTCTCCTGCTTCATGTCCTCGTTCAGCTCTTGAGTTGCTCGGCGCGCTTCATCGAGATCCTACACGGACCGTGTGTCAGGCTTCAGATACTTCATATTCCAGACGATACACTCACCTCCATCAGACCGTCGTGTCGCAGGCCATGAGCTCCATTTTGTAGCGTTTCGATCTCCCGGGTCAAAGCTTCGTTCTCGGATATCCACTTCTTGCGTTCAGTAGCCCACTCTGATTCCAACTCTCTCAGTCTTGCATCGACAGAATCGTAAGCATGCGAAATGCTCTGATTGGCAGAGCTATTGGCCAGCGCACTCCTACTTTCTGTAGGACATTGCACATGCTCCATCTTTGCGGCGACGTCGAAGCTCTTGAAGCAGTCTGGACACTTTACCTGCTTCAAAGATCGTCTTGCCTTCTCGATAGGTCCGTTTGCTGACCACAGGGCGTCAGACTGGCGCACTAATTCCGAGTTGTTGTGTTGTGCAACTAACAGTTGTTCTTGTGTTGAAAGCAATGCTGACCGCAGTTCCTCCAGACGGTCCATCTTCGCATCAACGCTGGCGTTTTTCGCATCCAGCTCTTCTTGGATCGCAGCCAATTGTCGCATGATAGTTTCGCCGCCAATGGAAGATTCGTTTAGCTGTGTCATCTGCGCGGATGCAATACAGTCAATGGATGATAGCCTCAAATGATGAGAGATTCTGCTCACAGAAGATAGACCATTAGGTGTCTTAGGTGCACTTCGTGGTGACTTGTGGCTGATGTAGCTCTTTGACATGCCAGCAACATTCAGGATGGCTGCACTGGTCTCGGCTACGGCGTGGTATGACCGCAAACCTTTGTTGCGCTCCTGTAGCTCATGCACGCGCTCACGCAAAGCAGAATTTTCGACCTTGACAAGGCTGAGCTCGTGATTGTGGGCGCAGGGCTGTACAGCACTGTGGTTGCGTCGAGCGTTGTCCTCGCGCTTAAGCGAGCTGTCTCCTTCCGCAACCTGCTCGACTCTCTGTCTGAGCTCCGCATTCTCAGCCTCCAGCGCTTCCATCTTCGCGTCGAGAGTCTTGAACTCTTCATCATCTCCGCGCAGCTCATCGTTGGCATGCTGTAGTTCGTCTTCGACTTGACGGAGCTCCTCATTAACCCGTTGTACCTCGTGGGTCAACTCTTCCACTTTGAGCTCGAGTTCTTCGATAACTTCGACATGCGCATTCAGCGTCTTCTCGGCTTCGGTTAGCATCGACTGTCGTACGTCGAGCTTGTCTTCACACGCAGCAAGGTCAGCCTCGCATTCGTCCAGCTGAGCGCGAAGCCGCTCGTTCTCGCTGGTCACATTTTCAAGAGAAACACTGTGCGTGGTTGGCGTTTTGTCGCCTTCATCCCTAGCATGGTTGCGAAGCTCATCAATCTCGTGCTCCAGCCTTTCCTTGTCACGTTCCAGCGCCCCGACTTCCTCGATCGCACGGCGCTTGAGCTTGTCTACTGTCTCCTCGTGCAGCCGTTGTTCGTCCTCTAGCTCTTTGGCGAGGGCCTCCTTGTCACCCTTCACCGAGTCGAGCTGAATACGCATTTCGTCGTGCTCACGCTGAAGCTGTTGCAATGTCGACTCGGCAGACGTGGAAATGTAGGCCTGCTCAACTTCGCGAAGTCTACTTTGTGCGACTTCCAACTCCTTAATCAGGCGCGTCCTCTCCTCCTCCTGCGCCATGAGCTCCTCTTGCTGATCCGAGACGAATCCTTGGAGTTGAGACACCTTGTCTTGTAAAGCCACTATCTGCGAGACTTGTCCTCCCTCTGCATTCTCGTCTTGGCGTTCAATCTTGGATGCCTCCAACTCGCGTAGAGCCTTGCTCAGCTGCTTGTGCAACAAGTCTTTCTCTGCCCTGACCTCTTGATTTTCGGCATCCAATTGGCTGTTGATCTTGTGCAGATACTCCATCAAAGCCTTGTCATCCACCCTTGCACCGGAAGGTGGCGCATCTTCGCCAGCCCCCAGGCCGGGGAAAGAGGCATTAGCATGTAGGCCACCGTGAACAGGGCGCATGAGGTCGTTCGACGAGGTTTCGGATACCGCGTCGCTGAGAGCGTCCCTACTCGGGGTTACCTCCGCAACAAGAGGCGATACACGACGAGGGATAGGTGTGCGACCTGCTTTGAAAGTGTTAGCTTTCCCGACCCTATCCATGCGCGGACCAGCAAAAAGACTGCTCGTGCCGCTGCTACTCGTCGGAGGCTCATTCTCCTTACTGACTCTCGAGGGAGTCATGAGGCGATTCGCCGCCCGCGGACTCTCCCCGCTGACAATACGCCTGCGCTGCCCAGACTGCAGCGATTCATGCCTCTTGATACTATCGAGGACGTATGTCCGCAGATCCTTCTTGTCTCTGGAACGTGACCCTGACTGATCAGTGTCATCTACGGTGACATTTGGCATGTTTCCATGATTGGTGAGCGATCCGAGTGCCTCCTGTTGCACATGGGGACTGGAGTCGGGGTGCAGATCACTGCTCTTGTCGACGCCGTTTGGTTTATCAGCCACAAGTGAGCTCTGACTTTCTTCATTCAGAAGTTGGGGCGTACCGCCAGCTTTGATGTCGGAAGCACTGCTGCTACTGGTCCTGCTGTTGGCTGAACATGAAAAGTATGCTGGTTCAGGCTCGAAGATTCCATATGGATATCGCCATGCTCTGACTCACATCTCGCCGTTCCGTTCCCGACGGAAGCTCTGGAGCGCGTTGCCCCATCGCTGGTAAGACCCACGCTCTTTTCGGACGCTTCAATATGAACGTCGGAGGGCTCATGCGGTGCATTGAAGCTGGGAGTGTAAGTTGCACGATTGGAGCTCGGCGTTGGAAGTTTGACGCTGCCATCTTCCGAACCTTGATATCGATCCTCTGACTCCGAAGCAATGGTGCTGATAGAAAGATCGTACAGTGACGGTCTTGCGCTTTCGCGACTCCTGCTCCAGTTAACGCGCTGGCTGCTGGATTGTCCAAAATCATCTGCTGAGTGGTAAGCCTGCTCCCCAGTCGGAGTACGGGCATTAGAAGCAATATCCGCTGAAGGGCGACGGGCATTGATGCGTGCCGTGCCAGGACGGACAGCTGTGTGTGTACTAGAGGCAGAGGTGGTGCCTTCATAGAAAGAGCGTGGCGTCGCGGTCTTGCGCGCTTGAGGTGTAGACGTTGCAGGTGTCTTGGATTTAGTCTGAGTCGACACATCAAATGATGTGTCGCTGAGTTGTAAGAGTGACGTGCTCGTCGCACCGGGAACGTCATATTCATTTTGTTGCTGTTCATTAGTTCCAATGGTTTCAGTCGAGGAAACGGAGGCGTTCCGGGCAAGGACCGACGCAAGAGTGGCTTGGTAGTGAGCCTCTCGAACCGCGGCACGTCCTTGCCCAGGGCTTCCGTTGGACGTCGTTGAAGAGCGGCCCGACGCAAGGCCATCACTACTCGTCGTCGAAGATTGAACCGGTAGACCCAGGCTGCTCGAAGAGAGCTCGGCGTCGCCATTCGATACTGCTTTGTGCGTGGGTCTGGCTCTGGGAGTTGGAGCCTCGGCCACCACGGTGGGCGACGGATGGCGTGCTGTTGCGGAGCTCGGAGGGACCGCAAAAGGTGGCGTCGGTCCCCGAACGCTTGTATCGCTCATTCGAGAAGTGCTGGTCTGCAAGGATAAGCCAGAGACAAACGTATCTTCAAGCGTTAGACCTTCTGGTCGAGGAGGAAGGTCGAGTTCGAGAGAATCATCATGCAGATCGTCCATCAGCTGCCGCTGCAGCCGAAGTGGCGAGACCTCGAAGCCGAGACCGGCCATTATGACTCCTTCGGAATGTCAACCCAGCGAGCCGATGAGTCTGTGGCTTAGACACGGTCAAGCTTTCTAGCCTTGATGGCTGTTGTTGGATATTATGGTCAAAGGCGAATCGCTAGATACATAAAAGTTGAGTGGAAACACCGAGAGACGCGTGTTGATCTTCATCACATTGCCTGTGGACCAGGAGCAGGCGACTGGCCGTTAATACTGCGCGCGACGCGTTTGTGCACGTGACTACCCTCTTTGGATGCTGTGGTTGTAACCCTAACCATGAAGCCGACCCATATATTATCCTCTTCGTGGTGTTCATTTGATTGCCCAAGCTCATTTCAGCAATGGTGTCTTCTGGGTTCTGCTGCTTTCCACCTTTGATGGCAATGCACATGCACGTCAGAAAGGAAGGCATCACGCGACCTCATAGCAGAAACGCAAGGATCAGGACCGATCAAGCAAAAGAGACCTCATCTAGAAGCCTCGGCGGCCAGAAGCGACGATGAAGCTGTCAGCAGAGCTGATCACCCGCAGTGATAACGCGCTCAATACGCTTAAGGATCGAGAGGTATGTGTGTAAAAAGGTTGCTGATGCACGCATGCGTACACGAGTTGCTCACTTGGATGCCTCCCTTCTCGCCGTCGCAGCTTTCATTAAGAGGTACGAGCGCCATGTTTGGTCGAACTAAGAGTGTGAATTGCTCACATCACTGCTTCGTATTCTGATGGCAGGCTTCAAGATTCCGGCGATCGAGAACATGGGTGTCACACAAGTGAATCTCGCTGTTACCCTCACATGGATATCTGACGTAGCTGGCTTAGCGTGTTGAACGGACTCTTCCTCTCTCTACAGGATATGAATGACACGATCGACTTGACCGACAATGACATCCGATCGCTGTCCAACTTCCCATTGCTCAAGCGCTTGAGGTCACTCTACCTCTCTAACAACCTCATCGCGCGCATCGACCCGCGGATAGCGCACTCGCTACCGTATCTAAAGACCCTTACCTTGACAAACAATGGTCTTGAGAGCTTAGCGGATGTCGGAAATGCGCTGGCCAAGTTTCCATTCTTGGAATACCTCAGTTTGATGGGGAATCCGATTGCTCGGCAAAAACACTACAGGGAATATCTCATCTGGAGGTGCAAGAAAGTACGCGTACTCGATTTTAAGAGGGTAAAGAATGCTGTGAGTGGATACTTGGAAAAAAAGCAGTGATTACTGTCATGGGAAGCTGAACTTTGAACGCCTCGCACGTTAGGAACGAGTGTTGGCAAAGTCTTTGTTTGAAACGAACGACGCCCGGCCATCCGCACTAGCAGCCTCCATTGCTGCGAAAGCCACGATGACATCGTCAGCATTGAAAGGAAAGGCGTCGTCCGCAGGCGGAACGACTGGAACCTTTGAGCCGGGCCAGGCCATAATGGGAGCAGGTGCAGCAGGGCGGTTGTTGTCTGCAGAAGAGAAGCGCAAAATCGAGGTCGCCATCCAGAGCGCAAGCAGCCTCGAGGAAATCACGAGGCTCGAGGAGAAGCTTCGACTGGGCTATGCGCTCGAGGACGATGACACTGGCCCTGCGAATGGGCAGGCAGGAAAGAAGGGTGGCGCCGGAAAAAGTGCGCAGGCTGGTGGGCGTGGGCAAAAGCAACAGGTGCAGCAAGAGGAGGCGCAGAACGAGGAAGATATGGATGAGGATGAATAGCACGCCTTTCGTTGTGTATTTCTATTTGTGGCATCATTGCACACAGCTGATGCACGCAATCTAAGACAACTCTGGTTGAACCGACACCTCTACACAGCCGTATCCATCACTTGGAACGACTCTGCTGTTGTGATCAACTCGAACAGGACGCCCTTAGTCGTCCAGAAGTAAAGCGCATTAAGTGCGGACGCCTTGTCCACCTCCAGTTCTACTGCGATCTCACCAGCCGTGACGACCGCGCTACTACCTTTCGTCGAAGCGAGTTCAACGACGGAAGCCTGCAGCGCGGTGACATCGTCCTCCTCGATCACTCGGCCGTCGTCCATGGTGAGCTTGACGCTCATTGTCCCCAATCCTGGAAGAAAGCGCATCGTCTGTGGTGTCCGCTTGCGTTTGTAGCTTTCCACGTATGTATCCATCGCGCTTTGGAAGCGAGCGGGTAACTTGTGTTGCGCCACTTCCGCACCGGGTATGCGTAGGTTGCCTGAGCGGCCTGTGCTACCAGCTGCGTAGGATGGCACCGCTGTGCCGCCTTCTCCTCCTCCGCCCCCCATCATCGTTATCGCCCCCCCACCGCCCATGCCGCTGCTGCCGCCGCTAGGAGCGAACATGTTGGTGGTGTTGCCTGCCTCACCGGTCAAGTCTGGCCAGCAGTGCCGAGAGACGATGATGGGGTGAAGTGCCTTGACGAGTGTGAGTTCATCGGCATTCATTGATGGCATGCTAAGCGGTCGGTCTTGCATGCCTGCATCGTATCGACGCGAATTGACGATATCCTGTAGCATGATGTCGATGCGCGCAAAATGCGCTTCCCCAAATCGATTCTTCAGCGTGAGATTGCTCAGGTACTGGCAGAGACGAAATAGTTGGTCAGAGCGTGAACATCGCTTGAAGCAGACGCGTTGCGCAACACCCACCTGCTGTTCATGCTGGTATCCCTTGACTTGCAGCAACTGCTCCGCCATGGTCCTCTCCAATGCCGTGATGAAGCCCTCGCGATCATCGAAGATGCTTATCAGCATGCTGATGACGTCGCTCCTCCCGGTTTTACGATAATTAGGCCCTGCATCCACCGGTCTCGGCTGCCACGTCGCGTCGTCTGCCTCGCCGCCGCCTTCATCCTCCTCTTCCTCTGCATCCCCGTACTCGTCCTCATCCTTGCCTCTAATTTTCGTCGCTTCGAGCGAGAATGGCGTCTTGATGTGTTTCGCCCTATCGAGCTCTTCGCGCAGGAGCTCGAACGACTGCCGGTTACCGAGCAGGGATGAGACAACGACCGACACTGTATCCGGACGCGAACGGAGATACCTGCGAATCGGATGCGCTAAGCGCGAGAGCATCACGTCCCCGTGCTGCGTCGCACGCAAGGCGTGGATCAAAAGGACGAAGAACTCTATGATGTCTTGCGTTTGTGCGCCAGGATGTAAGAGGCGTCGATGGATGCTTCGGATATGGCGCATCAGTTGATATTCTAGATTGGAAAATGTTGTTGTGAGAGTAACTCACATCGCATTGATCGCGGTAGTCACTTTGTCCATTTGTCCTGTGTGCTTGATGCAGTCCTTTTAAGAGTGATGGAAGAGTAAATTCCGGGCGCGTTGGAACCCACAACTTAGCAGCGGTTCAGCAGTGGGATTCGCGGCCAAGCCTCACCCTAAGGTCTATTAGAGGATTCGTCCAATCCGGGAAATTTTTGATCGCGTCAAAGAATTGCGAGACCCTTGAAAGGAAATGTCAGTTCGATATTTCATCTGACAGAACGCTGAAGTATAACAGCTCACCTCTGTCTCTGCATCCCGAATTTCGCAAATCCCTTGACTAAACTAACTTCCGCTTCTTTGAAGGGTTGCAGATGATCCGCGAGCTGTTGTTGTTGCTGCTGCTGCGTCCCTGGCAGGTCCGTTTTATGTAATGGTTGCAAGCCCAAAAGCATTGGTTGCTTGAGCTTATCCGCGCTGATTCGTGCAGAGGTAACGCTAAGGAAGTCGCCATTGGCGTGCAGGTCCGCGATCGCATCGTACTTGTTTCCTCCTTGAGGGTCTGTCTCTCGCGAGATGATCAGATATCGCAGCTGCACAGCTTGAATGCCGATTGGGCCTTGTATGACCTGGTCCATTTTCTCCAGCTTTGGATTTGAGAGTCCATCTGCTAACGGAAATTGAGACATGAGCCAAGCAGTCTTGGAGTCTAGCCAAGATTGCATGGTCTGGCTTTCATCCTCAACTTCGCCCTCGGATGGCAGCCGCGCTGCGAATCGCGCGATGAGATCGGCAGCATCGACAAGGATCTTGTCGAGCGCGTTGTCCAAAACAATGCGAAGGCCAATGAATCGCACTCGCTGGATGAACAGATATTGTTCCTGCGATACGGTTGATATCACAGGTAGGAGCGGTGAATTGGTATCATGCTTCGGCGAATGTAGGAAATGTGCCCAGAAGATATCGGATAACTCGGAGTGGAGCGCGGCCAGGAATGCAGGTGTAATACTGGCTTTGACGTGAGAGCAGAATTGGAGACGATAGGCATCGATCTCTGCTCCTTTGCATTGAAGGGCGATGAGATACTGGACGTCGCGCGCAAGAAGATGAGCAACATGGCGTACTTGCGACGCCACCGGGATGTGTTGCTCTGGGGCCATGTGCTCATCTTCCCCGTCCCCTCCGTTCTGCAGGCTGATGCCAAGATTGATCAAGGCTCGTTGGACCTTGTACTTTGCGGTTTCGAAGAAGCGTCTACGCAGAAGGGGCCCGAGCTGGACGTCCGCACACGCCCGGCAGTCTGCGAGCTCCGCGTCATCAAGCGATGCAACTCTTCCATGCGGGGAAGCCTCTGATGCGGCGCGTTCGATCGCCTCATAGTTGCGAACAAGCCTCTCTATGTCGCCATAGGATGGATTCTGACCGAGGAGCTGTGCGAAGACGGAATCGAGCGTAGCGGTCGGTATGGCATCTAAGGTCTGCGCATAGTTGGCGCTGGACGGTCCGGCTTCCGACCAAACTTCCATGCTGCTGCTAATATCACCCTGAGTGCATCTTGCAAAGGTGCTCTTGGCAACGGTTTGTCTCGACGTGAGTTTATTCTGATGCATCCAAGGCCTGGGTTGCTGGTGTTGACATCTGTTTCATTGGGCCATTGATGCTCGTCAGTATAGCTCTCGCGATCTCTCGTCGGCGTGTGTGGACTTCATATTTTGGAGTCGCGGCTTGCGCTCAGTTTCGCATGGCGATATTGGTCATTTAAACAACGCTTCGCATCGGAACGGAACGGAACTCGGACAATGACAAATCGCACTAGTACCCAAAGCCATTGCATTGGATTGTCTCGAGTTCTCCGCCATACTGCCAATGGAAACAGTTGGCTTAACACTTCAGTGGAACTCGATCGGAAATACCGGAATGGTTCCACCGTCTATGCTGTTTTCCTTGAGATTCACCGGGGGCAGCAGAGGTGTCCGGAAAGTCATCGGATCAGGGCTTACAGGCCACGCCCGCTCCAGGGGTTGCTGTGGTTTATGCTTTAGAGGCATAGAAGCAGACTCAATAGACCCTCCCTCTCTTGGTGACCGTGAGTATGTACTTACCTCCGCGCATTTCAACATTTCTTTCTTCTCAGCAGAAGATGTGGCGGTCATAGTGGGGGAGGGTAGCACCGGAGCTCGAGCAGCCCCTTCCGGACAGACCTTGCCTTCCGACGCTTTCCGGGCCAAATTTATAGTCAACGGTCAATGATGATTGGGGGCCGGTGAGTCGTACACGTACGCTGGAACTCAACTGGGTGTGAGATTTCATAGGCGGTCGCCAACAGTCAAGTATTCTGTCGCGATACTCCATACATCGATCTCCACCCTTCACTTTCGACATTCGGCATTCGACATAACCGCTGTTCCCACTTGTCTTCATGCTTTTGATCGATAAATGGGCGAGCTGAAGCCCGAAATTCCCACAACCCGTAACTTGAATGATGTGAACAGCGTCGCTCCATGCGGATTTCAGAACACAGAGGCCTGATCCAACTCTTCACCCTGAACATGCGCCGTAGAGATTTCGTTTAGCCGCGCGTGTTTGAGGCCACGAGTCAATGAAGGCAGCCGCCTCGAAGCCGTGATGGAGGACGATAAAGAGGTGATGGTAGTTTCTAAAGGACAAGCTTCATTCTCCAAGCTCCAGAACTGCTATTCATGAACGAGGCAAGTAGCAAGCATTTGGGGAGATGTGCATAAGCAAGCCGCACATTGCGTAGAGCGGTAATCCCTCTGTGAGTGTGGCATTTCTGTCGGCTGTCTATCTGTCCAAGCGACTCGGCTCACTTGCGGCTGTTGCTCTTGCGTAAGATGTTCTAGCACGTCCAAATCTCAGATGTGCAGCACTTTGACGGCTTTAAGAGAATTTGCAAGTTCTGACTGCAGGGACCGAGTCTCATGCGGATCTTCATCATCCGCTTCGAGACTGTGATCTGTACGGAAAACCTGTGACCCGGAGAGCGTCAATGGTGGACGAACTGGGCGAGTGAAATCACTGACTGTGTATATGCGGACCGTCAAACTGCTCAACTGGTGTATTATGCGTGGGACTGGCCCATCTGGAGAGAAGGGTGTGAGGGGAAAGGTTGAGAGTTGGAATTTCGTGGCGCAGAGAGAATTTCAGATGCAAGATTCTTGACCCGCTTTGATGGGTTGATCGAGAACTAGGCAGATGTGTATGGCATGTTCGGTATGCTGAAGGAGATCATGCCACGGATGACAGGGATGCAGAGGATTCACTGGGAGACAAAGTGGCTTCCCCTTTCTTCAAGATTCTGCGACTTTCTCAGCAGCTGCAACCAGATGCGAGTCATTACGTTATGCAAACAATGGGAGCACCATGCTGAAGGCAAGAAGGCGGGCAGGAGTGGCTCCAAGAACGTAGGATATGTGCTTATCGTCTCACTTGTATGTGCATTCAGCAACATCATAACAAGCCTTGGAACACAGCCCTTTGGAACGCATCTTCAGCAAGTCAAGGGCGATCCCAGCGCCACTGGTATTTGGAGTTGGACTTCGAATCTAACAGCCATTCAGGACGGCCTTTCTCTACGCGGAACTCGAAGAGAAGCAAGAAATAGCGGTATGCATCCGCGTTCAACCGACTCGATGACGAAATCGGAGATGGCGAGGTCGGCGGACCATATATGCCATCGATAGCGGAGAGACTCGGAGAGGCTCCTGTCAATTCGAACCTTATCTGCCAACATGCGGAAACCTGCCCATTCCTAGCTTGGACGAAGTTCCATTTTCGAACAAGGAAGCCGTGGCGTCAATCAATGTTCTGATCACAGGAAAAGATTGGTTTCGTCTGCTCGCTAAAGGACGCCGATCGCGACACATATCGCGGGTACCGGAGATCCTTTTTTGTGTGGGTCAAGGTCAGAGTCAGCAATGTTCCTGTAGTGCTTAAAAGGGTACAGCTGAGTGCTCTTGGGGCGAAATCCATGGTCTGAAGGAGCGTGGGCGCTGAAAGATGCTTGTGCCAAGCTGGCAGTGTCCAATGAGAGTCAGTGCCAGCTTCTTCTCTTGTCCAAAGTCATATCTCGGCTTTTCGAGTTCGTGCCGAAGCTGCAGGTGTACCGGCCATGTTTTGCTAGATGATGGCCTCCAGTTGTCTGTGGCGTCGGCGTGGAATGACCTCGTCTGCCACAATCGGCACATCGCGACCGATGATTGGGAACTCTTCCCCAACGTGATTCGTACGGTTTTGATGTCCACTTGCCTCATGACATCGGCCAAGAAATAGGACCGTACCTTCCATAATGCAGCCCTTTAGAGTTCGGAAAGCCATCACACTCTGTACACTCAGAGGAGATGTCAAGGACCAAATCGCGAGGTAGCGTAGTGCAGGCTGACAGACGTGTCAGTTTATGAGAGCAGAGTGACCTAATTGATGTTTTTTCTCCTGATACTGTTATTTAGACACCTCAAAGTCAGCGAGCTGGAGCAGTCCGACCGAGCCATGTCCGTACTGTTCTTGTCCGCATTGGTAAATATCCATCTGCTACAAAGAAACGTTGCTTCTACCGTCGAGGATGGATTGCGATTTACTACCTCAATTTCCGAGCATGCAGCTTTCGGGCCAAGCGTTGAAAGATATGTTGCCTTCGATGAGCCGCCTTCGTTTCACGAGCCAGTGGATCGATATGGGCGGTGGGCACTACTTGCGGTAGGCGACATAGCCGCGGTAGAGGGCTTGCTCTTTATGGAGGCTGCTGATGTCGGATTGCATACTGCCGCAGGCTTGACCGTCGTCGCTGCAGGTGCAGGACGTTGGCTGCGATGTGCTTCAGTAACACTGCTAGGCGGGGGTGTAGTTGCTGACGGCCTACTGCCAAAGGCATCGCTGAGCTCGCCTGCGGCGCCAGCACCGCAAACGAGAGGGCTAGTGTGGATGGAAAGTCAAGAGTGCGCGGTGGCCGAAAGCGCTAGACGGTTAGACGCAGGTAATGGGCTCAAGATTGCAGTCGGTGGATATGGCTCGGGGCGAAGTCCGGCCGCTACCGAAATGGGCCACTCTTCTTCGAAAGGACAAGTTTCGTTGGCAGAACCTTCGCTGGGAGACTTCTCAGGCTGCGCATGGCCAGCTGCCGCAACGATAGGAGGACTTCCTCCCAGTTTTGCACATTTCGGTCCATTCGTGCGGGAGGATCTCGAGCTTTTGCTGCACTCCTTGTTGAGCGTTGCGCCCGTAGTACTCGTTTGGGGCTTGGACGGTGTCTGGGAAACAACCATTGCGAATGCACTCGACGGATGCATCTGCTGAGCTGCTTGCAACGGCGCGCGACAATTGATGTAAGCTTTATTCGGAAAGCGACAAGGAGGTCACGAGTTCACTCACGTCAAACCAATACTGTAGGCTTGCAGCGTTCAGCCCTTAAGGACTACGTTAAGGAACAGGTTGGTCAGGATGGAAGAGATCTCACAATGAATGGTCAGAAGTGTGCAGCAGGTGTGCCTGAGATGTGATTCACGCGGCACAACCGCCAACAGGTGCCCATCCGTAATCTTCTTTGGCTGCCAGGTATCTGCGCCATACTTGAAAAATGCTTTGAACTAATTCAAGTTTCCAGAGATAACTTCTCTGATGCGACTACGCGGTTTCGTAAACTGATTTTTCCCTTCGATTCCTCACTAGCCTGCATATTTTGACAGAGGGTAAGGCGACTGGGTTCGTCTTGGCTGAGAGATCGTATCGGTTGCAGCTCGAATATGGTGTTGATTGTAAAGTGGTGAGGGTCGATGGGATTATTGAACAACTATGGTTGGGTTTAATGCATTTCTTCTACGATACCCGCAATGTGCATCATATGATCGGCAAGTTCCTGGATAGCTTGCGCGACCTGAGGGACGGTTAGTTGATGAACCCAGGACCAATACCTTAAACGGTTACAACGAAAGCAGGGGGGGATAAATACTTGGTTCCGTGGACTGACTCTTCAACTTCCTATTACCGTGCTACTTCGCCATGCACACCCACAACTTATCAAAGGACCGGCTTTCGGTTTACGTGTGTAAAGACTACCAGCGTCTTGGATATCAGCAAGTATACAGACAAGCAGATGGCCTTTGCTTGAAGTATATAGTCTTAAGAGTATATTATGCAGTTGATTCTGAGATTGCGAGAAAAAATAGAGACTTGGTTACCCGAGTGAGAAAGTGCATGGGCGGACGCTTTCCTGGTATTAAGCATACATGACCTTGGCATGAGCTTGTATAGCGAAGTGTATAACGAAAGTATCCAGAAACTGGGTGAGACGGTGGAAGGTCATCTCTTGAGAAGAAGCTAACAAGGGGCCAAACCCAGAAATAACGGTGTCGAGGCGAGTTCGATCCGCCGTGTAGTAATTCATAGACTGCGCGGGTAACGACTAGTAGGAGACAGACTTCGTATTTATGTGCACCGTGAAGATGTGCTGAGATGATGATCTGCATGAGGTTGGGTTGTCCTTTCGTTGTTGGCAGAGAGTCAGACAAGATGTAACAGGGTTGGATGCAGGAAGTGCTAGCTGAAATTGAATTTCTCCGAGTTCCGCTTCGATATTCACGATTGGCGCCGTTCCGCCGCCTGGCTCCACTGAGAGACACAAGAGATGCTGCTCCTCGCAGAGAGAAGGGAGTCCCCTCAACCCTCCCCAGACACTCACAAGGAGCTAGCAGCCTCTCTTGTGCGGTGTCGTAATACCGAAGCACCCACTTGACCATAGATCATACATGTGCTTCAGCCAGACTGGACTAGAACCATCAGTGTGAAGGTTGCTTTGCTCGCCTGACAATCAGAGACCCTCGATAGGCGGGAACTGACGAGCCGTGAGCCTGCCTGGGTGGCCCATAACTCGGCCGCTGAGTGCTCCCGATCGCTGGTGAAGGACGCCGAAGCAACACCTTCCCGCCAACCTTTCGGGCTCCGGAAGTGTGGCATCGTTGCTCGGCTTTGGTCGCGCCACGCATCGCAGCTAGATCACCCTCCTCAGTCTCCAGTCTGACTCGCACCCCAAGTCAAAGCATATAGGCGTACGGGAGACATATTCACCTTCTCGGCTTCTGCGCAACGCTGGCGAATATGCTGCGCAGCATGCGCTTGGCCGCCGCCGGTAGCGGCCGGGTCGTTGCGGCGCTGTTCTTGCTCTTGCTTCAATGCATGTTACCCTTGGCGCTGCTGGTATCCAGTAGCAATGGAGTGGCAGCAGTGGCCTCAAAACCACCTGCGGTTACGGTCAATCGCTTTGAGACCTTGCCGGCAAAGGTGTACTACTTCGTCGACTCAAGAGTGGTATTATGGCACAGCAGTGAGGAAAATGCAGTGTGGCGAAGTGAGGACGAGGGCAAGACATGGTCGCCATTAGAAGTACCGAAGAAAGGGGAGGCTCACATGCTCATCGAGCACCCTTTTGATAAGAGCACGGTATGTCCTTGCTTCGATTACAGAGATCTTACGTTTTCTTCCTGAGGCAATGCTCCATTTCCAGGCGTACATTCTATCCAAGAACAAAGAGCATTGGAGAACTATCGACCGGGGGAGGACGTGGCAGAAGTTCACCAGTCCAGAAATCCCCGCTGAACGGAGCATGCCGTATGTGAAATGAGGCTGGAATTCTTTTGGTTTTTGATTGCTCCACTCAGCCCAATGCGTGATTGAACAGGCTGGAATTCAACGCAGACCCGAAACACTGGGACCATATCATCTTCATTGGCAAGAAGTGTGTTACGAACCCATGGTTCGGCATGTCAATCTGCCGTGACGAGGTGAGCGTTCTCAATTGGAAGTGATGTGTTAGCATCACTGACAGCAAAGATGGACTTTTCGCAGGCATATTTGACCACCAACGGGTTCGAGAGTGATCCCCAGCCCATGTTCGAGTACATCAATCACTGCATGTGGGCGAAGGCGACTCCGACCATGGAAATCTCTACCAGCCGCTTGAACCGCATCTTCTGCATTGGCGCTTCCAATGGGCAGGACGAGCGGTCGACCATGCGGCTGTACTATTCCGACGACTTTTTCCAGACGCGGCGGATTGTCTCGCTTGGCATTGGGAGAGATGCAAGAAATTTCATTGGCATCGGATCATCGAAGAAGTTTTTGATCACAGCACTGAAGGAGCCGGGGAACGTTGGGAGAGGAGGCGGCCACACAGTGCTCTTTGTGTCCACCGATGGTGAGATCTGGCGCAAAGCGCGCTTCCCGCATGGTAACAAGATCCGCGAGAATGGATACACCATCGTTTCCAGCACGGACCACAGTCTGGTCGTCGATGTCAAGGAGGAGGATATAAGCGGGTCTCGCTCGCTCGGGGCCCTGTTCACTTCCAGCAGCGACGGCATCGACTTTGTCCAGAGTCTCGAGAACACTCATCAAAACAAACATGGCATAGTGGACTACGAGCACCTTGACAACATCGACGGCGTCATGCTTGTAAATGTAGAGATGCCGTCGCAAGGGCCAGGGCAGCTCCAGACGCGAATATCGTTCGACGACGGCAGTCGCTGGAGCAGGATCAAAGTGGACAATCTTCATAGGAAAACGTGCAAGACCGACGACATAGAGCACTGCTCGTTGCACTTGCACTCTGTCTCTCATCTGCACAACGTCGGCAAGGTCTTCTCATCAACCGCGCCAGGATTCGTCATGGGCGTCGGCTCTGTCGGCAACCATCTCAAACAGTACAAGGAGTGCGACACCTGGCTCAGCACCGATGCCGGCCAGTCATGGATGATGGTGGCGCAGGACGCGCACAAGTACGAATTCGGAGATCAAGGCTCTATTCTCGTCCTTGCACCCGACGAAGACTCGTCTAGCAAGCTCAAGTATTCACGCAACTATGGCAAGACCTGGAAAGAGCTCGACCTCGGCGTCACTATGCGTGTCAAGTTCCTCACCACCATTCCGGATAACACCTCGCAGAAGTTTTTGCTCGTCGGTTTGCAAGCTAGGCAGCATGGGGACAGTGTGCATCAGGGACGCGTCGTCGCGGTCTTTATTGACTTTGCTGCGCAGGGCCTGCGACAGTGTGGCTTCAGCGATCTGGAAAAGTGGTACGCGCAGACTGCGTCAGGTTCGTGCTTGATGGGCCACAAGCAGTGGTACATGCGCCGCAAGGCGGACGCCGACTGCTACGTCGGTAACAAGTTTCAGGACCCAGTTGACCATGAGGACCGCTGCGAATGCACCGGGCATGACTATGAGTGTGACTTTGGCTACCTGGCCGACTCCAGCGGCAAGTGCTCACCCGAGGGTGAGATTCCCTTACCCGCAGGCGCGTGCACCGCCAAACAGAACTCCTACTTGGCCTCATCGGGTTATAGGAAGATTCCAGGGAACACGTGCCAAGGCGGAGCAAAGCTGGATGAACCGGTTCGTAAGTCATGTAAGGATGTCAAGACTCCGACTGGCCAGATCAGCACGCAGAGGACAGATTTCCCGGCCAAGGTGGTGGACTACCTTTGGATCCCTGATTCGCCGAATGTGCTTGTGCAGCTGTCCGACTCAACCATCTGGCAGTCGACCAACGAGGGCCTCAGCTGGCAGAAGGTCCAGCCTCTCGGCGTCGGTACGGGCTACAACGCGCTGTTCCTTCACATGACTGCCAGTCCGTACGACAGAAAACGCGCGTATCTCGTCACTGCGGGTCAAATGGTGCAGTACACAACGGACGGCGGAAGGACATGGCAGTTCTTCACCGCTCCGCTCGAAGCGAACGGTCTTGGCGTTCCCGTCCTCGACTTCCACCCCACCCACGCCGACTGGCTCATTTGGACCGGCAGCCGTGACTGCGCTTCTAGCATGTCAGCAACGTGTCATGCGGAAGCGTACTACTCGCAAGATCATGGCAGGACGTGGAAGCTGGTTGACACGTACGTCCGTGTCTGCAGCTGGCTGCGAGACGCGAAACTCAAGCTCAACCCGCGAACGATCGTCTGCGAGAGCTACATACCGAAGGAAGGTAACCAGCGCTCGCCAACCAGTACGTTACAGATCGTGTCTGGCGCCGAGTTCTACGCTCGGCGGAGTGTTCTTTTCGACCATGCAGTCGCTTTCGCCACTTTTGACGAGTACTTCGTCGTCGCGAAGCTCGACTCAAACACTATGACGATTCGTTTCGAAGTATCCCTAAATGGCGTCGATTGGGCCGAGGCTCGCTTCCCGCCGGGAACAAGCGTCGCGCATCGCGCGTACACTGCACTCGAGTCCTCCACCGACGCCATCTTTCTGCATGTCACAATGAACTCCAAGCCTGGCAGCGAGTACGGTACGCTTTTCAAGAGCAATTCGAATGGCACATACTTTTCCACTTCGATCGACCAAGTCAACCGCAATCGGGATGGCTACGTCGACTTTGAGAAGATGTTTGGCCTCAACGGGACTGCGCTTGTCAACATCGTCTCCAACGCGAATGGCGCAAGCATCAGCGGAGTGAAGGAGCTGCAATCGCGTATCACTCATAACGATGGTGCGCGCTGGAAGCCGATTCCGGCTCCAGCGCACGACTCGAACGGCAATCCGTACAAGTGCATTGACGTCAGCTGCACCTTGCACCTGCATTCTTACACGGAGCGCGACGACCCGAGCTCGACCTTCAGCAGTCCATCGGCCGTCGGCCAGATGATTGGTGTTGGAAATGTCGGCAAGAAGCTGTTACCATATGCAGAAAGCGACACGTTCTTCACCCGCGATGGTGGCTTTACATGGAGCGAGGTCCGCAAGGGCGCTCATCGATGGGAGTTCGGGGACCAAGGTTCGATCATTGTCTTGGTCGATGACGAGGGTCCGACGGACCACTTTGTCTACACGCTGGATGAGGGCTTATCTTGGAAGACGCACAGCTTTGGCGACAAGCTGCGCATCCGATCGATCGTCACCGGACCTTTCGACAGGCGCCGAAAGTTCGTCTTGCTCGGGCAGCAGCCGCACTCTTCCTCACATACGACGGCAGTGCACATTGACTTTTCGCAATTGGCGCAGCGTCAGTGCCACTTGCTCGAAAATGATAGCGAGAGCTCCGACTTTGAGCTGTGGTCGCCATCGGAACTGCGTGACGAGCTGTGCCTGTTCGGGCAGCAAGTCTATTACTGGCGTCGCAAGCAGCATGCGGAGTGCTACATTGGCGACCAAGGGATTGCCAATGGCGGCCGTGTGACTAAGACGTGCGCATGCACTGACGACGACTTTGAATGCGAGTTCAATCACTACCGCGATGTCAACGACCGCTGTGTGCTGGTGCCTGGTGCGACGTTGCTGGCCGCGCATCCGGAGGCGCAGTGCAGGGCCGAGGGACAGGAGTACTGGTACGAGCGCACACCCTATCGCAAGATTCCCATGTCACAGTGCGAGGGAGGCCCACGGCCAGACAGGGGCAAGGCGCACCATTGCGGCCCGACGCTCAGGGGACATGGCTTCTTCTGGTGGATCACCATGATCTTTGGGCCGTTTATGCTCGCTGGCGTCGTCGCTTACTGGTGGTTTATCAAGGGCAAGGTATCGAATGCAGGGTGAGCCGGAACGGGCGTGTGACCTTGTTGCCCAAAAGTGAAGGGCTCGTTTGCTGACGTGACCTCTGTCCTCTGCATCAGGCGCATACGGCTGCCGGGTGGAGGGGGTGTGGACTACCGAGACTGGACGGTGACGCAGACACTCAATTCCGTGCCCTACTTTGTAATCGGTGCTTTGGGTGAGCTCCTTGCTTTCGCCAAAGATGTAGCGCAACAATTACCGTTCTTTGGGAATCGACTGCGGCGAAACCGTGGCAGCTATGGAGGGTATCGGACCGTGTCATCCGACGAGGATGCAGAAGTGAGTCTCCCAGAAGAAACAGGTTCTTTGCTGTTACCCCCTCGCAAAAGAGGCACAATGAATTATGGGTGCTGAACTGCTCATCACTTGCATCCCTCTTCCTTCCCATCCGACACAGATTCTGCGCGATTATGACGAAGACGGGCTGGAATGAGGTGCATTCCGAGCGTGCCGACTAGCTCCCTGCATGACGCGGGGTCGCCCTGAGGATGTGATAAGACTGTTTCTTGTAGCACGAAGAACTTTCTCATCCATCGAAGATAAATCTCATGGACTTTCTACGGATCTGTTATTTGAGATTTGTTTTTTGGAATACGCAAATATTGCAGAGCTTGTCTGCAGGTTCTACCAGCGCCTGCAGAGTCACCGACTGCTAGATTTCGTCGCCGGGGAGAGTTGCGGGTGGCAACGTGAAGGCTCTGGCAAGCCGCTAGATCGACCCACATCGCTTTAGAAGCAGCTGAGGTGAGGTGTTCTTTGATCAGCGTGGTCCATGGTCGTCGTGGTGTGAGTGACGATGAGGCTAGCCGTTGTAGTAAACAAGAACAAAAACGCTAGCTACATAAAGTGCGCGCATGAGCCATGCCACCTTTCGGCCGTCAGCGGGTTTGCTCAGTGTCTCTCCTCATGACGACTTCACCTCCTTATCGCGAATCTCCCCACCCTGCCCTTTGTGCATACTGCAACAGCAACTGTCTCACGAGCCTCGGCTCTCGCTTCTACATCCTCGTACACTGTACAGATGACAGATTTACAGCACAGATTGCCGCATGGTCTGTCCTTATCTGCCATGACAAAAGGCGCAGCCTGGCGCAACGATTGGCCAGGAAGGATTAGGCTCTGTAGCCTGAAACAGGCCAGCACAAGACGTATGAAGTCCAAGGTCGAGCACGCCGTTTCGTGCTATGCCTTCGTATGCCAGGATGCTCCCTTGTTCTGACCTCTCGACAAACCACTTTGCTCCCGGAGTCAGAGAGCCCTTCCCACTGCTCAGATTTGTGGGTCGAGCAGCACCCGCAGCTTCAACACCTCAGCATCGCTTTGAAGGGAGCGCGGTACGGTCCAACGCCCTGTGCTCATCCCCAAATCATGTCACATGGAGACTCGTCCAGTATTTTTACCACAAAGGGCCGACACCCTGTTCTCGAGACAGGATCCAGTGCGGCCAGCTGGGGCAGTGCCGCCAGTCATCCCTTTCTCCATCATCAACAAATTGACGTCGCCATCCACAGCCTGCAGACCGCCGGCCTTTGTGTATTGACTCACGTCCTGTCCGTCTGTTCTTTCGTGCTCATTGTCTTATTTTCGCCATCAGCGACCTGTCTTGCCCCTTGTGCTAAGGTCTGTTTTCCTTGATGGACCTCTGTGACCTCTCTTGTTCTATTGCTGACCGCTTTCATACATAGAATTTCTCGAAAGTCAGAGCTATGAAAGCGACCCGAATAGCACTGTTGAACGGAAAGGAATGTGACATTTATAAAGAGGCTTCTGCGCTTACCTGTCACACTAGTGTTTCCCTTCTGACACCTAGAATCTTTCGCAACGCTGCTGTGCCAGCCCGCCATGCCTCCAACGCGTCAGATCCGCGGTCTCTCCTTCGGCGCAGGTGCTGGTACGACCGCCGCGCCTGTCCCCATCGCCAAAGACGCTTTCCGTCCCACTCGCTTTGCAAAGCATCAGGAAGTCGACGACTTCTTCGGACGTACGAAAGCGCAACAGCGGCAACTCCGCATTAAGACCCGAGATGAAAGTGGCGCACTATGGTTTGACTCGATTGGTGAGCAATGCATACAATGGCTGTGAAGTCAGCTTTTGGCAGGTCTGATCTCTTGTTATTCTTTCGTTGACGTCCAGAGCGCGACGAGCATCGGGGTCTCCTGTCTCCGACAGACTCAGTTGACAGATCCCGTCGCAGCAGTCTCGGCTGTCCGCAATACACCGAAGCTCGTCGTGGCATGTTGGAAGATGGAGCCAGCATCGGAGAGCCTCGCAGCGTTGAAGCGTTGGGCTTCACTGATCTGGCCAACATGACGCCTCAGATGATCCTCTCACCTAACCTCATGTTCAACATGTCTACACTCGAACTCGAATCGGCCAGCTACTTTGACCGCATTGCCAGCAGCAGGCGCGGCTCTCTCACCGCGTCTATCTCTGCTGGAGCAGGGAGCCCAGGCATTCGTCCTCCGAACAGCACTGATGGTAGCCACAAGCGCCGCTCGTCTGTCGGGGACCTTTCTCGCTACAATAAGCGCTCGCCAGGTGCATACCGTGCGGCTCGGAGATCATCAGCGGCGACCCGCCGGACAAGGCCCAGACGCAGCTATAGCGAATCTGTCAAGGGTGTCACTGTAACGAACAAGCTTCCCCCCAGGCTGCCAACATCGGAACAGGATGTCAACATGGCCGCTGTGAATCTCACCGTGGGGGCTAAAGTTGCGGCACATGTGGCGGCAGCCATGGTGACGGAAACAGAGATGGCTCCGCCTTCCGAACAGATTCACATGCCAGCGTTCCTGCCGCTCCCCCGCAGAAGGCCCAGTGCGCACGCTCTAGATGAGGCATTCGGAGCCGACAAGGCATCTCAAGTTGTCTCCTCTTTACCTTCGTCACTCCCTTCTTCCTTTCTGAAGCTATCGGCAAGGCTCAAGCCTTCGCGCTCGGACTCTCACATCTCTGCCATGGTATCAGTACCAGCTGAAGAGCAGGAGGTCCTCATGCAGCCTACGGAACCTGCTACTTCTTCCTTCTTCGCTGGTCAACACGCAGAAGAGGCTAGCGCATTTAGCCAGTATGCATATCTGAAAAGGTCCTCTGGTACTCGTCACAATGCGCCAGTCGCGACCGAGGCAATACCAGCTTTCACCTTCCACAACCCGTTCGCAGGATCGGAGGTGCCCCAAACGGCGCGGAATGTGCACTTGGAGGGCTTGTTTGCGGACCTAGAGCAGCCCGCAGCCTTGTCGCCGGCGCCTGTGACAGTGTCGACAAGCGCTGCCGGCACCCCAGGCCGACGCAAGCCGAATCATCTTCCGCTACGGCTACCGTTGCAGACGCAGAGTCTCCGGAGCGCAGTCTCACGTTCCCCCGTTGCACGCCGCGCAAAAGCTGCCATTGAGGCCGGCCTCTTGTCGTCGCATTACTACACAAACCCATCGCGCTGCGAGGTGTTCGGCATGGTTGCCATCGACAGTGACCACAGCATTGGTGCGGGTGATGTAGCCGCCAATGAGCGTCACCATAGATTTGCCTCCGACAACGACATCACTGATTTGGAGGACGACACAAGTGACAACGCGATCATCATACTGCCGCCTCCACCCCCTCGCTCAGCCAGCAGCGCACCTACCAGCGGCAGCGCGAGCTCAGTGCAAAGCGTGCGCCTCTTTGAACATGGCGGCCACCATGCAGCAGTACTATCCAGACCGAAAGTCAAAGTTAGCTTCCAGCAGTCCACTGCTGTCAGCAAAACGGCGAGCTGCAACAATACGGCGCCGACGCCGGCAGCGGGAGGCACGTCCAGCAAGGCGGTTGCCATTCTGGGCATCAACGACGCGAATCGCAATCTGCTCGCTCCTGTGGGCTTGCCGACGAGCGCAAGCCTGTATGAAAATCTGCACATCCCTTGCGCCAGCATCTTGCTTGGGAGCGACGATGAGGCGGATGACGACAACTGCCGCGGCGGTGGCAATGCTGAGCACGAGAGTGACGGCGAGAAGGACACCAACGCTGCAGATGACGCTGGTGAGCAGGACCGCGGCGCAGAAAGACGTGTCGCACTTGCGACCAGAGCGACGATACACAAAGCAGCGAGGGCTCGGAGCATGTCGGTGCTTGCCGGGAAAAAGGCGATGCAGAAGCTGTTTGGGCGGACGATGAGAACGTGAGCTCAAGGACTTCAGTATTGGGCGATCCTTACACACTCCTGTCGCGCTAGTAGACTACTTTCAGGTGTATCTGACGATTGAAAAGGTTCATTATCCATTGCAAAGCAGCGTTGGAACCTGTCTACATTCGAGCGCCGACTATTTAGACGCAAGAGTCCATACACGCAGCAAACAGAGGCAACGGGCACTGTGACCAAAGCGAAACTGTCGACCATCACCAAGGGATAAAATGCGGTCTATACACCCGAGGACAAAACGAAGGCTGCGCCACGAAGTCTTTCGATCAGCGCATATCGGTCTTGAAGACTTGAATGGTTCCTTGGTTCGTCGCAGGAACATTCTCGAGATCCGTTTATGGAAACCTCGTAGTCATGGCGAAGTCCAGAGACTGCCAGCCTGGACTTTTCTATTTGAACTCTGTACACATGCGCAAAGTATGGCGGTGGCTAAAACACGTCGAGGACCGTGAGGCGCCTAAAAACCACCTACGCTTCGTAGGTGGTTGACTACGCATAACACTCAGCCCTTGATTCCAACCCACCTCGCGTACTCCTCGCCAGTGTGCAGCACGCCGACTTCGTTCAGCAACTCGTCCGCATGCTATGTACATACCGACTACAAGAGGTCGTAATCAAAGGCGGCGTGCTCGACAGAGTCACATGTGATGTGCAGGTCGCGTACGCATATACATACGCACCCACAGTGCCTCAAGAATCACGCCATCCGCGGAATGGAACTTACTGATGTTCGAACAAGTCCGGCGCCTGGGGCAGACTGCGGCTAGGGCCCGTTGAGCCCCATGCGAAGCCCACCCCTCATAAGCACAAGGTTTCGCACTTGCCCGGAGCGTTGCGAGCTTTCAACTCGCACGAGTCATGACTGACGACACTGTTGGAGAATGGTGAGGTGAGAGGCATTGACCCTCGTGGGGCATGAAGGACGCCTGAGTTCATGATCGGCATCGAGGTACGCGTTTTGCATGGTTTTTTTTGCAAAGGCCTCTATAGTTTGAGAAACTGTATGGGATTACGAAAAATGACACAGCGGGACTGGGTCACTGCCTCTGTGGAGAGAGTGCAGGGCGTACACATGTGAGACTGTGATGAGGAGGGCAGAGTGCATTGAAGCAGAGACAGAGAGCGCGCCATTTGACACGACGACAGGAGTGACTGTGTCGCGCTCTCTGTTGCGGAGGCCTGGAGCCCCGGGAAGTTAGATCAGTCAAGCTGCCTGGAGTGGAGAAAATTTGCAAATGCTCCATGCGGATCAGCGGTGGAATGATCTGCAGAGTGGATACGCTGCCCATTTATGCTGCCTTCTGGACTGGGCCTGTGATATGGGTATGTCGCGCTTCCCTCGAAGCTGGCTGCGGTCAACCTGTCAAAGTTGAACTGCTCCGCGCCGCGCCGCTGTGGGCTCTTACAAAGACAGCAGCGGGAAAGTGGGGCCGGGATGTCTCTACAGAAAGAAAACGTGCAAGATAAAACATCGATGGCGGGCTGAGACAAGTAGTGAGGGCAAACGAGCGGCGCAGTGCAGGCAGCTATTGCCGCACGGTGAAGGAAACCGCCGTAATGCTAACAAAATTTGCTAAGCCCACACCAGGCATCAGAACGCAGATCCGTGCACAAGTCTTTCGAGAGAGATCAAGGGCACCACAGCAGAGGTGCCGACTTCTGCAGCAGCAAAAACCATCACCGTTCGCCAGCCGACTGTTCTCTGGTGCCTGCTGAGGTGCTGATGATGCCTGGTGCGCACTTGACCAGACTTGTGTCGGCAGGCTGGACTTGCCTTTGCCGACCGCTGTCGAGTGTTCTGCTGCCTTCGACTTCACTCTGCCAGCGACGCGCTCGCCCCTCTTGCTTCTCATATGGTTGTTTTTCCCCTCTCCCACCCGACGCCCGCTGCGGAAGCCCCTTCCCCTCTCCAGTCTCCATCACCAATGCCCCCTTGAACTCATCGCCGACCTCGTCTTTGGACCTCCATCCTACCCAACTTCGACTCTCCATCCCTTGTCAATTATTAAATATCTTGCGCTCCCTTCTATACACACACCTTCACACACCATCTCTATCGCCAACAGGAGGATACCCATTGGTACTGGCGGACTCGATTGATTCGAGCTTACCCGCCTGCCCCAACTCCTCTAGTTGCCGGTTTCACCGCCCCCCTCTCGACCTCTCTTCTGGTCCACTATCCCACCCGGCCCATTCTTCGACATTCTCTTCTCTCTCACTTTTTTCTTCCGCACCCGACTTCGTCCGAACTCGTCCGACTTGACTGCCGTCGCTGCCTCGAAGAAACAGAGGCCAGAAGCCGGAATTCGAAGCGGGGTGTACCTCGAGGTCTCGACCCCTCCTCACGACCGGAGGACCGCTCTTTCCATCACCAGCCACTCTCATTCCCATCCATCGATCTTTACATGTGGAGACGTCTTGGTCTTCCCAAGCACTGAAAGGAGTGATTTGTCAGACGGATCGCAATCTCAAGATCCAAAGAGCGACTAGCTACGTCTGGTACATAGCTGCGACTTGTCTCTTATCTACGATACAACAGTCGCCATCATGGAATCACATCAACGCATGCACAAGCATGCTGCACTCCGCCGTGACCCAGCGTATGCTAGTGCGCGGCCAGCCAATCTGGCGCGTGATGTCAAGGACTACGTAGAGCGACATCAAGACGAAGTATTGGGGAAGCGCGTCCCGTCCATCTTCCCAGAGCCGACACCTGCGAAATCAGGGGGACACTCTGGTAATCTAAAACGTGCTTCTGATTCAGGATCCGAACTTGGGCATGGGTCTAATGCTGGTACTAGCCCTGGTAACGATGGTGTTGTAGGAGGAAGCGGTGGCAGCAGCGGCAAAGGCAACGATGTTGGTACCAGCAACGGTACCGGCAGTGGCGGTGGCAATGCCGACACGACAACTTCGTCCACCACGCTCTGTGAGTCCCATACCTCAGGGGTTGACAGGAGTGAGTCAGGTTTTCTGATGCCTATCGCCTTGTACCGGCAGCTACTACCACTCGCTCAAAGACGGAGATTTCATCCAAGTCGACCTCCATGTCCACGACGGAATCGTCGACTTCTACGACCAAGAGCTCAAGCGTTAAAACTTCGACTTCCACATCGAGTAAACCGACTAGCGTTTTGTCTTCGTCCTCAACCTTACCGCTCGCAACGTTTACCCAGCCTAAAATCCTAACATCCACAGTGAGCACGGTTGGCACGCCATCATCTACCCTAGCCGCCAACTCGGCTAGCAGCAAGAGTAACAGTCCGGGAGCAGGTCCGATTATCGGAATCGTCGCAGCCGCCCTTGTCGGTGTAGCGATTCTGTCCGCCCTCATCGGGTTCATCTGGAAAAAGTGCGTGCGTCGCGACGACCCGTACGAAGCCAACCCCTTCGACAAGGACGACTTCCGGCGCCACTCTGCAATGCTGCCAGATACCTTCGACAACGATGACGGTGCTCCGTCCATGTCAGAACACCACAACTTCAGCCCTAACATGTATGAGGGCGCCGGCATGGCCGGCATGGGCATCATAGCCGCCGGTGCTGGCGTTGCCGCTGCGTCTGACCGCATGGCGCACAACGAGATCGGCGCCCCACGACCGCCGACCATGTTCCAGCGTCACATCAACGGTCCTGCAGCTCAATTTGATTCGAACGCAGCGTACTCGCAAGCGCCGAACGTCCCGCCCGTCCCATCGATGGGCGCGTATGGTCCCGCCTACCCTCAACTACCGCCGATGGCATTTGGCGGCGCCGCTGAGGCATTCGTGGCTGGTGGCGTGCCGCCCATGGCCAACGTCGCGAACCCGTACGCACATCTGGACCGTGGTATGCATGATGCCAGCAGTGGCCTCGGTCGCTCGGGTTCAAACGTGTCAGGGTCTGGCGGCTCGGGAGGGTACGGCTCGGCCCAGGAGGACTACATGGACACCGCCGGTCGTCCTGGCACATCTGAGAGTCGCTCGGGCACACCAGACCTACCCAATGTGCAGCAGACGTATGCGGCGCTGGACCAGCACAACCGCTTCCCGAAGTTCAACTCGCCTCCCTCGGAGCCGGTACGCAACCCGTTCGGCGACGGCGGCAACGACTCCCACAACGCTGCGCAGCAGCACGATTCGATGGACAGCACGAACATGCTGCAACATTACTACACCGGGTCTAAGGGTAGCGCCAGCGGCGCTGGTGCTGATGCCGGTCGCAACGCGAGTCCGATGACGATGATGCAAAATCACAATGCCGCGACGGCCGTCAGCAGCTTCCCGGCCAACTTGCAATCGCAGCCGAGCTTGAGCGTGCGCAACTTCATGCCTTCGCAAGCTGCGTCCAACACCAGGCCCATCAGCACCGTTAGCACGCAAGCTGATCCTGATGACGCATACGGCGGCGTATGGTAGAAGACGCCGACAAAAGGACTCTTTTTCACTTCTTTCCAATTGCGTTCCGAATTTCGCATGGCGCTTCGGCCCCAACGATGGCCATCAGCACGTCCTGGTCTCGCTTTTCATTCTCTTCGAATCCGACCCGTCGACTCTCCTTTCGAACTCGTTTCCCCCCAGCTTGGACAGCCACATCCCAAGATCCGCTTTGAACTACGGTGCACGGGCCGCATCTCCAGCCTCTTCCTCGTTTATGAGCTTGTAATTCTTCGCTTTCGACCGGTCGACTTTGCGTGTAGTCACGGGCTCTCGATGGGGCTGTCAGATTCTTCCTGCTTCACGCTTTTCTATTTACAGTCATTTGTCCTCCATTCACCCTCGCAACGATCCTCCCTCCGTCCTTCTCGAGCTACACTGGTATAGCATGCAGCTAGCTAGCTAGCTCCTTCTCGCTATTGAGGCGCAGCTCCAGTTGAACGGACAGGAAGGTAGGGATCCGCAAGAACACGGGCAAGCACGACGGCTGGTCGGACGCCTCGTTGCTTTGGCGGTATGCATGGCAACCGGGCGCATGCAAGAAGTGAGAGGGGGGGAAGAAGGTCGTAGCCTCCGCTCCCTTTGCGCGACTTTCACCCGCTTTCTCCACCATCTTTTCCATCTCAACATCTTGGGTTCCTTTTCTTTTTGAAAACTCCCCCCCTTCCTCTTATTGCTTTGAACTCGTCGGTTTGTGAACCATGTATCTTTTCTCCCGTGCGAACTCGACTATAAAGTAGACCATATGGTATCCGCGTCCCTCCCCTGCCTCTGCACTTGCTCTGCAAGCCGCTGGAGCGTTTGAACTTGTTGCTAGCATTGATCCGACAGGAAAGGGACAACGACTTGGAAGTATGTAGCTTCCAGTTAGGCCGCACTCGATCGGTCATCGGCGGCCGCTGCTCTCCCCCAGGACGCCAAGACCGAAAAGATGTGAAGAAGATGCCAGGCACGGCGCCATCTTGGGCCTTGGGACCTGGAACGACAAATACACGTTGGGCCCTCAAAGGCAGGCTGTAGTCGCCTTGACCCGAGCGTGTCAGATATCGTAACCATGCCAAGTAGAAGGTAAGTAAAAGTGAAAAAGTGGGTGGCGCGCTGGTGGCTGGAATCCAGAGTGTAACTACGTGTTATCGTTGTGCGTGGCACGCCAGCGGTGAGCAGCCGCGATGCGTCTGAGAGGCGGAGAGTCCATCACCCAAGAGAACCTGGAAGTGCATACGCCCCGTAACGCCCACTACAGCACACCCACACCACACTTCCCTAAGGTCAAGCGTGCCAGACCTTCTCAACATCGTCAAGTCCAACAAGTCCATAGCTCGCATCACCGTATGCATTCAACTTGCACGCCGTAGCATTCACTTCACGCGTTTGCGTATAGACAAATTGCGTCCTTTTTCGGCCGCACCACGCGCTCGAACAGCATACAAGGCTCGCATATACTTGCAGCTTCTGGGCTTGTAGTGCGCACAGACGAAGCGGCAGCGAAGCACACATACGGTACGCGTCACCAGCACACTCCGAGCTGTTGCTTGCTGAAGCAGGCAGGCAGGCTCTAGAACGCGAGAATCATCATGGACGTCGATTTAATCAGCGTTGTCAACAAGCTGCAAGAGACTTTTTCTGCCATTGGAGGGGACTCTGTCGACCTCCCGCAATGCGTCGTCGTGGGCTCGCAATCTGCTGGCAAATCAAGCGTGCTAGAGACGTGAGTGATGATCAGATAGAGAGCAGTGCGTAAGGACATCGTTCTGACGCGAATCTCATATCATTTCTTCTTTGCAGTATCGTAGGGAGGGACTTTCTGCCCCGAGGTAACGGCATCGTCACTCGAAGGCCGCTTGTGCTTCAGCTCGTCCACACGCCCCTACCAGCCCATGCTAGCGGCTCCACCAAGGCTTATAACAAGAATGAGCCATCGTCGTCGACCTCAGCATTGGCCTCCTCCTCTGCGTCGCCTCTCTCTTCCAGTTCCGAGTATGGAGAATTCCTGCATCTTGACAGGCGCTTTACAGATTTCGGCGAGATACGAAAGGAGATCGAGAACGAGACGCTGCGAGTGGCAGGACAGAACAAGGGCATCTCCAAGCTGCCGATCCATCTCAAGATCTACAGCCCAAATGTCCTCAACCTCACCTTGGTGGATCTTCCAGGTCTGACAAAAATTCCTGTCGGAGACCAGCCTTCGGATATCGAGAGGCAGATCCGCAACCTCGTTACCGACTATATCTCCAAGCCAAACTGCATCATCCTCGCCATCAGCCCTGCCAATGTCGACCTCGCCAACTCGGACAGTCTCAAGCTCGCACGCGCTGTCGACCCGCAGGGTAGGAGGACCATCGGTGTGCTCACAAAGCTGGACCTCATGGACTCGGGAACGCATGCGCTCGACATCCTCACCGGCCGCGTCTATCCGCTCAAGCTCGGCTTTGTCGGTGTTGTCAATCGCTCACAGCAGGACATCAACGGCAACTTGTCCATGCTCGTCGCCAGGAGGCAGGAGGAAGAGTTCTTCAACAACCATCCCGCATATCGCAACATCTCACATCGGTGTGGAACACAGTATCTCGCCAAGACGCTGAATTCAGTGAGCAGTGGCTTAGGGCTCGGTAGCGCTTGAGATCCCACACCTCGCACTGACGATCTCCGTTCTTTGCTGCAGGTGCTGATGAATCACATCCGAGACAAGCTTCCTGATATGAAGGCGCGGCTGAACACGCTCATGGGTCAGACGCAACAAGAGCTCGCAGCTTTCGGCGACTCGGCCTTCCTGGGGGATCAGCATCGCGGTACGCTGATCCTCAAGTTGATGACACAGTTCGCGCGCGATTTTGTCGCTTCGATAGATGGTACTTCGTTTGACATTTCGACTAAAGAGCTTTGCGGTGGCGCAAGAGTGTACTACATCTTCAATGACGTCTTTGGTCATGCGCTAGAGAGCATCAACCCAACGCAGAACCTCACCGTCCAAGACATCCGCACCGCCATCCGCAACTCGACTGGGCCGCGGCCGAGTCTGTTCGTCCCTGAGCAGGCCTTCGAACTACTAATCAAACCACAGATCAAATTGCTTGAGCCGCCGTCATTGCGATGTGTCGAACTGGTCTACGAGGAGCTCATGAAGATTTGCCACAACTGCACAAGCCAGGAGCTGCAGCGCTTCCCGCGCCTGCATGCCCAGCTCATCGAGGTCGTTTCGGAACTGCTCAGGGAGCGTCTCGGCCCAACCTCTGAATACGTACAGAGTCTGATCGCGATCCAGGCTGCGTATATCAACACCAATCATCCAGCTTTTGTCCAAGATTCCGCCAACATTGCGCGCCAGACGCGCGAAGGCCAGAACAATAAGCAAACCCTGTTGACCGGCGCCAACAGGACTGCGTCGCTCGACGGCGACACGAAGTCAGATGCCATCGTCGAGGAGGACGAGGAAAATACACCCATCAAGCCGCTGAACGGATCTGCCAAGTCTTCCAAGCGCGGTGAACTCTTGCCGTCTTCCACGACTGTATCCCAAGCGAATCAGCACTCGTCCATTTCTGCCTCCACGCCCAACGTCGGCGCAGGCGTCAATTCGAGCCGAGGCGACGCAGCCGCTGCAGCAGAGCGAGGGGACAACTTCCTCAACTACTTTTTCGGCTCCGCGTCGGGCCTGCCAGGTCAGAACGTTCTCGCTGCCGCTCCATTGGGCTTTGCAGCTGCAGGTCAGAGCGCGCAGTACAATCAGGAGCGCGTAAATCCCATGGCTGGGCGCATGGGCTTGGAAGGGAGCAGCGCGGCGTACGACATGAAGAGCCTGGACAAGCATCTCGAGGCGGTGAGCTTGGCCTTACTATGTAGTAAATAGAAATGCTGGGACTGACCTCGTTTTGGCCCATTTTGTCTTACAGACACCGCTTTCGGCGGCTGAATACGCCCTGTCAGAGCGAGAAGAACTGGAGACGTCGCTCATCCGGAATCTCATTGCATCTTACTTCAGTATCGTGCGACAGACCATCCAAGACCTCGTACCGAAGGCCGTCATGCACCTCCTCGTCAACTTCTCCCGTGAAACCGTGCAGAATCGTCTCGTTGCAAACTTGTACAAGGAAGGTCTTTTCGCCGAACTGCTGGAGGAGGATGAGGGCTTGACAAATGAGCGCAAGCGCGTGCAGGCGCTTCTCAATGCGTTTAAGGAGGCTTTCAATGGTGCGTTCACAGCTTTGTCTGCAGCATCCCATTCTGTGCCAAGATACTGACCTTTTTGGCCTTCCCCCAGTCTTGTCGGAGGTCACGTTTAAGCCGGTTGCATGAGGACGTCTTGAAATTGCTTCCTTGGGTCTTACGTGCAATCGCCTGTACTGAGATGTATAGAAGCTTACGCATTGGGAATCTCAGATTTTGTTTCATGACGCAGATAATTCTATATTCGCAAGTTTAATCAAGTACAACACACAGCTCTGACAGCTCTTTCCGACGTTCCGCTCTGCGATACGATTTGCTGTGCGATGCGCGAGTCGGGGACAGTGTGTTGATCGTGTGAGGATGATGATGCGCAGGGCCGGATACATGGAAAAGGTGATGGCCCTGAAAATGTGTGAAGTGCCCGTGCAAACCTTGAAAAGGGTATAGCAGAACGATGCGGTTCCCATGCCAGGTGTCCCAAAGTATCCTATTGCGGACATTGAGGTTCTGATGGTCGCTTTCCACTTGCAGACTGCGTGCTGCTCGGCACAGTGGCGGGCAGCAGGCAACGGGCCACTTTGAGCTTGTCAGTGGTAACAACGGGTTTGCGAGCACGGCGGGCAAGGGGGACGTAATCCTGCAGAAGGTGCGCCTCGCGACCTGCGCATGTCATGACTTCGTCGACGACCCCGCGCGGTCAGACTGTAGTAGCGTCGCAGACTTTGATGCCCGGAAATGGGCGGGTGAGCCGGAACACTGCATCTTCGCCAAGGGTACAGACCAACATAACTGGCGGACCGACCTCAACGCCGAACTCGAAGCTTGCGAATACCACCTTGCCGCAGCGATCTCCGCTCAAATGGCTTTCAGGATCCATCCTTGGCAGCCGCGCGCATACATAGAGGGAAGGGCATCCCCGAATATCTTGCGCGCTCGACGAATGGTCCACCCGAGCATCGTTGCTTCGACCTGGGCACGATCTTGCCGGGTGAGCGCACGGTGAGCTCACACAAACCCGCCGGAATCTTCGCAGAGACTGCCTTGAAACAACGGTGGAAGTGGAACGACGACAGGCCGGTCATTTTGTTTTACTGCTTCAGCGTCTTGGGTTTAAACTTGACATCGTCGGCGACCTGCGTGTTGCCTCGGCCCAAAAAAGCGCCATTGCCCTCGTCGACAATGTGGCGAATGCATTGACCAACGGGAAAGGCCGAATTCTCAGCAGTCCCATGAATCTCGGGCTTGCAACGCTTGCATCGGCGAATACCAGCAGTCTCGGCCTCTTCTATGCCACCAGGGAACGAGAAGTACGTGGTGCAAAGACGCCCTGGCTTCTTGGCAACGCGGAGCTGTTGGCAGTAAATGCGGGTAGTGAGATGAGCGCAGACGAAGTGGGTGTCAGCGGCACGGGCTCGAGCTGGGACAGCCTCCATCGCGCAGACTCGGAGCTGAAATCGGCTGTTCGGGCGGAAAGAAGGACCGTTTTCTTCTTGCTTGTAAAAGAGTAAGTTGAGCTTCCCTTGGAGTCAACCAGCTTTGTGTTCGGCGATTCCCTCCTTTCATCGCTCAACCTCGATCGTGCGGCTCTGATGAAACTTGAAAGGTCAAACGGTGTGTCAGTCAATAGGGACAAGCTCGGCTGTGATTCTCCATGTTATTTTTTTTTCAAAAGTTGACAGCTCAGTGTCAGCGTCCCCCCGAAGTGCTAAATATACAACAGTCATGTGACAGATTGTCAGACGTCCACATGAATGACGTTGACATCTTGCCGCCTGGGTCGTCGTGGAGAGTTTCCCACAGGCACGGAGGGCTCGGCTTCGTGATCGGGCGACGAACACTTGCACGTCTGCTCCATCTGCGCGACCAAAATTCCATTGACTCGATCGCGAAACGCAGGCTGCAGCGAGTCCAGGGGTGCGGAAAATTTGGCAAGAAGATCAAATCTATTAAAAGATAGTCGATTGAAAGACGATAGATGATGATGTCATGATGTGACGAAGGGTTCACATGAGTCGGATTCGTGTCCGAGCTCGAGCTCGAGCTCTATGCCCCTTTTATCCGGTTACTGCGCGCCACCGACGGCCAACTCTCAGCCTATCATGTTCATCATGTTTCCAGCGTAGGCCATTGGCTTGACGTTTGGATGCGGCTGCGCCTCGAACACCTCGAATTTCATCGTGCCGCGCTCGTCGATGCGAGCAAAGGCCCCCTTGTTGCCGACCGAATCGCAGTAGTTGGGGGCGGAGAAGATGGTGCAGCACAAACCGTCGTGCTCCTCTGCGAAGCCACCCTGTCGGACCTCGTGACTGCGCAGGACAGCCGTAACACCGTTGTACTCGCACCACTTGCGCGTAATGTCAGGTCCAAAGCCCAGCCCCACACCGCGCTTGCTGGGCCCACGGCCCTTGGCCACTTGCGGATCGCTCCAAAGAAGCTCCATCATCAAGCCCTCTTGCCCCGGTTGGCGTTGCTTTCGTCGGTCGATCTTGCGAATGTCCTGCAGCGTGACCTCGTCCTTCGAGAACAGACCGCCGTGTACAACGAAGAAGCGCTTCAGTCCTTCTCGGCCCACTTCACCGCTCGGCTCCTTGGCGTGCGACAGAATCGGACTGCGCTGCGCTTTGGAGTACGTGGCCAGAAGATCCTGGCCCTGCAACGGCTCTTCTGGTGCGGTGATCAGCGTTGCAAGTGGTAGAGAGACAAATGCCTCGCTGAATAACTGGAATGTCAGCGGGCTGGGCCCGTACTTGTGCTTGCACTCGCCCTCGAATCCGTAGACCTTGTTCATGTCCGCCGTCTCGTGGTTGCCGCGATTGATCAAGGTGGTCTTGGGGTAGAGGCACTTGTAGGCGAAAATTGTGAGTGCAATCTCGACAGACCAGCTGCCACGGTCGACAAAGTCTCCGTTGAACAAGACTGCATGTGTTTCCGAAGGCGGGCCGGTAAGGGTGAGGAGATGAAGGAAGTCGTAGAATTGCCCGTGTCTGTTGCGATAGAGTTCTCTGTCGTCAGAAGGTGCACCTCGCATCGCACTTCGCTTCAGGCACTTACGTGTCACCTACGACGTCGATCGTCTGCTTCTTGGGAATCTCGTAGTCCACCAAGCTAGGTTCCTTGTCAAGTTGCAATTTCGCCCCAAGCACAATCTGCCACACGTACTTGAGCGGTAGCTTCTTCTCCGCTTTGAACAGGTCGATCATCCCTTCGATGAACTCATTCGTCACAACACCGACCGCCTTCTCTTCTTGCGTTGCTGCTTCCGATGCTTCCTGTGTCCTCGGTCCATCGTAGCTTTCTGGTACTACAGTCCCTCCCGATCCTTCGAGTAGGTGCTCGAGCACAGTTCCCGTCGCGCCTTGCCCTTCTTCCTTCTTGATCGCCTTTTCAAATTCTAATCTCCGGATGAGCTTGATCGTCGCCTCCAGACATGCGCGAACCTGTGCGTTCTTAGGCTCTATAGAAGCACATTTCTTGAGGTCCGGTAGAGCAGCTTTCGGGTCGAGGATGGAAAGATACGCCGATGCTCTTCTCCAGTACGCCTTCGGGAAGTTTGGATCTAATTCGATGGCTTTGGCTGTAGCAAAAGAGAAAGACTCGAGTCAGATTAGGAGTCAGTCACAGTGCATGAGGGGGAAAGCTTACAAGCGTCTTCAATGGCAAGACCATGTTGCTCGAGTTTCAGCTCGCAAGCTGCCCTGTTGCTCCACAGCGCTGGTACAGAGGAATCGTAGGCTACTGCCTCTCCGTATTTCGTCTTTGCTTCGTCGTACTTGCCAGTAACAAAAAGCTTGTTCCCTTCGTCTTTCAGAGCCATCGCTTTCTGTTTGCGCTCCTCCTCTGACATCTGGTCCACCTCCATGCTGGCCAAAGACGGTGGCTCGTCCGCCAATGTTGCAGAGCGTAGAACGCGCGACTGCTCTCCATCCGGAGTGAGGAAAAGTGAGCTCTGCGAGGTGGCAGGGCTGCTGGGCCCCGCTGACTCTTGGTCAGATGTCCCAGTTCCTGATGAGGTGGACGCTTGCGAAGCAGGCATGGTGGCAACGTCGAAACGGGTGTGACGATGGTCTGACAAGCGCACTCCGTGAGTGATCGTCCTCCGGGTCTGAATTCTTGGATCTCGGAAATTCGTTTGGATGCTCGGGGATAGCTAGCGAAAGGGGTACGCTCCACCACCTGAGGATAGGGTAGTGCTCGTTCTAACTGAGTTGATGCTGGTCACACGATGTGAAAGGAGTTTGCACAGTAACTGAGAAGATCTCAGTAGCCCCTCACAGAGAGCATCGACCCACGAGGGATGAGAGCATCTTCGCCATTTGCCATCTCCAGCCACAGCCAGAGAACTTTTTTGAGCGGAACCTGACCGGAGGTTATCAACAAGAGAGAGAGTGCCCCAGAGGCGCACACCTGCCTATTGCTAGCTGCAGCAGCACACTGTGACATGGACCGCGCGGAACGAATAAAGATGATGCGAATATCCATCCTGTTGCGCGGAGACCATCAGAAGACAACGTCTAGCCTGTTCCCTGTTGGACAGGACGACTTCAAGCGTGTATGTTGCATGGAGTAACATCGGCCCCGTTCAAGCTGTACACTGCCACCTGCCGTTCACTTGCAATGCTCTGAAGCTCCAACATCTGGCTGTCGCTCACTTTTTAGGCCACGCGTTCAACGAAAATCGGGGGACGTGTCCCCACATCACGCGTCATTGACGGCCAGCCAAGGCGCGCAGCAGAAGCAAGCACGTACGGCAGCTGCAGGTCATCCAGGATGCACCTCCTGTCGCTCAGCCTTTCGGCTGCCTCTGCAGTCAACGGGGCTGTAGTAGGGCAATTTTCTGGGACACGCACGCAAGAGATCGTGCTGGCGAAGACAACCCGGCTGCATTTGCTGCGGCCCGACACACAGAATGGAAAGTTCCAGACCGTCTGCGAGCAAGAGATCTTTGGCACAATCAGAAGTGTCGCTGCGTTCCGACTTATCGGCGGATCCAAAGGTGAGGCGAAACTCTCAAACTCTTTTGCTCGCGTGTGCAAATGAGTATGTTCCCTAACTTGCCTTTGAACCTTCAGACTATCTCATCGTTGGCTCGGATTCTGGCAGGATCGTCATTCTGGAGCTGGACCTCAAGACCATGCTCTTCAAGCAAGTACATTGTGAAACATTTGGAAGATCCGGTTCGCGGCGTATCGTCCCCGGACAGTATCTTGCTGTGGATCCAAAGGGAAGAGCGGTGCTGGTCGGCTCCGTGGAAAAGTCCAAATTGGTCTACATTCTGAATCGTGATGCAGAGGCGAACTTGACCATCTCTAGTCCGCTCGAAGCACATAGAAGTCAAGCTATCATCCATTCCATTGTCGGGGTGGATGTCGGCTATGAGAATCCACTTTTTGCGGCCATCGAAGTTGACTATGAAGACGCAGATAGAGATCCATCAGGAGAGGCTTTTGAAAACGCGGAAAAGGTGAGTAATGTAGCGTTCTCTAGAATTAACAATGTGCTTGACGCTCCTGTTCTTTTCTTCGTGCACAGCTTCTCACCTATTACGAACTCGACCTTGGCCTCAACCACGTCGTACGGAGGTGGTCGACGCCCGTAGACCCCCGAGCAAACACCCTGCTCCAGGTGCCAGGTGGCTACAACCAAAATTCTGAGCGGTGGGAGGGACCAAGCGGTGTGCTCGTCTGCAGCGAGGACTACATTACATACAAACATCAGGGCAGCGAAGACCACAGGGTGCCAATACCACGGCGGCATAACCCCTTGGAGGACGAGAGCAAGCGGAGGGGCTCTATCGTGGTCGCTAGCGTTTGCCACAGGATGAAGGTGAGTACTCGTGTCATGTTGCTGCGCTCATGGTCTTGCCTCTCTTACCTTTTTATGGTGTTTTTTTTAGAATGCCTTCTTCTTTCTTCTTCAAAATGAGGATGGTGACTTATTCAAGGTGACAATCGACCATCAGGACGAGACTATCACCTCGCTTCGGATTAAGTACTTCGACACAGTCCCCGTTGCAACATCACTTTGCATCCTGCGCGCCGGTTTCCTGCTCATCGCATCTGAGGCAGGTCCTTCCCACCTATATTCATTTCAAAAGCTTGGCGATGACGATGACATTCCCGAGTACGCATCGACAGACTACCCGGCCAACGGCATGACCGAGGTGCCGGCCGCGCCACCGACATTCGTCCCGCGGACGCTGGACAATCTCTACCCGACGGACGAGCTGCCTGCGCTGGATCCCATCGTCGATGCCGTGGTTGCCAATCCGCTCCAGGAAGACACACCTCAATTCTTCCTTGCGTGCGGCAAGGGCGCGAGAAGCAGCTTCAAGATGCTTCGAAACGGGCTGGACGTCAATGAGGCTGTCAGCTCCGACCTTCCAGGCATCCCGAGCAATGTATGGTCGACGCGGCTCAAGAAGGATGACGAATTCGACTCGTATATTGTCTTGAGCTTCGTGAATGGAACGCTGGTCCTCAGCATCGGAGAGCAGATCGAAGAGGTGTCCGACAGTGGGTTCCTGACATCCGAGCCGACTTTTGCCGTGCAGCAGCTCGGCGCGAATGCACTCCTTCAGGTGCATCCGCGAGGCATCCGGCATATCATGTCGGACAAGACCGTCACCGAATGGGCCACGCCCGAGGCACCGGATGGGTCGTTGACGATGATCGTGGCAACGACGACGAACGAGCGCCAGGTCGTCGTCGCGCTCGACTCGAACGAGCTCGTCTACTTTGAGCTCGACATGGATGGGCAGCTCAATGAGTACCAGGAGCGGAAGAACGTTGGCTCGCGTGTGCTCACCATGAGCATGGCAAGCGTTCCGGAGGGACGGCAGCGCACGCCATACCTTGCAGTAGGCTGCGAAGACCAGACTGTGCGCATGATCTCGCTAGATCCAGAGTGCACATTGGAAGGTATTTCAATACAGGCGCTCACCGCTTCGCCTTCCAGCATCTGCATCGCAGAGATGCTCGACGTCACAATCAACCGCAGTCATCCGACCCTCTTTGTGAACATTGGGCTGCAGAACGGACTTCTCCTTCGGACTGTTTTGGACTCGATTAGCGGTCAACTGACGGACACGCGGACTCGATTCCTGGGCTCGAGGCCCGTCAAGCTCGTTCGCGTCAGAGTCCTCGGCCAGCCTGCTGTGCTAGCGCTGTCGAGTCGCTCGTGGCTCAGCTACACATACCAGGATAGGATGCAATTCACACCCCTTATCTTTGACGCCCTGGATCACGCCTGGTCGTTCAATGCCGAGCTCTGTCCGGAAGGCCTGATCGGCATCGCAGGGGGGACACTGCGCATTTTTACGATCCCGCAACTGGGCACGCGCTTAAAACAGCAAGTGGTCCCGCTTCCGTTCACGCCACGCCGCATGGTCTGCCATCCGGCCAACAACGGACTCTTCTACGTCGTCTCAGCAGACCATCGCGTACTCTCACGATGGGCGATCGAACAGCGAGAAGCAGCGCGAGGCAACCCGTTGAAGGCAAAGGACCGCGGCGTGCTCGATCTGCCAGCACGCGAATTTGGCTCTGTACGGGCGGAGGCGGGTCAGTGGGGGTCCAGCATATCCGTAGTGGATGCGGTCAACTCGCAGTTGGCCTTCCAGCTTGAGCTCGAGGGTAACGAGTCTGCCACAAGCGTCGCGGTCGTCGCCTTTGCCTCGGCGCCAAGCGAGCACTATTTGGTTGTCGGTTTAGCCGTTGACGCATATGTCGTGCCGCGTGCAAGCAGAACCGCGTACCTGGCGACGTACAAGATCGGGAGCGATGGGAAATCGCTGCAGCTGGTGCACAAGACGGAGGTCGAAGAAATTCCGACGGTGCTCAAACCATTCCATGGTAGGCTGCTCGCAGGCCTAGGCAAGGTGCTCCGCATCTATGACCTTGGCAAGAAGAAGCTATTGCGTAAATGCGAAAACAAGGTGAGTCATTGCCGGTGCAATGTTGCTTTCAGCACTTCTGGTGGTAGTATCGGCTGATGTGCATTGATTCGTTCTTTTGTAGCACTTCCCTGCCGGAATCGTCTCTATGGAGACGCAAGGTCTGCGTATCGTGGTGGGAGACGTGCAAGAGTCGATCCTGTACGCGACGTACAAACCTGCCGAGAACAGGCTCTTGATCTTCGCGGACGACACGACATCGCGATGGACAACAGCAGTGAGAATGCTTGACTATGAGACCGTCGCGGGCGGCGACAAGTTCGGCAATGTGTGGATCTCGCGCATGGACACATCTGTGTCGAAGAGTGTGGACGAGGATCCGACGGGGATGACGATCATGCATGAAAAGTCGTACCTGCAGGGCGCACCACATCGGACGGAGCTCGTGGCACACTACCATCTCGGGGACATAGTCACCAGCCTCAGCAAGGCGAGCCTCGTGCCTGGCGCGAAAGACGTGTTGATCTACACGTGTCTGGGCGGTACGATTGGCGTGATGGTCCCGTTCATCAGCAAGGAGGACGTTGACACGGTCACAACACTTGAGATGCACATGCGGCAAGAGAATCTCAGCTTGGTCGGACGCGATCATGTTGCGTTCCGCGGCTACTATGCTCCTGTCAAGGGGATCGTGGACGGAGATTTGTGTGAGACATTCGGACTGCTCCCACCCGCCAGACAGGCAGCGATCGCGGAGGAGCTTGACCGTACGCCCGCAGAGATCAACAAAAAGCTCGACTCGTTGCGAACCACATCAGCGTTCTAAGAGGAGCAACGTCCTGTTGAGAGGCCCTGTTGCTTGTACTCTTAGCTGTAGCGTGCCAACCTATGCGCCGTCTGGATTTATCTTCACCATGCCCTTCCCAGCCCTTGCGGGTGTGCTTCTGCTCGCGTTGCTGCGGTCTCCGATGCCCCCTCTCCTCGGTGCTTCAGCCCCCATGCGCCTCTCGAGTCTAACTCGGGAGGTGCGAAAAGCTGGACAGTCTGTGCGCTTATCGAACATTGTCGGCCGAGAAGTCGCGTATCTGTTCTGGACCGCTCCGCGCGAAGCTACACTGCTGCTGCGCGAGCCACGCCCCACACTGAGTGCATCGCATGTGGGCTGCTGCTGTGGGAGAGACCAACTCCGCCGGCTGGACCGGAGGTCGGGCTGATCCGGTCCAACAAGTCTCCAAAGTATCAGTTGAGCGTTGAGTGACGCTGTCGTACATATGACATATGATAGAAATAACCTCCTGATCTCTGGTCCTATTGAAGCTGCAGCGCATCTCACCTTTGGCTCGCCCCAACGAACACTACAGCATTAAGTAAATGCGATTGACTTCGTGCTCTTCGGAAGACCCAAGCTGGCTAATCGTTGAAAGTGGGAGATCCATACTCAAACAAGATGTCTCTGTGCGTCCATGCCAGCTTGATTTGTGTATTTCTTCAGCTGATGACGTGTCCACGACTGATCATCTGCGGTGCCTTAGATCTTACAAGATCTCACCGCAGCTATGGAAGCACCTCGATCACTTCGCTTCCTTTCCACAGACGGGCATCTCGCTGCGGCAGATGGTCCAATTCGGCCGAAATCCCAACCCTGGAACCATTCTCCAAGCTGGTAGCTTCCTAAGAGGTGCGGGCACGCTCCTTGATCTATTCCTCGTCCATCCTTCTGGAACAGTACTGATTCCCTCTTGCTCTTGCAGAGGAACTACCGGTACGGCTAGCGCATAGGGTTAAGGAGCTTGATGACCTACCGCGGAGTGCAGGAGAGATGCCGTCGATCATCAAGGTCAAGAATTGGTATGCGCAATCTTTTGAAGTGAGCTCTGAGGGGTGATACAGGCAGCACAACAAATCATGTTTCTTTGATGCTGAAGACTTATTCTCTTGTCCTAGGAGCTGATCAACTTCCCCAAGCCAAAGCTACCCGAGGAGATTCAAAAGCGTCTGCAAGCATCCGTCACACAAAATGCCGCGAGTCTACCGACATCGACGCCGAATCCAAGCATGGAGGAGAGCGATGCCGCCGATGATCGATCTACTGCCATGGCGCAGGGCGACCTGAACAGCGCAATTGCAAACGGGAATGGCAAAGGTGCGGCGCGAAGACAGATTCCGCTCGAGTCGAGGTACTACGCGAATTACGAATGTGTCGAGTGGCCGGCAGAGCTGCAAGATTACAACGAGCAGTTCACGAAATGCTTGGAAAACATCAAACGCAGGCATGACCCTGTAGTTACGACGATTGGTGAGTGAATGCACCCTTTCAGCCAGCAGTACTACCACCCTGACCACTTGCTTTGATCGGAACGCATCCAGCACAAGGCGTGCTCGAGTACAAGCGAGCGAATCGACATACCGCGCTGCAATCGGACATGCAACGCTTCCTCGACCGCTTCTACATGTCGCGTATCGGCATTCGCATCCTGATCGGCCAACACATTGCGCTGTCGCGTAGCAACCCCGCGCCGCACGACTCGATCACCGCGGGGAACGCGTCGCTACGCGGCTTGGCTGCGGGTAGCTCGTCGATCAGTGGTGGGCCAGAGGAGGAGCAGTACGTCGGCATTATCTGCACCAACACCAACATCAGTGCCATGGCGCACGAGGCGATTGAAAATGCGCGCTTCGTCTGCGAAGAGCACTATGGGCTGTTCAAAGGCCCGCCAGTGCAGCTCGTCTGTCCAAAAGATTTGACGTTCATGTACATTCCCTCGCATCTGAACGTGAGTGCGCCACTGAGAGGTAGCGCAGATGCCGGGCGTGCATCGCTGACACTTCTTTGGCTCTTGTCCATTCCTTGACCAGCACATGCTATTCGAGCTGCTCAAGAACTCGCTACGTGCGGTCGTGGAGCGATATGGCGTCGAGAACGAGGAAAGCTTCCCGCCCATTAAGGTGATCGTCGTCGAGGGCAAGGAGGATATCACGATCAAGATCAGCGACGAGGGCGGCGGTATTCCTCGCAGGTGAGTCTAACAAGTGGCCGGGTCCTACTGCGTCGCAGATCTGTCGCTAACGTCATGTCCTTTTGACTGGGATTTCTATTTTCTCTTTGATGGCAGTGAAATGCCCCTCGTGTGGACATACATGTATACGACAGCTCAGTCGGAGGATCTAGGTGCGTTTTCCTGCTGATGGAACATCGTGCATATCGAGGACCGCGCTGACGACCCTCCTCTCGGTCTGATGTGGACTGCTCATCCAACTGCCTTTTCACTCGGTGCACACGCAGATCCCGAATTCAACGCTTCCGACTTCAAGGCGCCCATGGCAGGGTTCGGCTACGGGCTACCGCTAGCGCGGCTGTATGCACGGTACTTTGGCGGAGACATCAAGCTGATCAGCATGGAAGGGTGGGGGACGGATGTCTATGTGCATCTCAATCGGCTGTCAGCCTCGAGGGAACCTTTGCCATAGCATTCCGTCCGACTCGGCGCTTCAAGGCCGATGCTTCTGCTCGTCTTCCAAACTGCAGCCAGCGCCATGCCCCTACTGTTGTCTGTGGGCGGGGAGCATGCGAGCATGTATTCGCACCGTCCTTCCATACTGTGCAAGCTTGATGCAGGCCGTTCTGCAAAGCAGAGCCCTTATCTCGCAGGATCTCGTTATATGCCGTTACAGCGGACTGTGGCCATATAGTTGGTCGAATAGATACGAGGTCAGTTTCGTGGTTGGGCCGATCATTTTAGGGTTGCTCTGTGCGCCATTCGCCACCACCCTCCCTTCCATTGCGCCTTGCAACGTGGCAGATGAGTGATCGATGGGACAGGGCAACTGAGGACGCGAGTACCTGCGCTTTATATAATCTGCTGTAGCCCAGTGAGACTCGGGCCTGGAAGGAGACAGCGTGCTAAGCAAGACGCGTCTCATCACTCTCTCAATTCCCCTGACAAAAGCCTCTTTGAGGCGAAAGAGGGGGCGGGAGCAGAGAGCACAACGGGTGTGTCTCTCCAACAAACAAATTGAATCCTCAAGATGGTCCACCACGAGTGTAGTATCAACGAGCTTCGAAAGGCATTCGCAGCTTGTGCTCGACTCAATAGGACGCTGCACCCATCACACACACACTCAACCCCTCACACAGCATCTCCCTGGTCTTCCCTTTCGTCCCATCCCCTGACCCTCTCCCGACCCCAATCGCAAGCTAGGGCAGCGCCGTCTGCTCTCCCAGTATACCTTACCCAGCTCCAGAGCCAGACAGCCGCCCGCGGCCCGACGCTGTAACAGCTCTTCTTTCCCTCACTTTCGTCACTATTTAGACTCCTCATCCTCATGTTCAACTAACAGCATTCATCGCATCTCAGAGAGCGTGTGGCAAACGATAAAAGAAGCAAATGCGCTGTTTTTGATCCTTGTCTGCCTTTGAGCACGAGCTCTTTTGCGACAGTTTAGCGCTCGAAGCCGACCGTGTCAGACGAAAGGAGTTAAAATCCTTGCAACTCAGCAAGTCACGGTCTGAGACAGAAAAGGACGCCGACCCACCAATACGAGCACGTACTCCGCCTCGGTCATGCACTTGGACGACCTCCACATGGCGCACGAAGGAGCCGAATACACCCGCTTCTTTTCGGCTCGTGGGACCTCGCATGGTCATTCGAGGTCCAACACGAGCGGAAGCTTTAGCCAGTTTCTCAACAGTGTGCCAGGAAGCCCGTCCGCTTCAGCCACGACACCAGCTACACAGACGCGTGCAACGAGTTCTGCTGCAGTCTCCAGAGTGTCTCTCACTGAACAAAAACAACATCAGCACCAGCAGAGAACGACCATTCGCATATCTACCGAGGACAGCGCAATGTTTCTCAACGCGCGCGAGTCAGGAGAGCAGCTGTCTCCCACGTCTGACCAAAGGCAGGATAGTCGCAGGGCTTCGGAGAATGACCCAACTAAGGGAATTGCCTTACCTTCGCAACCCCCTTCAACGTCGTTGAACGCTCAGGCCGGTTTCCACTCCACCCCTCTGCAGTCACCGCATCTCGACGCAGGATTCTCAGGCCTGTCCATGGAAAATGGAAGCGCGATAGAGGGCGCAGTGCCGGTTATGCCTCCACCAATGCTCTTCAAATCGAACAGCAATATGCCCGCCTCTCTGCTCAGGCAGCAGGTAGCGTCCGCAGCAGCTACTGCTTCTGGTGGACTTGGCTCGAACAAAAACTCACCCGATGGCATGGACGCAGAGTACAGCAGCCCTGATGGTACTTCACAGCGCGGTGGCGATCTTCACAGCCCGCTTACGTCCAGAATGGTCCCATCGATGAACAGAAACCACTTCGCGCACTATCCTTTTCTTGCATCGCAATCGTCAAAGCAAGCTCAGCTTTTCCAGCAACAACAGCATCGCCGTCAGGCAACCAGCCTGTCATCACGGCAATCGCCAGAGGACGGCTCTGCGATGCACCCACCCCCGCTCGCACAGATGCTGAGCTCGAGCTCAAGCGTCGGTTCCGTGTTTGTGAACCAGGTCGCAAGCGCGGGTGCTGATGCAGTTGCATCGGGGCTTGCGGGCAGCAATGGCTCGCCGAGCCCGGCCAGGCCTCCACCGCAGGGCGATTCTCTTCAGGAGGGCGCGAGCGCCGTGGCAGGGGAGCTAGGTGCCAGCGGTAACGGCAGTAGCAGCGGTGGCGGTGGTGGTGGTAGCGCAGCCGACACGTCTCTGCAAGATGTGGACGGCAAGGATGAGAAGCGCAATAACAAGTTTGTCTATAAGCTCTACAAGATGGTCTGCGACTCAGATTGCCAGCACCTAATCTCCTGGGCGCCGGCGGGAACGAGTGTCGTCGTGTACAATGTCGACGAATTCTCTGCACAGGTGCTCGGCAAACATTACAAGCACAACAATTTTTCTTCATTCATTCGACAGCTGAACATGTGCGTCGCGGACGAAAAGACAAGACCGTTGCGAGTGTGTGTAAGCTAACAGATGCTGATATATCCCTTCAGGTACGGCTTTTACAAGGTCAACAAGACGCCACGAGGGACGAAGAACATGGTCGAGTCGCAAGTGTGGGAGTTTTCTCATCCGCAGTTCATGCGCGGGCGGCCGGATCTGCTGGAAGGGATTCGACGACGTGCGTTGGACCAAGATACCGTGCGGATGGACGCGGCGAAGGATCTGCAGCAGGATGTCAACTCGTCAAGCCTGCGCCTGCAGCGCAATATGGACGAGATGGTCGAGCAGCTGAACCTTGCGATCCAGCAGAACAATGCGCTGCGCGACTTTAGCTCGCAGCTGCGCGATGCGCTCGTCCAGGTTGTCGACTACATTCGCGTTACAAATGGCGGCAGCATGCCGTTCCCGATCCATATCCCAACGTTCCAGACTGGCAGCAGCCTGCCACCCGAGCCGCAGCGCCTGATGATGATGCAGCACTACGTCGCACTCGGCCGGCAACGCCAGCAATCGCAGTCTGCGCATGCGAGCCCCGCCACGCAGTATCCTCCTCAGTTCCAAACCCATCAGCAACAGCAGCAGCACGAAGGACCATCCATCACAGTGACCGAGCCGCAGCATATGATGCACCCTCTCCACCACCCAGGCATGCAGCGCTCTGCGTCCTTCGATATGGTCAGCTCGTGGCGAGGCGCCCAGCCATCATCGTACATGATGGCGGCATCACCAGTGGGCGAGAGTGCCCCTGCTGACGCCATAGCTGCCGTCGCCGGGCAGCAGCACCAGCAGCAGCAGCGCATCATCGCCAACAAGCCGCGGCGGTCCTTCGACGAGACACGAATGCGCACATCATTCTCCGCGGGTGGCATGATGGCTGCTATGCACATGCGGCACCATCCCGTCGGCCTGGAGATCGACACTGCGCTCGCGGCCGCGACGGCGCAGCATCAGGGCTTGCAGCAGGCGCAACCCTCTGCTCATTCATTACCTCCTGGCACCCCGAGCGACCTATTTAGCGCCTATCCACATCCACACCACCACCCGCAGCACCAACAGCAGCAGCAGCAACAGCAGCAGCAGCAACAGCAACAGCAACGCGTGGGCCTCGGCTTGATGACCGATGTGGGGCTCTGTTCGCCCAATTCAAACACGGCGATGATATTGACGGCCGTCAACACTCCCTTGCCTCCTTCGCCGAACTTTGCAGCACAGCAGGGAGGCGGTGGCGGTGCCAATGGTGGCGCCTTCCTGTCTGCTGATGTCACTGGCATGCTTAGCGGTAGCCCAGGCAAGATGCATCACCCGATGTACAGCGGTACAGCTGCCGGTGCCAATGGCGCTGCGAACGGCGGCGCGGGTGGTGCAAGTGGCGCGAGTGTAGTCAGCGCACCGGGGATAGCGCATCTGCCAGACTTTGATGATGTTGCAACGACTTGGATGGGCGAAGCATCTCAACCACAACATCAACAACAGCATCCGCACCATCCTTCTGGCACGGCCTGCGTTCCAGCTATGCTGGCGCCCGCAGCCAAGTCGCAGCGAACGGATCTGCGGCGCACGGCATCTGGCAGCAATGCTAGCGACGAATCTGCTGCTGGCGTCCTCTCAGCCGCCAAACGCAAGTCGCCGACCTGATCTGGTTCGCCCCTTCGAGCAGAAAGCACATTTGCATTGCTTTCGATTTCTCCTCTCCCAGCCTTCGCCGCACCGCCCCATCCACTGTTTCGGCGGATCGTTGCGATCATTCCGTGTGCGCACGCTGGCCATTTCAGTTCCATTTCTGGATGATAGATACCCCTTCGACCGCCGCTCCGAGGCCCAGGACGCCGAATGTCTTTCAGGGACCGAGCGAGTCCACGAACAAGAGCACGAACACAAACATTCAAGCACAGGCGCACTCGTATCTGCACCTGCACCCCGCCAGCAGCAGCAGTAGCGTCTCTTAAAACACATTATTCTCTGTTTATTTCCGCGCAAACCCTACCGAGTTGTATGTTCATATCCTTTGTGATTTAACGCAGCTTGTCCTCGGGGCCGGTTCCACTTGCCCTCCTCTTCCCTCTGAGCGGCTCAGCGATCAGCTTTGGTAACTTGTCGTCAGTTTAATATACACGGCATTGCAGGCGACACGATGAGCCATGGGCCATGGTTCTTCTTCTGGACTTTCCTGTGGTGTCCATCGCAGTGCTCCATCAGCGTTCAGCGCGTCCCAGCTGCAGCTAGCCCTGGTCTAGACCGCAAAGCGAGCCCTGCAGTCTGACCCGAGGAGAGCGCAGTGGTACGTTCGGCGCTGGAGATAAAAACGTCGATGTTGGGAACGGAAAGCGAGATGCAAGCGAACCGCCGGCCCCGCTCCTTTTGGCAATGTCGGCACTGCAACGGACCCTTTCTCTCCTTTCTCCCCAGACCAGCATCCTCAAAACTACCACACGGCCCACACTGTCACCTACTGCCTCCCACAGGCGTCTCCTTGCAGTGTCACTGTCCTGACGCTCTGACACGCTTTTTGTCTTTTTGCTGCGCCTCTCCGGTGATCCCCAGTCTCCATCCATGACCCCGAGCAGCGCGCGACTGGGTAATGGGGCACCTGCACTGGTCACTTTGGCCATACGTAGTACAACGCGCATCGCCATCAAGAAGATTGGCCTGTTGACAGGCTGGACAACTTTGCGGGCTGTTTGCTCGTGATGAAGCAACCACAAGGAAGAGTGAATGAAGCCTAGCAAGGGCTGGCTGGGATCCGCACTGTGACTGCGATGTAAGCAGGCTCGCTGCTGCAGTCCTTGCCATTGCCGGTGCCGCCGCCGTCCTGTCGCTGCCTTGCATATTGTTGATTGAAGCAGGGTGGGTCCTCAATGAGGCACTGTGTGACTGTCAACAGGCGCCCTGCCGCAATGAAGAAGAGTTCCTTGTGTACCTTGTGGATTCCCACAGATTCCGACCAGCGATGGCGGAATTCTGCAAGATTTCCACTTTGCCAGTTTGCAGTTTTGGGAACGATTTCGCGTTCAAGTCACCAAGAGCCGGGGAATCCCATCGTCAAGGCAGGAACTGGGCGCGCTGTTGAGAGAGGCAGTCGTCGTGCCCACCACCCAATTCGTCCTCCCCTCATCCACCCCTAGTCTTTGGCGCAAGTCATCCTCCTCCTTTCGAGACCTCACTGATAGAAGCAGGGATCATTGCTTGCCCACGACATGGCCCAAAGGGAAAGGCAAGCTATGGTGTAGCTGTTCCCCAGGACCACCATTCAACAGACTTGGCAAAAGGAAGGACAGGGTGTTGCCGCGTTGGATCGGGTGTGTGGCATGCGGCCTCACCGCGACCAGCGCTCACCCTGCCCCGATTTGTGCCATGTCAGCCGTGTCCCTTTCGATAACAGGAGTGGCGGCTGCATCATCATCAGCATCAGCATCAGAACATCCCGTGAAAGATGCACACTGTATGCTTCGACATCGACAGCGCCAGCGCCAACAGCCATCATCACGATCCAGGACGTGCTCATCGCGACGACCTTGCGACGCGAGGGCCTACTCGGCAGCCGCGCCGTCAAACTCGGATCCTGACTCGAACGCCAGTGATGGCGACAGCGACAACGACGTGGACAGAAGCATGCCGTCTGTCCTCCAACCTCGAGCGCTTGAGCTATCATGCGAGTGCCATGACGCGCGTCGCGCGTATAAGCGCAGCCGGAGACACTCTCCTCGAGCTCGCCAGACTGCCTCATTCGTAACATCTGCCGCGGCCGCAGCGGCGGGAGTGCTTGTTTCGTCTGTGCTTGTCGTACATCCGCTCCTAGCAGGCTCGGCACTCGCCTTCCCGCTCTCAAATTCGCGGCCTGAACTGCAGGCCGTGGCTAATGTGCGCGCCGCTGGTGGGGGTATTCGCATCCCTGCTGTGGCTGGTGTTCCGCCGATGCGAAAGGGAAAGGGCAGGGAGAGGACAGGCGAAGAAGATAACGAATGGATGCAGGTCCTACACAAGACAGGGAGCGTGCCAGAAGGGGATAGCGATGGGCACAGGGAAGAACAGCTTTGGCGACGAGCGGTCATCTCCGAGCGTCAGGATGAGCCACGCTCGTCATTGCCGACGCCTACATCAGTTCCTTCGGCGTGGCCGACGTTCTCGAAGCACTCCACTACAGGCTTAGGTTTACCGGAAGCGCCTCCCCTTGGCATCTTCATGGAAGAGATGAATCCAAACGCCAGAAGCTGGCTCGCAGCGCGGCAGCAGGATGCGTCCACGTCATCTACATCGCCTTCCTCGCCAATAGTTGCGTCAAGCAGCGCATCTGCATCTGCATCTACGAGCAGCAACAGCAGCTCGTCCGCCACATCTGCGAAGCCTTTTACCGTCACAGTGACGACGTCCAACGTGGTCAAGCCATCGTACACCGTCTCGCTCGTGCGCGCCTCGCCGCTGTACACGGGCGTCCCGAGCAGCTGGGAACCGCCGAGGCGCTCAATCTGGTTCCAGCGCCGGACGATCTTCATCGTCAGCATCTTCCTCTCCATCTTCATCGTCCTGTCCATCGGCGCGACCGTCTTCCTGCGCGACAGAAAGTACGACGTCGCAGAGGAGGAGACGGACGAGGATGCCATCGCGCGCATCATGGCCGGTAGGAGCAAGGACCAGGAGCGCCTCGAACGCCAGGGCAAAGTTGGCAGGCGGGACGCGCGCGTTGTGGATGACGATGACTTTGGCGAGGTCCAAGGGGACGGAGAAGGGATGGGCGGCGGCACAACAGGTGAAAAGGCCGAAGACGACCCGTCCGCCAGGCGAAACAGCAAGAAGGCCAGGCTCCGTCGTCTTGTTGTCACGAGGTGGACCAAAGCAGCTGCGAGCGTGCCTGGGGCACAACAGCTATTCTTGCTCGCACCATCTCCGTCAGCTTCGGGATCCAGGCGGCGGCGCCAGCGAGAGGGTCAGCGCGGGCGCGATGAAGATAATGCGGAGGAAAAGGATAGCAGGGAAGCGGTGCAGGCGCCGGCGTGTGGCTCGAGCGACTCGGCGCGCTCCACTGACGCTGCTGCTGCTGCTGCTGCTGCCGCGGATGTGAGACTACACATCCGAAGTCGCAGCAAGGCGAGCCAGGAAGGTGCGGATGGACGCAATGTCAGGAACAGCAGCAGCTGCTGCAGCAGCACGAACAGCCGCCACGCGAGCAGCGACGAGCTGCGACGCCGAGCAGTGCGGCGTCATCGACCGAGGCTCGGTGATGGTAGGAGCGAGAGGGTCGAGATCGCGTACGACCCCCAAAGTCACGCTCACGGGCAGCAGCATCAGCACGACGGTCTGCAACCTTCAGCCTCTACCGGCGAGCTCTCGAGCACAGGCGCAGATGCGGATTTCGATGCCGCCGATCGGTCTTCCACTTCAGCTAGCCGATCGGGGAGCGGCAGCGGCGCGCATCCAGCTACGACGACCAGTGGCGCGAGTCACTCAAACTCCTCGCAGTCCCAACAATATTCACAACTTGCTTCCACCGCAGGCTCACGCCCAAGCTCCGGCTCCGGTGCCGGTGCAGGGACAGCTGCAACTCCCGCTGTGCCCTCCTCTCGCCTGGACGCGTCGGACCTATCAGCAGCTGAAGTAGCCGAAGCCAATGCATCTGCAGGCGCCACAGCGTCTTCGCGCTCTGCGCCACCGCCCACGCTCACCGCGACCGATGCGGGGTCCGCGCCGCCGGACGCCGATGCCGACGCCCAGACTGACGCCAACGCGGAAGAGCTCTTCCCGCCTGCGTATCCGACAAGGGGCACTGCCAGTAGGCCGTCGACTGGTGCCGCGGCTGTTGCTGCTGTCGAAGCAGCCGCGCGGACGGAGCGCAAAGCGGATGTTGGCTTCGGTGGCGATGGGCACTTTGCAGCGGATGTCGGAAACGCAGACTCCCCGGTAATTCGCATGGACAGCGTTACTGTGCCGATGGTGGGCGCATATCCGCCGCCGCCTATGATGGGCATTTCCGCCGTGGCGCATATAGCCACGGACGACAAGGCTATCCTCGGCGCGATGACGGCCGCTGCCAGTCGGCCACTGCAACCTTCCGCCCCCTCTGCTCTGGCGCCCATGTACGCCAACAATCCGAGCAGTGATGTTTCTGCTGCTGTGGGTGCGGACGAAGGGCCTTCTGCTCCCGAGCTGGACGTCGACGAAGATGGGTTCGAGCATGTCGGAGCTACGGTGTCTGCAACTGCTACAACGGTCGCACTCGCACAGCGAGGGCAAGATGCAGAAGGGAAGATGGAGCTGCAAGGAAAGGGGAAAGGCGCCAACCTGCTGCCGCAGCCACCGATTCCGCATACACCCAGCTTCTCGGTATTCGACCAGCCATACTCGCTCTCCCTGAGCTGGCCGCCGCGCAGCAGCGTAGTGTCGCTACAGCCTTTAGCGCCGGTACAAGTAGCAGAGTTGTCATCGCCATCGACGACGCTAGAGCCAACACCGGCAGTACGAGAAAAGGAGCGTGAGGCGCAAGCTGAACGCGCGCTGCTCGCCTCGTCTCCGATTGACTTGGATGTGCTGACTGCCGGTGCGGCGTTGCCTGCATACACTCGCAATGCCGCGAGTGGTCTCTCCCCCATGCCTACGGCTCACGCGCCTTCGGCACCAGCGCTGGAAGAGATGGAGGGACTCGGTGCTGATGGGAACGCAGGGCACTCCCCGCAGCAGTACGCACCGTCTGCTCCGCCGGCAGAGGATGAAGAGAGTGAACGGACTGAAGAGGGAAGGTACATTCGGTTGGAAGGGCAAGGATCCGAAGGGGATCATCCGGAAGATGCAGATGGCTGTCCGCAAATCTGATCCAACTGGACGGGTCGCACAGCAACAATGGCAGCAGCACCATCATCGCCAATCTATTTTGTACTCATTGCATTGCGGATTCGCATTTTCTTTCACGGCAGACATCCTCGAGCGAATAAGAAAAATAAACTAGTTGGCCAAAGGAAAGGGAGGCAAGCCCCATTCCTCTGGCTTGAAATCGAGCAACGAATCGAGCGTCTGGTGTGCCCCGAGATCGTTGCCAGAGTAAAGAGCTTTGAGGTTTGGATCTGGTACCCAGACGACTGCAGCATCGAAGGGATCAGCCCCAGACTCTGGCGAGCTGCAGGCCGTCTCAAAGCCTGTACTTACCATTCATACCAGCTGCCAAGCCTGCCTGAACGCCAGGCTGTGCGACAACGAGACGTGTCCGTTATCAGCCGCCGGAGAACAATGGCATGTCGGTGAAGCTTGACGCTCACCTTTGCATCCTCAAACACGAGGATGTCTCTTTCACCACCTTTGAGGGACCCGTCCGCTTGCGGCCCAGGTTCACGCACACGGTCCTTCCAGCCATCATTTTTAAGTCCTTCTCTGGCGGCGAGCAGGAAGACGTCCGGTGTCGGCTTGCCTCGCGTCAGCCGCGGGTCGTCGCCGCAGATGACCCGCCCCTCGAACGGCGCGAAAAGCGAGGGGTTCGCGCTCGACTTGATCTTGTAGTTGCGCTGCTTGCTACCTGTGGCGATGCAGATCGGCACGCCGTGCGCTGCGAGATGGCGGACCAGCCGCTCGGCACCAGGCATCGGCTTTACCTTTGAAAATGCGTCGTCGAGCGTCTTGTTACGGGCTTGCAGGAAAGAATCAATGTCGAAAGGGCATTCCGGCGACCATACTTCGTCAGTGTTGGGGCGGGGTGGCCAGAGATGCTGGAAGAGAGTCTTGACGGCGTTGCGTTCTGGCATGCCCATCAAATGCGCCTTGATCTCCCAAGTCTGTTCTTTACCATAGGGCCGGAGCACATCATTGACTACCTGGGTATAGACTCCTACACATGCTTCAAGTGATTAGTTGCAGGAATGCTCTCGAACGTCCGAGCAGCTCGCACCTTCGCTGTCTATCAAGAGACCGTCCATCTGGGAGCATACGACGGTGGGGTATGAGCGAGGCCATCCGCCAACCAGGAACATGTCTTTCTCACATCGAAGAGGACGGCCTTGACCTGCGCCGTTGGAGTCGCCATTATGGAGCTGATGACCGGGCAGGATGTGGCTGGCTGCTAGACTAGCCGACTGCTCTCGGCACACGGTGCGGTCAAAGCAGTTGCCAAGCCGTTGCAAAGTAGAGCTTTGTGAGTTGTGAACAATTGTAAGTCAAAAGGCTTAGATTTCGGTAATGTACCTGTCTTCTTCCGCGGCAGTTCCGGAGGGGAACAGTGATTCGAGTCATGTCCTGTGGATCCTCTGATCATGTTACCTCTCCGCGAGTTGCCCAGTACTGTGTACACATGAGAGCCACACCGCAGCAGAGGTTACGCACACGCCTCGCAAGCTTATAGCTTAGGCTCGTGCTGATTTTGACAAGTCAAATATAGATAGAATATCTCGCAAGTACACACGGCTACAGGGCCAGGAGCGTCTTGCGCATTTCCACGCCGCTCGGCCCGCCACGACCACGCGGAAGGTGGTCGGCGCCAGGTCGATGCGGATCGAAGGAGTGGAAAATGCACCCATGATCGCATCTTGTTTTACCCTACGCTAGAGAATGGTCGAGGCGGGCCAGGCAATGATTGATGCGGAAGGCAACATCGCTATATGTTCAGACACGTGAGTGTGGTGGAATGGCCAACGAGAGCAGGCAGGCTGCCTCTGAAATACTCGACGGCCATGGTTGCCGCCCGACGACGATTCGAGAACTCTACACCGATGGGATGTGATGAACCATGAAGACGACATGATGCATGTCGGATGAGTAGTGATTATCGCCTTGGCGGATGAGATTGGTCAAGCGTGCCGTCTCGAATAGGAAGAGCTGAGACATGCTCTCCCTCTCTTCTCGATCGTCTTGAGTGTATGATCAACGCGCTCGCGTGAATAGGAAGGCTCTGCGTTGCACTGCTGTACTATGTACAAGCATAGGAAGCGTGTGTATGCAGTTTGCGAATAAGGCGACGGCGCGGCACAATGCCTACTTCGAGTGCCGTACCAGATCCAAGAGCGCCCCGTCTCCGTCGTCATCGTGAGCAAAGGACACAATACAAAGGAATATCAAAGCCCAGGCTCGTGGTCCATACGGGACCGGCGGCGGTGGTGGAAAAGCAGCGAGCAGCGAGCAGCGCGCGAAACGCGGCCGATGACTTATCTGATCCTACTGCTACTGTTGAGCTCAAGCGGCACGTCCCCAGCCTCTTTATGTGCACATGCACGTGACACAAAGCCGCCATCCCAAGTACATGCCACCGGTTCCACAACACTACTGTAGCGACCCACGACCAGCGCTCTGCTCGCTCTGCACGCCGCATAGCTTGCCATTTTGGTTTCCAGTGTAAAGCGGGTATATGGTGCGGGTGACGGGGTGGTGTGTAAGTAAGGGAGTGGGGATCGCTGGGGACCATAATTTGGTATGTACAGGGCGGTGCAGGCCGCTGCCGCTGGGCTTTGTGGAGGCAACCCTGTGTTCGTCGCAACGGAGGCCCTGACGTTGGTGATCGTCATCTGCGCGTGAGTCGGTACACGGCTCTCTTGCGCCTGGGGCCCGCATGTACATGCTGTTCTCAGCGGTGGCGACAGCACGACAAAGGTTACCGAGTGCCAAGTGCGACGAACCGCTTTTCAACATTGTATGAAAATAGAGTGTTACTCGTGTAGTGTTACAGAGCGTGCAAGAGAGGTGGGTGGATTCAACTCGAGCGGTGCCAGATGGTGTCGCATGGCAGCTGCCTGGGCACGGCGCCTGTCAAGGGGCCTGCCGTCGCAGCGGACCAGACCGCGCGCTCCCCCGAGCCAGGATGCCCGCTGGCAAAAGTCTCTGCAGGTGAGCTCTCATGCCGACCACCCGGAACCCACACGCTCAGGCCAAGACCCTCCGTACGAAACTTTCAACAACGAGTATAACCAGAGCGACGACGGGCAGTGGGAACTGAGTCCACACGGTCTTTGGACTGCTGCAACGCCGCACAGCAGCCGCGCGTTTCCCTTCGTGAGACGTCACTGGGGTGTGGCGCCTTGTTTGGACCCTTGGCTCTTGTCTCACTGTGCATCCAGCTGTTGCGACCGTTGGTGCTCAAAGCATAGACCGATAGGCAGCGGTGCAGATACACTCTACTCAGGCCGGGATACTAGCTAGCTAGATTCATACAAGCCAGAGGCGCGAGCATACACGTGCATGTACCATAGTCCACCGGCAGTGATCACAGGGGAGATGCCCTGCCGTGGCAAGCGCCGAGCATGCATGTTCCCGTGATCAATTCCCGTCGTCCACAACAACAACAAACAACAAGGACTCCCTAGTATGGATCAGCTTCCGCCGATGCCGTGTGCCAGCGTGTCGCCAATGGGCAGCGGCACATACTTAAAGCACAGCCAGCCACGCCCGCACACTCTACCGCCTCCAACTCCTCTGTTTCGGCTCTGAATCCATCGCAGCGTGTGTGTGCGTGTGTCATCTGCTTTGGCTACCGTTCTCATTGGATTCCATCCTTGCCGCTCGGTGTCAATTGTCCTTGCGCAGCCGCCCTGCACCACCCCAGCCGTCTTCCCCATCGCGACAGCGCAGAATAACAGCCGCAACCCACCATGGCAGTCCCCGTGGCCGCACCCGCAGAGGGAGAGCAACCCAAGAAGGTGGCGCAGCCAAAGGATGCAGAGACCTTCTACGTCGATGCCGTCCTCTTTGACATGGTCAGTCGCATGGCACGCAGCGGAGGCCTGCCTGTATGCTGACCTTCCTTCTCTGTTTCCTCTTCTTTGCAACTCTCTCGCCCACGTGGTACATCTACCACGCACCACACACCTGTGTATGTTTGTGCAGGACGGCACGCTCGTCGATTCGATCGCAGCCGTCGAGGCAGCCTGGGGCGCCGTTGCTGAGGAGCTTGGCCGCGACCCGGATGAGGTAATCGCCGCGACGCACGGCAAGCGCGCCGTCGACAACCTCGCATCGCTCAAGCCCTGGATCCGCAGCCACGAGATGGATGACGCAGTCGTCGCATTCGAAACAACCATCCTCGATGTACGTGCCATGTGGGCCTCGGGCGTGCCAATAGTATAGATTGATTGACTTACCGTCCTGCTGCTATCTTGCTCCGAACAGTACGCCGACGGACGCCGCACGCCGTCCATATCCTCGCGCCGCAACTCGCGCTCGGGCTCGCGTCGCGCCTCGTCCTCTGCCGGCGTCGCCGGGCGCAAGCTTTCTCAGGGCTCGCTCAGCGGCGGCGTATCGGCATTTGGCCTCTCGCAGGGCCTGTCGAAGCTGAGCGACATCAATGCCGCGTCAAAGGAAACACCCGCGTTTGACGACGAAGACGAGGACGACGCGGCACTCAGGGAGGACCTCGCCGAGGCGCTCGACGAGGAGGAGCTTGCGTTCGATGGCGCGATCCGTATCCTGCCGGGCGTCAGGCAGATGATCGACGCAATCCCCGAGGGCATGTACGCCGTCGCGACGTCGTCGGCGCGCACGTACGCGTACGGCGCCATGCAGCGCGTCGGCATCGTCCCGCCGCAAGTGACCATCACCGCCGAGCATCCGGAGCTGAAGCGGGGAAAGCCGCACCCGGACCCGTTCCTGCTGGCCGCCAAGAAGCTCGGATACGACCCGCGGCGCTGCCTCGTCATTGAGGACTCGCCCTCGGGCATCCGCGCCGCCGTCGCCTCTGGCGGTATCACGATCGCCGTCTGCACGTCACACACGTACGAGAAGGTCTGCAGCCTCGGCGCCCACCACGTCGTCTTCTCGCTCGACCAGGTTACTGTCACCCACGATGAACAGCTCGGCTGCCTCAAGGTCGTTGTGCAGCACCCCCCCCACGCGATTGACGCCATGAACGCCGGAGAGGTGTGCCAGGGTCTCCTGCCAGAGGAGGTCGACGCGGCCATCGCCAAGTTCAAGGAGCTGGACATTGCCAAGAAGAAGAGGAACAAGAACAAGAAGGAGCAGGACGCCACCACGGCCGCTGCTGCCAAGGCGGCTGCCGTTGGCGCTGAACTGGCCACGCCGGCGGCTGCGTGAACTTGCTTACCCGGCACTGTGCCAGCGTGCGTGGCGTGCTATCGGCCCGCGCCCCACATGCGGGATCGAGGCAGATACGGGTGATGGTGGAGAATAGACAAGCCCGTGGCGGTCGTAGGTCGCGCGAGCGAGCGTGGCCGCTTATACATGTGCGCGTACGCCACATGATGTGCGTTTTAGTAGCGGCAACGACAGGAACGATGAGGGCGCTCTTGTTTTCGCATTTGCTTCGTGCTACATTATGTACCGCCCTACAATCGATCGTTACAGCCAGCCAGCGTTCGGTCCCAGAGCTTCTTTGATGAAACAAGCAGCGCTTGGAGTATGTGTTCGAGAGCGTGGATTGACGCATGGGATAAGTGTATTTGATACAAAGGGGGTGGGGTATCCAGCATGTGTTTGGACAATAGCTTTCTTGATAATGGGTGAAAAGGAAAATGTGTAGAGTGGCGTTGAGTGTTCGCTTTATTTTCGTTCGTTCGTTACTTGCAACTGGAGCCTATCGTATGGCACGTCGATCGGTAGCCCTATCGCCCACCCTTGCGTGCAGAAGCCAGACGCGTCCGCTCGCATAAAGGCGGCGGGCAATGCTGCTACTCGGTCGCGTCGCGATCTGCCGCGCCTCTGCCCTCAGTGAACTCCGCACCGCCAGGGAAGCGGAGCAGGTTAAGGAAGACCTTCTGCAGGGGGAGAAAGGGAACCATGAAGAAAAAGGATCAATCGCAGTGTCGCGGGTCAGACCATCTGCAAGTGTGGCGGCTCTAACGCGCGGCGCGCTGCGTTTGCACGCACCTCTGTCATCTCGGCTTCCACGCCCCTCGCCATGGCGCCGTTCTGCACCTGTTTGCGCAGGCGATGAATCAACACGTACAGCTGATCGCGCGTGATGATCGCCTGTTCGCTTTGGCACGTGAAAGGCGTCAGGGCTGGGTGAGCGAGCAGCTCTGGGATTGTCGCGCGATCCGAGACGCGGTACTGCAGCGCGGAGCGCATACAGTCGATCAGCACTTCGTCCACCACCTCTGCAGCCGGCTCATCGCGGTATCGGCTGGTAGAGTACTCGATTGCGTGGCTCGGGTCGACAATCGCGCGCATCTTTGCCTCGCCGCTGAAGCGGTCGAATGGAGGGCGCGAGTAGACCATCTGGAACAGGATGCAACCCATCGACCAGACATCGCTCGCGCACCCGGCTTTGTACAGATGCTCACTGCGCCCCTCGGCGCCGCGCGTTCGAGACACCTTGATCGCTTCCGGCGCCATGTAGTTCGGCGTCCCGATCAGCGCATCGCGCGAGATGTGGATCGTACCCATCGGGATCTTCTGCGCAATACCCAGATCGATGATCTTGTACTTGTTGCCGACGCGTAGAAAGTTCGCAGGCTTCAGGTCCGTGTGCACGATGCCTGCTTCGTGTAGGAAGTGCACCGCTTCAATCATCTGCCCAAAGATCTTCACCACGTCCCAACGATCCGGCAGGCCTTGCCGCAAGACGTCGGAAAAGTCGCAGTCCCCTAACTCGATCAGCTAAGAGTGAGCAGAGTTGGCTTGGTGTCAGCACAGTAGTCCTGCCATTAAAACAGCGCAGTAACTCACGATTTTCAAATGACTCTCGTTAGCCTTGTGCGCAAAGTAGCGCAAAATATGCTCATCGTATCCCGGAAGACGCGCAAGAGCTTCGAGGTAATCAGCCTCCTTGAGCACACCCTCCCTGCTTCCCGGATCAATCTTCTTGAGGTTGACTTGCTTCATCGCAAAGTATGCCTGCTGCTCTTCCGGGTAGTGTTCTGCAGTGCTGAGCCGTTCGCACGGGCCGCGAACGACCCACACTGTCGAGAAGCCTCCTTCGCCGGCTTTACGGATTTTTCGGAAGCGGAAGCCACGTACCTGCAATCCGACCTCCCATAAGTCAATTTGCGTCCTCACACAGAAGCGGTAGACCTGCCGTCGTACCACTCACATTCGTGTGTTTCTCAGTGACCTTTCCCCTGGTCCACTCGTCGATCTTGCTCTGTGGCAAGGTGTGCTGTCGCGCTGCTTCCTGAAGCATGGCTTCCTCGAACAGCTTCTGCTTGAACTCCTCGCTGTCGCTTTGGACAGCTACCGTCTTGTCTTCTACCACGCTCACGCGCGGAGCGTGACACACTGGCTCGAGAACCGTGCTGGTGCCGGGCGTTGTGCCTGGTGCGTAGCTCCGATTCGGTTGTGTATGTGATGGTGGCTGCGCTGCGCTCTGCACTCGACGCTGCACACCGGGTAGATCGGCAGCGAGTGCAGTAGGCGGTGAGGGAGCCTTGCGCACGCTTTCCAATCCAAGAGCACTGGCAGCTCGTCTGCTTTGTGCGCCGCCATCATGATACGGATCCACGTTCTCGTCGGAGCCCGGCTGCGAGGAAGGTAATCGTCGGTGGTAGGGATACGCCTCTGAACGCTTTGCACGGGGTGCGGCTAGTACTGCAGCTATTGCTGATCCAGCCGCATCGTCAACGTCGTCTTCGTCCCCTGCACCGACTTCCCATCCTGGAAGATGTGAGCCGGAGCGCGGCTCGATCTCAAGCGTGGCCGATTGCGGTGGCCGTCGGCCCTTTACCGTGGTGGAGACAGGGCGTTGGGGATGCGGTAGAGCATTGGTGGTCATTGGCTGCAACGGATGCACGGCGCGTTGCGCCACTTCGCTGCTTCCCCCGAGAGGATTATCCTTGTCAGATTCTGCGCCACTGCTTAGCATTTGTGCACCATCGCTTTTTTCCTTTTCTCGCGTTGACGCTAGTAGCTTACTTCCAGCTGCGCCTGGCGAGTCGTAGTCAGACACGCGCTCGTCACACTCTGCCTGCACGTGCCCTTGTGTCTGTATTTGTGCGATTTCTTTCTCTTTTTCCTTCTCCGCCTGCTCTTCTGCATCTGGATCCTCATATACAGCCACCCTCCTCGCTTTCGGCCCTGTGACGGAACGGGCGGTGCTTCGGGGAGCGGTGCGCGAGACGAGACGAGAGCTCGAAGTCCCTGCTGCAGTCAGCTGAGCCGATCGAAGGACTCGGTTGGTCCCGCTCATCATGGGTGTGATAGGCGGAGCAGTGGACGCGACAACATTGACTGCTGCAGCAGAGGCAGATGATGATGATGCCTGCGGAGGTGGGGGCATGTCGTCTAGAACGGATGTCCGGATGCCTGGTGGCGAGGATGATGCGGTGTGGCGGGTATCGCTGCCCCTGGAAGGCGGCGAAACAGAGGCTGTGGAAGCAGTTGAGCGCTGATCGCTATCGCGTCTGCCATTGACCGAGGAAGACAGATAGTAGGACGACGGAGGTCGGTCGTTCCGGAGATGCTCTTCACGTGTGTCCTCACCGAGCATTGTGTCACTCGTTCGACTTGGCCGCCTGTAGTTTCCATTGAGGCGAGCCGTGAAACCTGAACTCGAGCTCGATGTTCGAGCGACGAGCCATGGTCGAGTTGGCCTCCCTGTTCCTGCGCTTGTGCTTGTCGCCTCTGTGCTGGAGATACGTTCTCGTTCACGCTCGCTTTGTCCCCGCCTAATTGCTACGCCTTCGTTCGCACCAGGTGCAGTTGTGCCGCTGCTGCCCACCGAGCCCATTCGATCGTCCCCGGTTGCGATGTTTACGTCGCGTAGCTTGCTTGCGGTATCGATCGGTGCCGGCCAGGTCGAAGCTGCAATAGGAGGAGATTGGGGCGGTATGCTTTCTGCGCTAAGGCTGACGTGCCCGGGCGAGACCATCTCCAGGGCTTCACCTGTCATCTTAATGAGGTTGATGCTCTGCCTCGGAGGTTCACCGAGAGAGTTGCATGCCTACTTGCAGGAACAACCGGTAGTGCTTGCAATGTCAGGCCGGAGTGGTCGCAATCAGAGCAGCTGACCACCGACTTTCTGTCGCCCCACTGCGTGCGCTGCAAGGTTTATCCTCGTGTCGTGGCAGGTCCGCAGCTTGGGAAGCATGTGCAGGGTGAAAGCGTCCAACACGGCTGGCATATCCATCGAATGAAGGGAGCAACCAACCCAGCAAAAGCAACACATCCGACACCTCCATTGGGGCTATCAACCCTACATACACAGTAGCACTCTAATCTGTGTGCGCTTCCCCAAAAACATGACCGACGCGTCGCGCTCACGCCACGTTTGAACTTATCACGTGAGCATTTTCGCGCATCTGGCACTCGCTTGTGGTGAAAGTGTTCAGGGTGGAATGGACCTGGTGAACACCTGCACACCGTTTGGGCTTGGAGCCCATCTCGAAGGTACCCCCAGGCAAGACCCACAGAGCACTTTTCTCGTGCGACGACAACAAGAATTTCAGTCGTGCACAACAATGGCAGACGTCAACGCGCACAGCGGTTTCATCGCACCGAATGACGATGCCAGCAACGCAGCCTGGCCTTCGCGGGGCAGCGCGGGCAGAAGCAACGGTAAGGGTAAGGGTAAGGCTAGCAGTGAAGATGATGGGGAGGAGGACGAGGACGGCGAAATAAGCGACTCGGAGCTGATGGATCAGCTGGAAGCGGAGTTGGACCAGGAAGATAGCGGCTTCAATATGGACGCATTTCGAGAAAAAAGGATGGCTCAATTGAGGGAGGAGTGAGTGTGACCGCATATCAGAGCTTGGGTTTTTGAGCTGAGCAATACTGATAAATACATGTGCTTCTCGCTACAGGCTCGATGCTCGCCAGCCCTCTATGCAACGCGAGTCTTCATTACGAGGACGATACACCGAATTCAAGAACGAGAGGGACATCATCCAATTGACAGCTAAGGAGAAGTTTGCAGTCGTACATTTCGCACATCGTGATTTCCGGCGGTGCAAGATCATGGACCGACATCTTGAGGTCCGTCGGCTCGTTCAATACGGCCGCTCGGCTGGGCTTATTGCGCGTTCCCGTTTATGATCCTGACAGTGCTTCACTTTACTCGCGCGCAGACGATAGCACCGCAACAAACCTCCACAGTCTTTCTCAAGATATTTGTCGAGAATGCGCCTTTCTTGGTGGAAAAGCTGCAGGTCAAGGTACTACCCTGCGTCATCTGTTTCGTCGATGGAGTGACCAAGGACCGGCTGATAGGCTTCGAGGAACTCGGGAACAAGGACTCGTTTGGCACAAAGGCGCTTGAATTCAGGCTGCAGCAGGGCGGCGTACTAGAGAAGCGCGAAACCTCCATCCTCGGCTATCCCAGCGTCACACAAGCGAAAACCGCTGACGATGTAGATGACTGGTAGCATGAAACGCAGCAATGCAGTGCAAGTATCATTTTCAAGTCTCTATTGTGCGCGTGCTCTAAATCGCATTTTTGTCCCCGACGCGTTCGCCATTGCTTTAGAGAGGACCTCTGGAGCGATCTCGCCTTTGGGGGGAACAGGCGGGGGAGGCAAGTTTCCCTTGTCCTTCATATCCGCTCTCGCTCTCGGCGTCCTCTGCGAGCCATATGTATATCCCATGGTTCCGAGCAGCACCGCGGCAGCGCCGATCCAAAGCAAACCGAGCTGCTGCTCCTGCTGTTGATGCGACTTATTGCGGCTATTGCTGTATGTGCTGATGGCCAAGCTGATCGCTTTCCGGATGGACAGGACGAGTGTCACGCCAACAGAGGAGACACGTGTTGTCAGGCGATTTACGCCGGAGATGCAGAGAAGCTGCGTGAATGAATAGAGCGAGAGCGGGACGTAGAAGCTTGGTATGACTGGAAATGGGTTCTTGCGTAGAAGATCGCGCGATACGTGTGGTTTCTTGCCTCCTCCCGAAAGGAAGAAAGCAGCGATGTCTGCTATTTGCTTCGGCAATAATGTCGAGAGGTGCAGAGGTGAAGTGGCGTTAGCGGCGCGCAATTCCTTCACAATCTCTGGCCATCGAACGAGAAAAAGCGGCAAGCTAAGTGCATGACTGTAGAAAAGTGCTTCTTTCCAGTGCGACGTGCCGTAGCGCTTGAAGGTCTCCTCTTGCCATAAGCCCATGATGCCGGACACGATTAGGGAAACCAGGAGCATGGTAATGCCGATTGTATAGTCTGACGATGATGTCTTTAGTTCTGATACTGATGAGGTCTGCTTCCCGCTTGCTGCTAGCGTTGATACGATGACACCTCCAGTGACTAGTAAGACGGAGATGACTTGGAGGACGTTGTACCTATTTTTGGCAACAAGGGCAACACGGTCAGTGTGGCCGGACGCAGTGCGGCATTCTCGCGCTCTCTCACTTCTTGTTTGCGAACATCCACCCCAAAAGCATGTTGAAAACCAAGCCTCCGCTGCGAAAGATAATGTGCACCGCCATGGGTACCGAGAAAGCGAACGCCACATTGTTGAGCAGGTTGGTCGAGAAGAAGAGGACGACCTGGACCCCCCATCTGGTCAACGGCACCGAAGGTCTTTTGAACCTGGGGATGAAGGACGGAATGGATGCAGCTTTGGAGCCAACTCCTTTGCCCGGTATATAAAGCTGTGAAGGCAGGAAGAGCAAGGCAATAAATAGGAAGTTGGTTACAGTGAGAAGAGTGCCGCTCTGGGGGAGGAGCACTGTGCATTCTTCCAGGTACCAGACATTGCTGACATACCGAAAGTAAGAGCATTCCCAGCCAGCGGATGAGCAAATTTGTCCAGGAAAAATTTGGATCCATGCACCGTTTCTCACCTACAACAGCCGCCAAAGATGAGCGAGAAGATGACGCCCCAATCTGTGAATACCATGTTAGGCTACTCGCCGTCAACGGTATTATCACAAGGGCCTGTCCGCTCTGCAAGCCCTCCAATACGGGCAAATTGTTCAAGTGGCCGCCAGTCGAATGCTTTCCTCCCCGCCGTGAATCTTGTCGGTACGAACATCTGCACAGGGTGTCATGCTCAACGCTATCATAATGATGAGGTAGAATGTGGAGAAAGCGAGATTGGGGTGTCATGTGTAGACCGCAGGCAGGAAGGCGGAACGACGAGATCTGCAAAGGGGGGGGATACACAGTCGAGGTGCCGCACAACTAACACAACCAACCTGTGGCATGAATGGTCTGACATCACAAGTATCATCTGACATCGTCTCTTGGAGAGCTCAGCGGCTTCGCCATAAGCATGGTGCACGGACTGACAAGTAGGGCAGACTGGGAACAGCACAGACACAGGTGAAAAGGAGTAGAGAAAGAGCCACCCTTGTCCTGCAGCGCGCAGAGAGGGCGTTCGCAAGATGAGCAGTGCAGAGTCGACCGAGGCTGCGGGTACACTTAACGCTGTGCGACCAACGTCCGACGTACCAGAAGAGGAGCCCAGTGCTGTTGTCGAAGAAATTGGGGATGCTCAACTTACGCACACAAAAAATCTAGAGGCGGGAAAAGTGCAAGCGACAAAGGGACACGATGCACCTGCACAAGAGGTCGACAGCCTGTCGAATCAGGCCAAAGCCCTTGAACTTGGCGGCGAGCCCATGAACGAACAAAGGCACTGGCCCGACGAGTCAGCAGGACAATTACTTGACGTAAACAATGAGCCTCAAGGCGCGAAGATCAACTCTGATGAAAAACAGCACGGTATCTCACAAGAGTCAGCGGCAACAGGGACGTCGAAGACCGCCAACGCAGATAAAGCAGAACTGGCTAAGTGTGAAAGCCCTACACTACCCGATGAAGAAGAAGCAGCGTCTGCATCTGTACAACAGGTGCTTCCAGAGACTGAAGGACAACAACATGATGTGCAGGATCCGAAGTCAGAGTCAGTAGAGCCGATAGCTCCATCTCCAGTGGAAAAGACTCCGCCCGCAAGTGCGCCGGAAGTGCCGCGAAAGGATGTGGACGGCAGCTTGGAGGCAGTCGCTCATGCTTTCGGTAAAGGGACGAGCACTCCATCTCATAGCAGAAGCGCATCACCAGTGATCAGAGCTGCAGCAGCGTCCGGGTCTGGTTCCGGGTCGAAGCGGCAGAGCGGGGACTCGTCGCGAGCGGAGAAAGCGCCGACATCTTCAGGCAAGGAGGGAGAGGGCCGGCAGCCAAAGCGAAAGGAGAGCATACCGAATTCTAAGGCAGCAGAAGAGGCCCCTTTCGATTTCAACAAGTTTCTCGAGCAGATGAAGCACCGTGGAGCTGCCCCAGTAGGGGAATACGTCCGAAGGTGTGTTATACTTGGACGGCATCGAACCCATCTCGGCTTTCGACTGATCGATTCACTCTTCCGTTCCAGCTTCATTCGCGGGTTTTCCCGCAAGCCGTATCGGACAAATGATCAGATCAAGCTTATCAATGACTTCCTCGCCTTCATCCATGAGCAGATGGCAAACACGCCGCCGTGGTCCACGCTGTCCGGTCCCGAGTTCGACAATGCAAAGGAGGCAATGGAGAAGCTTGTCATGAATCGGCTATACCCATTCACTTTTTCGCCAGCTGTCGCCAAAGAGGGCAGATGGCCTGTGCAGACTGACGACCTGGAACGAGATTCAGTGCTGAACCAAAAGATGAGACTGTTCGAGTGGGTCAAGGAAGAGCATCTTGATGTGCCGACAGGAGAGCACTCTCGTGGCTTTGTAGAGTTTGGCGTGACCGGTGAGCAGTGAGCAATCAACCCTCATTGAGCCGATCAGAGACTGACGGAGCATCCGAAATCATCGCAGAGCTACTCAAAATCAACCATTACAAAGCTCCTCGAGATAAACTTATCTGCGTTCTAAACTGCAGCAAGGTCATCTTTGGATTGATCCGACATTTGTATCAAGGCGAGGACGCAGACACGTTCTTACCTATTCTCATCTTCATCGTCCTGCGCGCAAGGCCGGAGCATCTCATTTCAAATGTCGAGTACATCAATCGGTTCCGAAGTCCCGAGCGCTTATCGAGCGAATCCGGGTACTATCTCTCCAGCCTGGTGAGTTGAACGCAGACCCACCCCGTTGACTTTACAGAGCTGGCTCCCTAACCCAGTTTATGTACCCATCATGCTTCAGATGGGTGCAATTTCTTTCATTGAGCAGATGGAATTCTCAAGCTTCTCAAACTTGACGCAAGAAGACTTTGAGAGGTAAGTGTACTTCAGTGTGGAGGCCCGGGGGAGAGGCGGAAAGATCAACACTGACGCTTCTTCTTTCGCCCACATGAAAAAGGAACATCGAGGTGGCCGCTGCAAGGCTAGCAGAAGAGAGCAAGGAGATGGACCGAAGAGAGCGTTCCGCCTCTGATGGCGGCCATGGGGATGGGGTGGGCGAAGAAGAAGCACGATCGATTGGACTGACCCCTGTAGCGGCGGCGCTAGCGGACGATACTCGAGCTTTCTTGCAACGTACTGGCGAGGCCGCACGCTTAGGTATGAGCAAGCCCATTGGCGTGATCGGGCGCTTTTTAAGTGAAGCGACAGACGGGATACGAACGCCTTCGAGCGTGGGAACGGCGAGTGGCTCAGGCAGCGAATCCGGTCGAGAATCACCGCCACAAAGGGTCACGCTCGCGCCTTTCCCACCAGACACTCCAAAAAGTGGCTTGCTTGGAATGAGCACAAGTGAGAGCTCCCAGGTGGCCAGGGACGGGAGCGCAGCCGAGAGACTCAGCGGCTTCAGCTTCGGGTCATGGCGTGGCAGCCGCCCTCCGGACGGCGGTGGCGAGCAGCCGCAGTTCGGGCCCCAGACGCCGACATCCGCTCATTCTAGCACTGGACACGGAAACTCTCAGCAACCTGCTGCGGCTCGGCGTTCGTGGCTCGGCGCTCCGGCACAATTGCTCGCCGACACGCCATGTGGCGACAGTCCCGCTTCATTCGCCTTGAGCTTTGGCGACGGCAGGGCGCCGGATTCACCAAGCGTTCGCTTGGCAGACGCTGGTCGAAACCCTCAAGTGCACACAGCATCTCTGGGTTGGGAGATGAGTGCCGGTGATCTGGCGGACATATCAGCACAGGCGGAACGCGTGTACCGTGACAAGATGGACGCAGCAGTTGAGACACTCAAGGGGATCTTTCCCGAGACCGAGCACGATGTCTGCATGATGGTGCTTGAAAGCTGGTGAGTTTTCACGTATGTGCGTCACGAAAAATCGCGCTGAAGCTTACTAATACGTCCTACTTACCTCTTCGCGTAGCAATGGCGATGTGCAAGCAGCTATTGACAGACTGCTTGAGATGTCTTGAGCGGGTCGGCAGCCATGATGTAGTCGTGGCGCCATGCAGCAACTTTCACTAAGCAATAGATGACAGCCTAGAGTACAACATCCCAGTTGCCACTTTCGAGGCGAACCAACTTCCCCCTAAGGTCGCAGAGTCCATATATCTCAGTTTGGGGGGGGGGGGTCAGATTGCCGCTTCGGTCTGCAAAAAGCACCGCCCGGGCACGAGTAGTCAGCACAAGCATTGGAAGGTATGGAGAACTTGAGTCCTGAATGCACACACCTGCTTCTGAGGCCGCTCGCTTTCTGGCGCTTCGTCGATAAAGTCCGGTAAAGCCATATTGCCTTCTTGTAGATACGACGGCGTCTCTGTCTCCTCTTCGCCAATCTCGTTCTCCCTGCCCCGCCAATTATGAGCAATCCGTGTCAATGGCCTCCAGATAATTTAAGGCTTCAGAGTGGGGCTGCTCACAGTGCCTCGAGTTCTGCCTCTAAGTCTGCCTCGTCAATCTCGTCTGGGACGCCATAGCTTCTCCCGAGCGTTTCTTGCACCTCGTTGGTCTGCTCGATCATGTCCTCCATATCATCCTGAATGCGCTCGATCTTGTCCAAGTCGATTTTGCCGTACGTTTTGCGCATCTCCTTATTTGCGGTCTGCATGGCGTCCACCGTAGCCATGGTATTCCGGAGGTTCTCCGTCGTCATTGTCGCCTGCTCCATATTGTACGCTTGCTGCTGTAACTGGGCGAGCTGCCCTTCGTAAAGGCGCTTCTGCTTTAGCACTCTGATCGCTCGTTGCTGAATGGCAGTCTGTGAATCGCGGACCATGAACTTGACGTGAGTGGGGTCTGGAATAGAACGATACGTTTCCCATGAGCACGGGTACGCACCTTCCCCGGACCATCCCGCATCTTCTTCATCTGATCCCGATAGCGTCCCAACTCAGCATCAAGCTTGCGAATCTTGACTTCGACGCCATCTGCACGCTGCTCGGTGGACAGAATCGCCGATTGCAGGGTCGGCTTTGCTGCCGCAGCTTTTGACCCTCCGAACAGGCGATTCATGATCGCCCTGCCCCCTTTGATGAACTGTGGCGTAGCTTGCTACCGGTCTATCCGACTTGACCGTGCCTTCAACACATCTCGGGGGCCATAGAGTGTGGGATTCAACCGAACACGTAATAGTTGATGGCAGCTGTGCGTCTTGTGTTGTGCTCGCGGAGAGCCAGCGCTATCTAACGCGTAAGGCGGTTCCGCTGCGCGAAAAGTGTGCGGAGCCCAGTCGTCAGTACGCTCATCTCTCAACTAACATTACATTCAGACACCTCTCAACCTGAAGGGCTGGGAGGCGTTCGTTGATGTTAGTGCGCATCACCAGCGCCGAAGGTCGTGCAGTCAAGCAAGTTTGCTCTCAACATGAGCAACGACGCTGCCCTCCTCGCCGAAATTGCCCGGCTATCCGGAGTCATCGATCAACGTCGCAACACAAGCGGCCAAGCTGATTTCGCAAGCGGCTCAAGAGCGTCGTATAGAGGGCGGGGAGGTGCCGCTCCTTACCGTGGGACAAATGGACTTCGCGGAGCTTACTATGCGGCCGGAAGAGGGCGCGGCGGGGGTACTGGTCCTTTGCCTTCCAGACATCGCACTCTGGTGCTCAACAGGCCCGCCGACAGTACCGTGTCCGAAACAACTCAAAGCAAGAAAGTAAGTCCTGCAGACTTGGAAGAAGGCGAGATCGACCCTGCTGGCGCGCTTGCTGCACCCGCACAATGGGTCAAGCGTAAGACAACACACAACATGTCGCTCGTTCGCGGGGAGACTTTCGAGAAGACGTGAGTAGCGCAATTCGTGGGGAAACGCGACATAGGCGCCTGATGCATGCTTTTGAACGACAGGGAACCTGCGCGCTTAGCTTCTATTGCGGCTGCGCAAGAAGCCAAGGCAGCAGCCAAGGCAGCTCGTCGGCCAGCGCTACGGACGAAGACTGGGGTGAAGAAACGGCAGCCGGCCGTTCGCCGGGGCGACAAGATGGGCGAGATCATCATCGATGGTGTTATTTTCCAATTCGACGAGACGGGCGAGAAGATGATAAAGAAGGGACCCGTTACTCAGGCAGATTACGTCGACAAAGAACCCGCAGCTGGGCCAAGCATGAGCACACCTCTCAATGCTTCCGTGGATGGGCAGAAATTCGTTCGCACAAAAAATGGGAATCTCATCAGCGCTGAAATTCTCGCTCAAAGGAAGGCGAACAGCAAGAAGGCAAAGCTAGCAGCCATGGGAAGGTCCATTGGGGACATGCAGAAGGCGCGGTGAGTCCATTCATAACCCACCTGCAGGTGCACGTTCTAAAAGAGGCTAATATCGCTTTCTTCACGTAGCTATGCATCTCGCCCCAGCAAGGGAAAGTCTACTGCTTTCGACCGACCCAAGGGTCTTTGCAGCTTTTTCAACAAGACAGGTCTGTCCTAGACTTCCATTCGTACTCTGGCTCTTCCCGGACGGGTTGTCTGACACTCCTCCTTTTTCCGGTCGCGCCACGACATGGGTCCGCGCACACAAACTTACATTGTTTCTAATGATAGGTACATGCAAACGCGGGCTGTCCTGTCAGTTCAAACATGATCCAGAGAAAGTTGCGATATGCCCCGGTGCCCTAACTGCGAAAGGCTGCATGAAGCCACCTGGCACATGCCTCCTCTCACACAACCCCCTTTCCAATCGCGTTCCCCACTGCACGCACTACCTAGCGGGGGATTGCCGCTTTGGAGTGGATTGCTTCTACGAGCATTCTGAAAAGGTGAAGCCCAACTCGGCATTCTGCAGCGACTTTTCCACATTGGGCTGGTGCGCTCGCGGAAAGGAGTGCGATCAACGGCACACGTGGGAATGTCCAGAGTTTGCAGAGAAGGGCTCATGTTCTCGACCCGGGTGCAAGCTCGCGCATGTCATCCGTGCCAGCACTGCGATGGCAAACGCCGCGCAGCATATTGAAGGTACAATATCAGGAACATCGGGAGCGGACGCAGAGGCAGCGGCGGATGACGATGCGCTATTCATGCGCGACGATGCAGCTGCGACAGCGGGTGATTCAGGGATGGACACAGATGCAGGCTCGTTTCGCAAGCGCAAGCATGCAGGTGACGTTGATGGCGGTAGTGACGGTGGAGAATCGCAAGTCTTGTCTTTTGTCCCGAAAACAAAGAAATCCAAGGCTTTCACGCGTCAGCAAGACTTCATCGGTTTTGGCGATGATGGCCTGGACGATGGTATGGATGACGGCGAGGATAGCGACGAGGATGATGAACATGGAGACGAGGAAGAGGACGGCGATCATGCGGAGAGCGTTGCGAGCGAGGACGAGCGAACCGATTTCGATTCCGATGATGATGACGGCCAACAAGAGTCTGGTGAAGGCTCAGAAGTGAATGAAGAAAGCGAGTCTGAAAGCGAAAACGATGAAGAGCTTGCTGGGCTCACAAGAACAGCTGTATGTAGCTTATGACTGGCGTTCTAAATTAAGAGCCTATCCTCACACACCCACTGCACATGCTTCATGCTTCTGCATGAGTTTTTCATTTGCGGTTTTGCGTAGGCTAGTAGTACAGTTTTAACTTCACCCTCTCTACTGTTTTTGCAAGCTTCTCGATGTGTGGCTGGTAAATTGGTATTGTGGTCCCTCTGCAAGAGGCGATAAAATGCTTCTTTCCTTGAAAGTGGAAGCCGCTAGTCGATCGGACCCAAGAAGTCCTCCTTCATCGTCCCAATGGCGAACTGTGCGGGAGATGGAATGCATTCAGGATTCAGGCTTCCCCGGTGAGAAATCTGCCACATCAATTCGATCACACTCACAACTTCGTTGGCGTCGACCCGTGTGCCGACGATTCGTAACCGTACTTTGATCCCAGGTGTCAGCGATGCTTCGGGCGAAGCAAATTCCGGCGGATTTGAGTCCGCTTGGAATTGGTATTCGACGGGCAGCAAATGCGTCGAGGTAAAGATGCTAAGCGGACCGACAGAGGCGAAGAAGCCCATCTTGTTTACGTTCGTTACAAGAGCATCTACCACCTCGCCTTTGAATGGCTTCATGACGATGGCGCTGTACTTGCTGCGAAACTCGGCCAGTCCGCTGCCAGGTTTTACAATTCCTTCACCAATGTCATTGATGGCGACGACTCGGATGATGTAGCCCTGCGATCGATGTTGAACCTGGCGTTAGATTCATATTGCACTGTGAGCAAGAGATGCAGCATGAGACGGGTACTTACGTATCGTCCCGTACAGGTGCCTTCGACATCGTCTCTCAGCTTGGCTTCCACTGAAAAAAGGGCGAGACCAAGACGGGAGCTCGGGCTGTCAGAGGATTGTTTGTGCACGTGCAGTAATCCGGATACGTGCGTTGGCGCATACGCACAGAACTGCTGCATGGAAGGACCGAAGAAGGAAGGATGTAGATTAATGGTATGCTTGAGCTCCTTCTGCAAAGCGAAACGCATGGAAAGAGTCGCAACAAAGAACACAATGAGCCCTCCGTCTATTAAGCATATCCTAGCGCTTAATCCAGAAGATTTGGGCAAGAGTACTGACCAGGAAAAACATCCTGGCTGCTAGCTGAACGAGCTGGCCAACTCGACAGGCCCTGGCGTACACTGTGCACCGGAGCACAATCTGTTGTCCACACCCTCCCGGAAAGTCGCGCAAACAGGTCGAGAGGTGGAACGCCTCCTTCGTCCGCTCAAGCTTTGAGGCCACTTGGACTTGGCCGTGGATGAATGTCCCACCTCTTGCGCTTCCAACTCCTTGGCGCGAAGGATGCACCCCCTTCCTTTCCTTCTTGTCTTCCCTGCTCCTAAGAGCCAGCCCCGATCAAAGCACCACAAACTTTTGGAGGGCTACGAAAGCTTGTCCTCGTATTTTCCTGAGCGAACGTGCCTTCCTCTGCCCTTGCTGCTTCGGATGTCACTGCAGCAGCGCCCGGCGCGGCAGGTCCTCCAGCGGTCGTCCCGCTCCTTTCCGCTACTCCCTTTCGTTCGCCAGAGCCACTAGACAAGCGTGGTGAGAGAATGCTCTGCTGTCTACCTGAGCCTTACTCTCTACCTTGACCAGTCTTCCTCAGTGCTGACGGATGCTTGGGTGCTCGGACGTGCGGGGGCTGGTCCCACGATGTGGCCTGGACAGAGAGGCTGGCCATCAGGACGACGATGTGTTGCAACTTGCAAAGGAGGTCGGGCAGATGACATGCTGCGTCGCAGGTGGCGATCTTCGGAAGAGCAGCAGCAGGGCGATGGGCCAACCCTACTTCTTCCATGCAATCCCTTCTACGCCGTAGTGGTTCCGCTCTTCTCCTTCTCGATCGAAGATTTCGTTTCAGCTTTTTTGGTCTGCTTCGAGTCTTCGACAAGCTGGCGCTTTTGATTCTGCACGAGGTACAACTACTGCATGCTTCTCCTTGCTCCTGCCTCAGTGCCTCCAATAGCAAAAAACCCATTTTCCAAGCACCTCTGTACCCTTGGCCAGATCACAGAGTATAAAGTACAAGATGACGGAAAAGGCTGGTGCTGTAATTGGAATCAACCTCGGAAACTCGTACGGCTCCCTCGCCTGCATCAATCAGCAGTGAGTCATGTACATGGAATGTGCCGCGAAGAGGGTTGTTGCTGTTGTGATACTGAACGTATCCCACTCATTGTGCTCTTTCTTTAGCGGACGAGCGGACGTCATCGCCAACGAGGATGGAGAGAGGCAGTTGGCGACCAGGATCGCTTTCGCCGGTGATCAGGTCTACATAGGCAACCAAGCGACACCGCAGCTTGTTCGCAATGCACCAAATGTCATCGACCGCTTTGTCAACCTCCTCGGCGTCAAGTTTTCTCAAGCGACAGAGGCCGACAAGAAGCGCATCTCATCGCCGCTCATTGACGTTGGTGATGACACTCCCGGGTTTGAAGTAGAGATCAATGGAGAGAAGACCAAGCTCTCGGCCCACCAGGTTGCAGTTCGTTACCTCAATTCGCTCTTCCTCACTGCAAAGGAGTTCCTCTCGGGTGTTCCAATCGCAGGCTGCGTGCTTTCTTACCCGCCATTCTTCTCATCAACGCAAATGGAGGCTTTGAAGAAGGCAGCGCAAGAAGCTGGCCTGATCGCACTACAGCTTGTTCCAACTTCCGCAGCCGCCCTCGTAGCGTACAACCTGACATCTCCTCTTCCTGGTGGACAGCTACCTGCTCACCCTGATGGAGAGGCCGCAGAATCTGCTGAATACCCGTCTACCAAAGTCCTTGACCGCAATGTCGTCGTGCTCGACGTAGGTGGCTCTTCGACCGACGTGACTGTGATCAGTGCGCGCGCAGGACTGTACTCAGTCCTCGCCTATGTGCATGACGCGGCTCTCGGAGGCGCGACGATCGACGATGCTATGATCCAATACTTTGCAAAAGAATTTACCAAGAAAACCAAGGTGGCCATCGAGGCAGGCAACACGAGAGCATGGACCAAGCTCAGGAACGAAGTCGAGGTGACCAAGCGTGCGCTCAGCGCGAGCAACAGCGCACAGTGCAGCGTCGAATCTCTCGCAGAGGGCATCGACTTTAGCGGGCCGCTGAACCGGATGAGGCTGGACATGCTCGCCGCCAAGGTGTACGACGGTGCCATCTCGGCCATCAAGCAAGCATTGAAGGAGGCAGGGTTGGAAGCTGCGCACGTCGACGAAGTCGTCCTTGCGGGCGGCTCGGCACGATTGGGTGGGTTTGTCGATGCGCTACAGGTGCTGTTCCCCGAGGAGACGAGCCACACGAAGGTCACTTCGTCCATCGACTCGGACCAGGTCATTGCCCGAGGCTGTGCGATCCAAGCGCAGGCGCTCGCTGCACTGACCACGCTCGGCGAGACGCCCGAGCGCAAGCACATCTCTGACCTTCCCGTCAAGGGTCATGCGGAGATCCTCGAGTTGAAAACGCCGGCGACAAGCAAGGCTATTGGACTCGTCGTCCCTGCACCTGATGTGTCCAAGCTGAACGGCTCCGCGCGCCCGACAGAGAAGGCGATTGTCGACGGCAAGCTGTTCGTTCCGATCATCGCGGAGAAGACGCCGCTGCCCGCTAGGCGCGTCGTTCAACTGCTCTCGAATGCTACCGCTTCTGCGCTGCTCGAGTTCGCCGAGGCGGAGAGCGAGATCCACATCGAGACGATCGCGCCTCCCGAGGCAGATCCAGTGGACGAGGATGAGGACGAGGAGCCTCTCGAGCCGGAGGAGGTGCGGACGGTCGTGTATAAGCCTTCGCGCTCGCTCGGCCAGCTCGCCGCACCGGCGGGCAAGAGCGGGAAGATCCAAGTGCAGGTCATCGTCAATGTGGACGGGTCAGTCGACATCAAGGCTGGCGAACCTGGTGCGGAGTCTGCTGCGGAGCTCAAGCTCCCCGCTCCATAGACTTGAAAGTAGTTCAATGCATCGTTTTTCTTTTCGAATTAATAGATGGTGATATTGTCTTTCTGAGCGTAGGTCTGATATGATACAATCTGGGGGGAAAACATGCTACAGGAGTGATCGGACAGCGCCGGACCGCAGAGATCATTAGTGGAGGGGCTTCTTGGGACCGCGTCCGTATACGCTTGCGATGGCAGGCGTGATAGCCTTCGCCTGCGCTGCTTGCTTTGCCTGCCCGGCCACTCGTGCCGCAGTCAAACCGGCACCATCCGTTTTCTGACGCTTTACAGCTGGATGCAGCAGTGTGGGGCCTTCCTCTTGCGCTGCGAGCTCAGCTTGCAAGGCTTTGATTTGTTCCTCGCGCAGTGCCTTCTTCTCCGCTTTTCTTTTCCGCTTGGCTGTAATTGCTTCGGCGTCCTCCTCCGGCTCTGCTTTCTGTCGCCGCTCGTCGTTAGAAGACGCGTTCTTTAGTTTCTTGGCGGCCATTTCTGCTTGGCGCGCGGCTGCGACATGCTCCCTCATCTTTTCGCGCTCTTTCTCCCCTGGATTGAGCAGCAGCACGTCGCTATCCCCCTCGGCGACGTCTAAGGGCTTCCCCTTACTGAGCGAGGAGCCTGCGCGGAAGTCTGTTGCGCAGTTGGGACACTGTCGCATGGCGTCTGTCCTTGTCGACTCGGATGACTCGGCGCAGATGGCACGGAGGCCAGACTCGACGAAAGCGCAGCCACACGCGCGGAGGTAGACGCAGCGGTACTTGCCGCTGAGCTCTTTCCCTGTCAGCGGGCACAGGAAAGGGTACGTTGCCGAGTCGAGCGAGGTCACGTCTGCGCCGGAGGCTGCCTCTTGTTGGTGCGCTGGATTGCGACGAAGCCGGAGCTGCACCACGTCCTTGAGGCCTCGTAGATGGCCCGCAACGATGTCCTCCTCCAACGCGACCACTTTGGCGCTCTCTTTGCCCCTTTCGCTTCGCGTTAGCAGATACTGGACCACACTCTCCTTGTTGAATATATGTCCCAGCGCATCCGCCACCACAGGCTCTCGGAATGGTCGGCGCGACAACGCGCAGGTCGTCCACAGAGCTTTCGCTAGGAGCGAAGGTGGTAGAGTGGAAAGAGCCGCTTTTACCTTGACCAAGTCGTCCCTTTTGGGGATCGATCCTCCATCGTTACCCTACGGCAAGTCCGAGTCAGCTTTGAATTATCTTCAAGGTTGCGCAGCCATCACTCACCATGATGCAATCAAACTTTTCTCTGATGGGCTGGAAGGCTGATGTCCTCAATCGCGACCGATTACGTTGCCTCTATGTGTGCCTTTACCGTAGGAAGGGAGGGGAATGCGATTGAAGCAGGATACATCAGGTCTACGATTGGCAAGCAGATGCTTCAGGATGACGGCAGGAGGCAAGGTAGTTGTGCAATGAAGGCACTTTGGAAGCAACTGGCCGATGAAGTCCACTGCGTGGAGACAATTCATGGTTCATCGAACTTCTCGCCACCATGAATATGAATATAAGGGCACATCTTGACCCAAAAGCCCACACACAGGTTATGACTAATGCTGGATATAATTGCAACATTGCAACACTGAATGGGAAAAGATCCGTGACAAGTACCCTCTGGCAAAACGCAAATTGAAGGCTTTGTGGCGCGTCGCAAGCCCGTGACCGACAGCTTGAACCTACAAGGTCCCAGCGAGCGCCGAGAGCGGTGTAGGCAAGGACTCGTGTCCCCCGTGTATGTCCTGCTTTGGCGCTCGTCACAGTCCTCGAGGTGGCTCCGGATCGACTGGTGCTATCCGACACGTAAGCAAACATGCCCCACACCCACGCACACATACACACAAGCGCTTAGTTATTCTCGTGCACGACCTTGTCGACGATCTGCTTGATGTCCTGCTCGCGACCCTCGACGGTCTTCTCCTGCAGCGCGTCCGTCGTCTCGGTCACGCGGAACGCCAGCACTGGCAGCGCGATGATGAGACCTGCCGCGTTGAGGCCCCACCCGACGCCGAGCTCGGCCATGAAAGATGCGCCGTCCTTGTCGAGCGCAAAGGCGCCTACGGAGCCGGCGGATTGGACACTCTGTGCATGATCGAGCGAGTATCAGCGCACGCGTTCCGACAGATAAAGCAGGAAAGAAAGCGCCGGTCCCCTCACTCGCCTTATAGAACCCGGCAAAATGTGCGAGCTTCGCGAGGTCGTTTGACATGGCTCCGAAGAGCCAGTACGTGAAGCACTGTGTGATCGAGTCGAGCAGACCCATGCACGCGTACAGGACGGCAAGGCCGCCGTACTCAGGGCTATGGACATCTGTGCGGTAGTACTCGCTTCCGAGACCCTCGCTTGGCTTGTCGGCGCGCGTATAGCCCAATTGGACGTGGTAGGAGCCGCCCCAGACGGCAAAGACGATGCAGATCGCGACGCCCCAGCCAATCCAGGCGCGTGTACGGCGTGCCAGGCGCGGGCTGTCCAGCAGGAGGCCGATACAGAAGGAGCCGACCATCTGCGAGAGCCAGTAGATAAACGAGTTTAGCGCGCGCGTGCGCAGCGTAAAGAGCAGGCCATTGTAGACTGGATAGCCAGGGCGGTGTGAGCATGAGTTTGGACTTGGTGATTTCCTCTAATTCTTCTGCTTACTGTTGACTGTTCCGTACCCAGTGAATCGAGTGAGCGGAAGAAGACAGAGTGTCAGCATGCCAGAAGATATGTTGGTTGATGCGCATACATGGACGTACACTGCCATGTGTAGAACCAATTGGAGGCGAGGAAGAGTGGGAAGAGCAGGACGATCCAGGGGTCGGTGTGGAGGACACGGATCAAACCCCTAAACTCGTCTGTCCAGCCCATTTGCTTGGGCACGACGACAGGCACGCCGTCCGTCCTGCGGACCTTGCCGGGTGACTTGAGGGTGAGCGAGACGAACGCGCCGAGGGCAGTGAGGACGAGGAAGGCGATGTACGTCCCGTTGGAGACGGTGTTGGATGTTGAGTGCCACGAAAGGCCCATCGCGATCGCGGCGCCCAAGACGGCGCCGAGGTTGAAGATGACCCAGAAGATGGAGATGTATCGGCCTTTTTCGCGCTCGGCGGGGTAGCTGAGCATCAAGGCACCCTGGCTACACCACAGCAGGCCGGCGCAAGCGCCGAGGACGGCACCGGCACCGATAACAAAGCCACCGTTCTGGTTGAAATTGTACGAGAGTAGGGAGCCAATGTACAGCGAGTAGCCGAGTGTACCGATGAACAGCGTCGGCTTCGAGCCGATTGTGTTGTGAATCGAGCCGCTGAAGAAGGCCATGACGGCGAACACGCTGTACAAGGCGATGCTCGAGTTGATCGACGGCGTGCGGTCGACCTGTCCACCTCCGCCGATACCACTGAGGGCTGTGCAAGTGGGAAATCGAAAGCACGACGTCCATGAGCGCCCAATGCTGCTGTTGCTGCCACATTTTTTTTTATCTCGCGAACGCTCTCACCATTGAACATGCCGGGACCAAGAAAGCACACCAAGCCGAGGAGCGCGACCTGGCACGCGGTGTGGTCGTAGATGCCGAGCGGACCCCTGCGGCGCGGTGCGGCGGATGCAAAGGTGGCGTGAGAGAGGACGATAACGTCGCTTGCGTCGTTGACTTTCCCCGCGGCGGCGGGGTGGACACCCTTCTCGTCGGCATGGACGGCCTTATCGGACGCGCTGTCAGACGACATGCTGCTGAGCGGCTATCTGCTGGGATCGCCAAAGTGCCGGCGGGCGGGGAGGGTGTTGACGGTCGAGGGTATTTACCGACACGTTGCGATGTATAGACGCAACAACGTCGACCTTGGAGGGCCAGGGGCGGGGATGAGAGGGGCGACTCCGCATCTCTATATACAGATAGCACCTTTGCAGCGACACTCTCTACTTGAACGCAGTAGATGCAAGCACCCACCCTGCTGGACTCGACTGCGTGGTCGGACGATATCAATTCACGGTGGAGAGAGATTGACAGAGCGCGAACGGCCTGCGAAAAAGTGCAGCAGTCCTCTCCTGTGTCGAGTCTCTCTCCTCTGCTCCCCCCAGCTCATCTACGTCAGGAGCGCAAACCAAAAAAGTGGTCCCTCAGTATCCTCATAGCTGCGGCACTGCAGCGCACTGCATGGGAGTAGATGACACCACCGGAACTCCCACCCCCGGCGCCCCGGCCGGCACCGCGTGCACATCCCTCTCACTCTCTCGTTCACTTGCAGCTGCTGGTGTTCCGACTGCGCCCCTGTGCCCAACAGCCTAGTTGGCTCACAGACACTGTGCTGATGCAGCGTGATTGCATTCGAACCACGTTGTCGGTTCCTGATACTGGCGGAACAAGGGGACCACGCTGTTTCCACACTCACGAGCATGACACAAGCACACCAGATGAAAGCGCGTCCTCTTTGTTTCTTTTGCAGTGGGGAACAAGTGTAGAATGCAGACGAGAAAAAAAAAGCGGCACTCGGGACAGGCACAGAGTGCAGTGCGGACGGGAGCATGGGCCCTGGAGAGCGGGGCGAGGTGCCATCGTGGTACATAGTAGGTAGGGAAAGCAATCAGGGTTGAAAGCGTCGATAGCCGACAAAAGAGAGAGAGAACTAAGTAAAACGCAGTTGAGACGAAGAGCAACGCAGCGGTGCTAAAATGCATCGCTGACTGCGCACGATGGACTGCGAAGCACCAAACATGACATGCAGTCATGGTCCATCGCCTGCCGGACATGGTCACAAGTGTCAATCCATCGCAGCTTGTTCATTCAGCATTGCGGCGAATGGCGAGATGACTTTCTATGTAGGACTTGGCGTCGATACCCAGCTTCAACGGTGAGGCGGTGGAAACCTTGCGAGGCGAATGCTGGCGCCGTGCCTCCACCAACTTCAATCCTCGCGCGCCAAGCCCAGCTTGTCTGGGCGAGGAGCCTAGGGCCGTGGAAGCGGGCAGGTGAAGCGCAGACTCTGTGTCTGGCTTGTGTCCGAGCGATGAGCACGGAATGGTGTCGACCTCTCGATCACAAGGGTAATGGACTGCATGCACCTGGAACGGCTGCGCGCATCGGTAGCATCAGAGTGAATATGATGCACATCCACTCATGTCACCTGCAAGGGAACCACAAGGCGCAGAGCAACGGACCTTGCACATGTCATTACCGAGAAGCATCCAACAACGCGTGTATGCAGCTCATTTCTTATGGACAATCTCATGACATTTCTTCTTGCCGTCTTCCGCGGATCTCTTCCCACCGCACATGACCCGCGCATCCCTGGTTCCCACTACAGTCCTCGAGCTCCACAGAGGCATCCCCTGCACTTTTGGTCCTCAGGGTAGAACGAGCTTGATCGCATCGACGCGCAGACGCGTGTAGCCTTGTTTGTGCTGCACCGTGCGCTTGTATCCTTTACGCCGTTTCGTCTTGGTAATGCGCTCCAACGGTCCCTTTGTGTGTTCCAGGACAGTCATTTCGACTTGCACCAGCGGCCTCTCCGCTGAAGGGGTGGTGGCAGTGCTCGCGGCGCCGATGAGGGCAGGGAGCACCGCGCCCTTGTGAGCCAGCCCGCCGTGACTGCTGACAAGCGCGCCAAAGGATGTGCGCGACTGACGCAGTGACAGTGCTTGTGCCGTCTGCATGATGCTCTGCGGTGCTCCTTCCGCCTGCGAGTCTGTGCCGATGTGCGACGAGCCGACGTCGATCAGCCCGAGCAGCGACGACTGACCTGCGTTGAACAGGTCACCAAGCTTGGCAGGCATCCCGGCGGCGTACGCGCGCAGACTGCTGTTGGTGCTTCGGAGCGCTGCGGCGCGCATCTCGGCCGTGCTGGGCAGGCCGCCGGGGACGCGCGCGGGGTTGCGCTCGATGCGCACGCCGTACTGCTGCTGCGC